CTAAGTGCATGGGCCACCCGATGGGCCCCCATAATCTGCGGGCAGAGGGCAAACAGGGCAGTTACCTCAGGCCCCCCAGCAGGGACAGGGCCTGGGCAGCTGCCCTGTTTGCCCCGCGTTAATGACGGCCCTGGAAAGCGTTGTAAATGCTTTCCTATGAGACAGGCTGAATGCGCGCACAGTTCTTGCTGCACATGCGCATTCAGCCGAAGAGGAGGATCGGAGGTGGAGAGGAGGAGGAGGAGAGCTCCCCGCCCAGCGCTGGAAAAAAGGTAAGATTTAACCCTTTCCTCTCCCCAGAGCCCGGCAGGAGGGGGACCCTGAGGGTTGGGGCACCCTCAGGGCACTATAGTGCCAGGAAAACGAGTATGTTTTCCTGGCACTATAGTGATCCTTTAAGATAACAAATTTGCACCATATTTACATTAACTACTAGGCTGACTAATGATGCCCCAATAAATCGGCTGGAGGTGAAGTTACATTTCCTGCAACGGATGGATTAAACTTCATATGTTCATCATCTTATAGTGAAAGACAGCACAAACAGACTCTTTCAAACCACTGAATTGGTCATGGTGCATAGTGTAACCTTTTACGTAAAGTGATATTTATAAATTGATGATGATAACCATGTGAATACAGAAATAGTGTTTTTGCTAAAGTGCAAAAAGAACTAGACAGTGAGGAAAAACCTAGACATTATTATGTAAACCTAACACAACACTGAATATGAATAAAATGTTAAAAATAGGAAAACCATAATAATGTTTACACATCAACGGAAATTAATGAAAAAGAACTCGAAATATATTCACGTATCAGTTCATATTGTTAAATGCTTCATATGTCTAAGGTCTCAAGTAATTTTGGTAGGTAACGCTATCCCTATACCAACCCTACCCGTATGCTTACACTAACTCTAACCATACACCTATCCTATGTTTAGCCATTAAACATACATCATAGCTAAGTGTAAATCCCTTCCCATACCCTAAGAGCTTTGTGGCACTCATAAACAGGATTTAGAAAGGGTTATTCACAAAAATTAATTTTAAATTGTTGTCCAAAATAGGACAATCCTGCTAGTCAACCATGTATTAAGTTCAGTTCAGTTCTCTCTGAATTCTCATTAAAGCAGCTATACAATCTTTATAAAATGCTTTATAAAATTAATTGAACTTCTAACACAGTCAAAAAATACCATAGGATCGTATATCAGTTTTATACTCTCGCGCATGTACAGCACTTACGTGGGCTCATGGGGGATGAAGTTCCAAGAGTCGAAGAATTTACAAATCTTGGAGCTTCAATCTCCTCGAGTCCACGTGGTGGACATCATCAGGTAAGTATATTTCACCTCTGAGTTACACTATGGCTACCCCTGCACACCATACAGCGATGTCAGGGGGATTTACTAAATTAAATTCTTGATATTTCATATTTTAGTAAATAACCTCATCTGCCATGACAGTGTCTAATTTTATTCTATTTTAAATCAGCTTGGCAGATTACTAAGATTCTTTCCACTGCAAGAACTATAAAAATATCTGTGCGTCAGAAAATAAAAAAATATCTTGACATTTAAATTATGGGCACCCAACATTCAAGTCAGAAATTAATTATTTTTCCTTTTTGGCCTGGAAAGTTTAGCATTAAATAAGCTGACTTAGTTATAAGCGTTCCCTTTTTTTTTCAAAAATCACTTTTATTTTGCTGGTTGGCAAGCCAATATGTTGGCAAAACTTAGTAACAGTAGGCAACAGAGAATATTGTCCATAACTGTAAATGTCAAGAGAGAGGTACTTTATGTCAAACTGTTACACTGGCGTTTTAGATAAATGCAGTCAGTGAAATCACTCATCTCTCTTTGAACCAGGATGCATAGAGAAACACAATATTTACCCAGACCTGTGGTTGGGAAATTATTTGAAGATAAGGGATCATATCCAGGAATTTATTATGGACAACAACGTCATTATTAATAGCCAGCATTGGTATACGAAAGACATATCATGTCACACTAACAAGTGGATTCTGTGAAGACGTCAGTAGAAGCAGTCAGCCCATAAAGGGTCCTGTTTGGTTCCATGGTCCCACTCCCTTGTAGGATCTAGAGTTGGTGGCATTTTGCTTCCGCTGCTAAAGTCAATTGCTGCTCCGGCAATACAAAAAAATGCCACCCCATTGTAGGTACCACCAATGTGGTACCAGGAGGTGCCCAGCCAGGCATGCCACTCTATATTACTTTTTTTTTTTTTTGTATGTAGCATGACTGAGCAGCATGGAAGTGGGAGTACTGCGAGTAAGCATGCTCTATCATTATTCTTCACATTGGCTCCAGGTGCTGTTTGTGACAAAAAAACAATTGATGTCTTGTTAGATCCTCGCCCTTTCCCCAGAGGACCCAGTGTCTAGCATGAAGAATGCTGAGGCAGCAAGCTTGCTATCAGGACTCTCACTCCCATGCAGCTTCACAATGCTACAAAAGACAAGGTAATGTAAAGGTGTGACACAAATGCAGACAGACTGGGAGGGGATGCATGGACACACTGACACAAGGGAATACATCTCCAAGGGGATAATGGAAAGTGGACAGCCTTTAGGTAGCATATGTCAAAACATACAGTTTTCTGTTAAGCTAATAATAGTAACCTATTTAATCTACCTGACTTAATCTTTTATTAGCTAAATTCCTTACAAAATAACAATTATTTAATAAAGGTATTTCCATTTATGCTTATAAGCCATAACATTAAAACCACTGACAGGTGAAGTGAATAACACTGATTATAATGTTACAATGGCACCTGTCCATATCCATATTAGGCATTAAGTGAACAGTCAGTTTTTTTAATTTCATGTGTTGGAAGGAAATAAAATAGGGCAAGCGAAAAGACCTGAGTGACTTTAAGAAGTTCCAAATAGTAATGGCTAGATGACTGGGTCAGATCATCTCCAAAACAGCAAGTCCTGTGGGGCGTTCCCAGTATGCAATGGTTAGTACCTACCAAAAGTGGTGCAAGGAAAGACATGTAATCCGGCTTCAGGGTCATAGGCTTCCAAGGCTCATTGATGCATATAGGATGTGAAGACTAGTCCGTAAGGTTCCATCACACAAAAGAGCCACTGTAGCTCAAATTGCTTAAAAACCTAATGCTGGCCATGATAAAAAGGTGTTAGAAAAAACTTATTGAATCGCAGTTGCTACATATGGGGCTGCGTGGGCACAAATCAATCACAGTGCCCACGATTACCCTGTCTGTTGCCGGAAGTGCCTTCAATGACCATCAGAACTGGACCATGGAGCAATGAAAAGAGATTTTCTGGTCTGAATATTCCCATTTTCGTTTAGGTCAGGTGGTTGGCCTAGTGCATCGTTTACCTGGGGAATAGATGCCAGCAGAATGCACTATGGGAAGAAGGCAGGCCGGCAGAGGCAGTGTTAAATGTTCTCATGGCACACCTTGTGTCCTGGCATTCACGTGGATGCCACTTCTCACTTTCATTCCTACCTGCCTCATTTGCATTATGCAAGCCCTGATCACAATACAGTTGAGTTGGCTTAGCAGAGCTACGGTTAGGGGACAGGGACTTAGACTGAGGGGGAGAGCTACTTATGGTTGTTGCATTTGAGCAACATTTTCAATACACAACCAGAATTTTACAGGATGTCAGTGATAAATAAAGCACAAGACGTATAGTGAGTCTCCTAGTTATAACCAACACCCTGGTTAACCTCAAAAACCGTGATATACACAAAAAACTAAATAAATGGTTTGGTGTGCTATAATAGCATATGTGAAGATCACCATTCAGATAATATACATACACTGGTTACAGGTCTCCCGAAATATACTGGTAGTACTCCAGTTAGGAAGTGGTAATTCCGGCTTTTAATCACTTTATAAACATAAAACAAAACATAGTGTAAAACTGTTTAGATACAATGATAAAAGACAAGCCTCCACAATTTTCCACTCATTCCATTTGGGACGTCCTTATCCAGAATTCACTCTTCCACTACTCCTTGGGATCCGGAACCTTGGTGTATTTAGGAGTTGTGTGAGAACATCTTGGAGTCCCTTTGTGGCAGGTAATTTCACCTATTGATTATTAGTGGCGGACCATTTGTGAGTGCAATAATTACCTTATCTTTTATCAATGTATCTAAACAGTTTTACACTATGTTTTGTTTTATGATTAAAAGCTGGGATTACTATTTCCCAACTGGAGTAATACCAGTATATTCCAGAAGACCGGTAACCAGTGTATGTATATTATCTGAATGGTGATCTTCACATATGTTATTATAGCACACCAAACCATTTATTTTGATCGGTGATAACTATACAGAAATATAAAGACTACAAAACAGGGCTGACGGCTCACGGTTTTATTTGGATTTGCGTTCAATGAAAAATAAATAATTGCATTTTTATTGTATGTAATTAATAAAATAAAGGCAGCTCCTCCAAGCATTCCTTCTAAAAAAAAAAATAACGCCTTTGGTAACCCTATTTCCAATATGTCGGTGCTATAGATTGATAATCAGTCATCTATTTGTTACACAGCTCTAGTAATAGATAACCTTTTTAATTATTGGCTGATTTGGATTGTATTGATAGACAATCAATGTAGCCATTATTACTGTAGTGCCTAGTACTAAGCTAGTCAGTGCTGCACTAGAAGACTGCCCCCTCCTGGCCAACATACAGACTGCAATGCTTTCTGCAGGGAGAGCTTTCTGCCTGGCAACGGACTATACCAACATGCCACCTTGTTTCACGATGTCTTACAGAGAGCCTTTAGCCCTTAAGTAGTTTGTCATGTTACATTAGTGCTTAATTCTATGTGGATATATTATTTCTGGCTCTGGTGTGTTTACAGTCTTATTATTGTGGGGTTACCCTCCCTCTGGATATGAATGGGCGGGTCCGTTGCCATGGAGACGTGGTAACATCTCTGAAGCAGGAAGTGGAACCCACGCCGAAACTAAGAGAGAGGTACCTACCACCAACCACCTACCCCAGGGTGTATGTAAGTCCCCAATACCAGCTCAGTAAGCCAGGTAACCATGCAATCCCACTGATATCAATAAAATATATAAAAATGCCATTACCCATAGGCAAGTAATGACCCTGCTGCTTTGGAATACAGCTCCTATCATGCTCAGCCAGGCAGCAGTCATATTTAGTATCATTTTTTTTTTTTTTAATGGCCTGTGGGGCTTCTTTAAGAACCCAATTTTTTCTTTTTACACCATGAAGGGTCTGGCATATCAGCACTATCACAATAATATCCAATTACTAGCTGTACAGCGCTACAGAATTTGCTGGCGCTATATAATTAATAATATTAATAATAATACATTATAATAATTAGTTTCTCCCTGGTCCTTGGACAGCCATTAGCAATGCTTGTTAAATTTGAGGTGTGCTAGTAGTGTATTGTCTTATTGCAGTCTGAGTACAATAACTCCACTGACACACTGGTTACCATTAAGGCAGTGCTCTCATCTACTGCATTGTTTTATTATTGGTTTTTTTTTCTGTTTGTGGGGGGAAAAAGTTCCCCAAAACATCATGCATTCTGATTGGGTTTCCCCAACCTGTATCTTTAATATTTAGAAATGTACTGGTTTATTTATTGATACAGAAGATTAAAATTACATTGTCATTTATCTGGAAAAGACACCATTCAATAAAACATTGCAAATGACCTTTAACCCCTTACATTATTGAGCAGGGCCCTCAACACCCTCTGTTCCTGTGCGTCCAACTCGTCTTGTTGCAAATCCATCTCTGTTAGTCCACCTATTGTACAGCGCCATGGAATTGTTGGCGCACTATAAATAATATTAAAGGACCACTATAGGCACCCAGACCACTTCAGCTTAATGAAGTGGTTTGGGTGCCTGCTCCAGCTAGGGTTAACCCTTTTTTTTTTTTTTTAATTAAGGTGAGGCATGCCAGGGAGGGTGGCTGTGGGGAGAAAAAGGATAGCCTTGCTGCCATTGGCTGTTTGGCTTCAGGATTCTGTGTGCGCTGGCTTAAAGGACCACTCTAGGCACCCAGACCACTACAGCTTAATGAAGTGGTCTGGCTGCCAGGTCCCTCTAGGATTAACCCTTTTTTATTTATTTTATTTTTTATAAACATAGCAGTTTCAGAGAAACTGCTATGTTTATAAATGGGTTAATCCATCCTCCAAATCCTCTAGCGGCTGTCTCATTGACAGCCGCTAGAGGTGCTTGCATGATTCTCACTGTGAAAATCACAGTGAGAACACGCAAGCGTCCATAGGAAAGCATTATGAATGTTTATAAATGGGTTAATCCAGCCTCCAGTGGCTGTCTCATTGACAGCCGCTAGAGGCGCTTGCGTGCTTCTCACTGTGAAAATCACAGTGAGAAGACGCCAGCGTCCATAGGAAAGCATTGTAAATGCTTTCCTATGGACTGGCTGAATGCGTGCACGGCTCCTGCCGCGCATGCGCATTCAGCCGAAGAGAAGGAGGAGGAGAGCTCCCCGCCCGGCGCTGGAGAAAGAGGTAATTTTAACCCCTTCCTCTCCCCAGAGCCTGGCAGGAGGGGGACCCTGAGGGTGGGGGCACCCTCAGGGCACTATAGTGCCAGGAAAACAAGTATGTTTTCCTGGCACTATAGTGGTCCTTTAATAATACTGCAGCTTAATATGACCGACCAGCTAAATGCTTCCATTTGTGGATTCCATGGTTAGATAATATGGCTAAGAACACTAACCATGACTGCATGTGCCTGGGGATCTAACCGGGTCCTGATGAGGTTTTTTTTCCTTCTCCACCTCCTATCTTTCTTTTCCTCCATTACATTGCAAATGAGGAAGAAAAATAAAAACATTGTTTAATTTCTTCTCTGTATGCTTTCTGTAGACTAACTGCCAGGTGCAAAATACGGAGGGAATGATATAAAGCTAAAATGGAGGCACCCAGTTGCAGAACAGAGAATATTAAGTTCCATATTTTATTTTTCACACATCACATATACATATTTGTTGAATAATAATATCCTCTTAATACTAATCTTGGGAAAAAGCAAAAAACAAGTTATAGACAGAATATACGATTTGTAACTGCAACAATTTATCTAAAATGCCTAAAGAAACCTTTGAATTATGTACCCAATAAACCTTGGTACCAAGATATTCGATATTCCAAAAAAAAAATAACAACAGCTATGCTTATAATTAAATAACCTTAAAAAAGGAAAATGATATAATTACAAAATATTTATATAAAGAATACAGAAAGGAACCACATTAATTAAACTGAGAGAATAACTTAAATGCATGGAAAATACAGTTTTGAATCTTTTTTTTTTTTTTATCTGTACAATTCTATTGTGTATGAATTTACCAACTGCCTTTTTTTTTAGCCCATTTCAAACACATTATCAGAAATAGAACTCAATTTAAAAGTTTATTTATATTTGATTGGTCCTAATATCTCTTATAGAATCCTTACCTGACAGATACTTTACATTTAGTGTCATTGTTATACTTTGTTATGTTTTATTATTTTTTTTTCTCCTTTGATTATATTACCCTTTAATCACCATCCTAGAGTACTCTTCTAAACCAACCTACGTAGGACTATCAACAATGTATTTGATACGGCACTCTTTTTCAAATGTGACTTACTGTATTTCATACGAGTAATACTGTGATAAGATAGGTTGTTAACCAATATTAGATACAATATTTTGTTATACTCTTTAATGAAAACTGTAAAACCCAATAAAAATACATGAAATAAACATAAAAATTTAACATCCTTTGGTTTCCATGCATCAAATAGTGGGAGAAATGAAATTACATGAGAGATATGCTGACTACAGACTAGCGTTGATATTACATCACGCATCACTGGTAATTTGTGGTAATAGGGGCGACAGAAAAGGAGGTGCAACTCTGGTGGGATTCAGGCTGTTAAAGAGAAAAGCACTGAAAAGGTACTCTTATGTGTGCAGAAGTAAACCTTCATCGACCTTACACAATCACTTTTAATGAGATGTCTGCATTGGCTTTTTTGGGTGTCCCATATCTGCTGTCTTCAGATATGGGACACATGAAAAATAACCTGGAACTGCTATGTATACTAGTAACCATTGGATCTGTGCAGCGGTATGAAAAAAAATAACGTATGTTATTGTTTTAATTTTGGTATATTATTGATGTGTTGCAGGAATGAGCCAATGGATTCACATGCGAAACACGTGGCACAAATTCTGGACAATGAGAATTTCTTCAAGACATCTTGGTAAGTGTTGCATATTTTCACTTGACTTAACTCTTCGCCAATTACAATACATCATCTCTTTCACGTATTTCCTAGGTTAGAGCTTTAAATATGAAGTAATTCATTACTAGCTAGACTTTTGTACTTGCCAGGGCTAAATTCCACTTGCTAATGGCTAGTGGTGAGTGAAAATGTTTAACCTTCTCCTAGTTAATATCAAAACTCGTAGAATATTGCATATTCTATGTTTCTATTGATTATGTATGGATGTCTGGATTGACATAAGTAACAGATGGTATCAATAAGTCACAAGGCTTTCTTTGTCTGAGAACTCTGGAATGTGGATTGGGGGTCTTGTCCTTATATGGCTAGGGTTATACTCTGACGTCATTATGGTCATATCTATATAGAATGGCGGACAAAGGACCATGAGGTCTTGCTGTTGCTTGCTGCTTGCTGCACAAGGTTCTTCTTCTCGTCTGGCTGTCTAACTATGCATACTCAAACTCTCCCTTCAGGAGTCCCGCAATTACCATCTGCTGTTGAACATCCATTATCCTGTAACATCCTTTGTTGTTTTATTATGTATCAGTAACTGTAAGAATAAGCCTGAAGAAACCGTAAGTTAGATTGCGTATTAGTATTTTTGGTTAATATAGACCTATATCAACCTGGCGAGCCTTTTACTCAAGAAGAAATATACATAAGAATTATTCCAATCAACCGAAAAAACACACAGAAGAACAAATTTATTACAAAACTAAATCTCTGCACTACTCCATAATTACAGCATCAAAGCTAGGACTGCACTTGGATCGCCAATTGCAGTTGTCCTCTTCAACACCTTCTTCCAGATGTCAATGCACACAAGAGTTTATAAGGTTACTATAAACAGATTTTCCCTTACAGTGACTTAAGGAAAGGTACCCCACAATCCCATTCTCTGTTTTGCCCTTATTCAAATGGTTTTGTTGGAATCATTTTCAAACAAACTATGGATAGAGAGTGGATTGACCCTCTGGATTTACTGGAAGGAGGGAGGTCCCCACCCTGCTATTTACAAATGTCATATACATTCATATCCAAAAAATAGGAGATGGTGCCATCATTCCTGTTACTGTTATTTGGTTATTGATCTTGGCTTGGATTGACTTTCTGTTTTTCTGGTATCCCTGGCCCTTTGGCTTTGTTTATTCTGTATTTGTTCCTTTCTGTATTCCTGACCTCTGCTCGTTACTGGTTATTCTTATATGTTAAATCCAGCCATTCTAAGGCCCTGTAATACGTTGTTACTGTTTGTTATTTTGTCCGTGTTTGACTTAGTTCTTTCGTGTTGGGCCACTGGTTCGTCCTGACAAGTACTAACAACTGCATACCGGGAACACCCCACAAGACTTGCCGTTTTGGAGATGCTCTGACCCAGTCATCTAACAATCACTATTTGGCCCTTGTCAAAGTCACTCAGATCTTTTCGCTTGCCCATTTTTCCTGCTTCCAACACATGAAATTCAAGAACTGACTGTTCACTTGCTGACTAATATGTCCCACCCCTTGACAGGTGCCAGTGTAACAATATAAACAATGTTATTCACTTCACCTGTCAATTATTTGAATGTTGTGGCTGATCAGTACATATATATGTATATATCAGTTAATCAAAAAGGTATATAGATATGATACATTAAGTTATTATGGTGTTTTGAGATCTTGGGCACCATGTTGCCAAAGAGGATTAAATCATTAACAAACTATTTAACACCAAACTCTAGAAGTCAAACCCTATCACTCTGCGCTCCTTTATGGATTTGAGGCTTCAATAAGGAACAGAAACAAAGAAGCAAAAATTCACAAACTGAATATAATGATGACTGGAGATAAAGATTTAGGCACCAAAGCATCTAGTGGTATGGAACAATGTAACCAGAGGGAGACCACTAAATATCAGAAGTAGCAAAAAGTATCAACACTGAAATAAACTGACTAGTCCAACAATAAATACCAAACTAGCCTTATAAGGCTACTTCAATAAGGAAGCCTCCAGCCATCACGTTTTCTCAATGAGGAGTGATAGAATGAGATTGTCAGCTGATACTCTCAGCCTTTCAGCAGCACCTGGTCTGAGGCTTCGTGATAGAAATCTTGGAAGTATAGGGGCAGAGCGATTTGGCACCATCTTCCACGTTTTGAGGTTAAACTGTTTGTTAACAATTTAATCTCATAAGGTAAGAAGGCAGCTGGAACCTCCTTGCATCATAACTACATTATTGTGAACTTCTGAAAACAAACTCCTTTAAAATATTTTATTTTTTGCCATCTTTAATCAACAGTAACGCATATGATCTTAACGTTTACTTTATACCATCATGATTGCAAGGGTGGTCTTACCTTCTCAAACCCATTCCGAAAAAATATCTGAGAGGATCTACCCATTCCCATACCCTTGTTACACTGATCTTTAATAATCATAACAGAATTATGTCAGGCAATGTACACATGTGAGTTGTTTGTTACTGTGTTTTTTTTTCTTTTTTAAAGCCCTGAAGTGGAAAGAGAATTAAAACCAATTACCATCAGTGCGTGGCCTTCCTGGAAAGACGTTAGGATAAACAACATGGGACGTGATAACGGATTAATGGTGACACACGTCAATCACACACAGGATTTACTGGTAACACGGCTTCTCATTAATTCGCAGGAGTTTTGTTTGTTTTGTCTTCAGCTATATATGCAATTATTTCAGAACTTATAGTCAACTTGTGGTGGTGGTGGTGGTGTGATTTGTGATTTACCAATACAGGATTGCAGGTAACTCTACATTTGGGGATTTTACTTGGGTTTTACAGCTTGATCTTGAGTCTATGTTTTAGATGCTTATCTGGATCTCCCAAGACATTAACACTCCGGTGTCAGCAGTCCACTAATTTAATTGTAGAATTCAAGGCAAACTTCCCAGCCAAAGCGCTCCCAGTCAGAAAAATGTGTCTCCTGTCCCTTCCACTCTGCAAAATGTAACATAGGTATATAAATCTTTAAAGGCAAGCTATAGGTGGAAATCAGGTAGATCACGCAGAAGTTAGTAGAAGCCTGAATAGGGACTAGCTAGGATGACAAAGTGTTTAACTAGGGGGTAAAGTGTTCAACTAAGTGGCAGCAACTTTGGGCCTGTGGATGTAAGTAATAAGATGGTCTTATTTTTGTGTCCCAAACTCACATATCTCATGTGGAGCATGTAATATATAGATTTTACAGATGGAGGTGGAGATGTATGGTGTGCAGGGCTGGATTTACATGTCAGGTGCCTAGAGGCACAAAATTCTAAGCCTTCTGCTCGCCCATATATGTATGTATTTGCATATTTGTACTTTTATTGTGTTTGAATCTGTGAGTATAGTGAGTGTATGCAACTGTGTAAATGCATGTAGGGTTAAAAATGGTAAAGGGGGTTAAGGTTAGAGAGAGGTTAATGTCCCAGTTAGATCACACAGGGTATTTAGAGGGCTACAAGCTTGCAATGGGTTACAGTTGCATTATAAGGGGTATTTAGAATTATTGGGTTCACGGTGTCACGTATCCCTCATTTCCATATATAAAAAATGTGAAAAATAATATTTACATCCCCGATATCGATAGTTACTATACGGCAGCCGCTTGGTACAGTTCATGAACATCGTGGCATATCAATGGATGCCGGCCTCTGCGGACTAACTCAGTTAAATAGCCCCACCTCCGTACTCGGCAAGATTGACACCGACGTGCGTGTGACATCACGCAGATGACGCACACGCACGTTCTGTGGTCAAAGGCGAGGTACAGCCAATCGGAGCTACAGGAGGGCTATTTAAGTCCAAGTTACTTGATAGTCATTGCCCTGTCGTGGTTTCCAATAGCTGATTTTCTGAGAGTGTATTCCTTATCGTGTTTTTCTGGTATTTAACTTTGGCTTTATTTTCGACTTCCCTGATTTCTGGTATCCTTGACTTTTGGCTCTCCTCATCGTTGTGTCTTGTTCTGTGTCCCTGACCTCGGCAAGTATTCTGACTATTCTCTGTTACGTTACGTCCGGCTATTCTAAGGTCTGGTAAGACGTTATCCTTAGTTCAAGGGTGTGATACAATTCTGCGTGCTGGATCAACTATAATCCTGACACACGGTTAGAGGAGGTGTTCAATTTAGCATTAGGGTACATGGTGTGTTTAATTTTTAGGAGGAATTAAACCTGGTTTATGATAAAGGGTTTTCTTTCAGGTTTAGGTGTTTAATTAAGGCTTTGGGGAAAGGGTGTATAGGGTGCAGGCACGTGGAGTTTGAAGGGTTATTTGGAAAGTGGTCACCCTCCTGTGATTGGTAGTAGAATTGCAGGAGCTGTTAAACAGTGTGAATTACGCAGTGCTGTCCCTGCTCCTCCTGCTAGGCATTTCCTGTTAGTAGGCAGATGGGAAGTTACCCATTGTACTTCCTGTTTATCTTCTCACACAGACACTGGAGGAGCTGAGACAGCACTGAGTTTTACACACTCTGTAACTATTCCTGCAGCTCTGTTATCATGCATAGGAAGCTGGCTTGATTGCAGAGCTGCAGGAATAGGACAGGGCTTCTGGTACTTATCTCTCATCACCTTCCCACCTGAGCTCCAAAACGGACATTATAAGTGCTGTAAATAGGTGTCTCCAACAGGACAAGCGCCTGAAGATGTAGCGTTCTTTATCCCTGCAAGCTCCAGCAACATGATATGCTTAGCATGATGCAGCATTTACAGAGAGCTGTGTATGCCCAAGAGACACAGACTCTGTTTTCTGCAACAATGATAACCGCAGTGTTTCATGAATGTTATGAGCACTGTCTCCATTTACCCTGCAGTTCCATTTACACATCTCCCGGGACATCATACATACGCATCATAGTCTGACAGCTCCAGATACTGCAGTCCACTGAATACTTACTGCAAATCTACACAGTACTCGGCTAGGAAAGACCCTGCACACATCTTGCCTGTTGCCGTACTCCTACAATACAGTGCCAACATACATTCCTACACACCTCCCTGCTACTTTTAGAAGAATGGTGTGAGACTGCAGACCATAATCCCAGTATGCTTTGCAATAGCCCCATAGCCAGACTTCCCAGACTTGTTCATTTATGGCTAAGTCACACTCATTTAGTATATAAATAGCCCACAAAATAGTGCTGGTTTAGGTAATTTTCTATTCTGTCCTGAGATACAATGCTGCTGTTCTCTAACATCGAAATTGTGATTATATACATAAGAATACATAACTGATTGGCATGGTGTATGCTGGCTATCATGATACGTCTGTTGTATGTATATTCCTAATAATAGAAACACTACCTCAAAAACAAGTTTAATGTAGAACTGTCACTGACCAGGAGTCTAACTATTACATCTACTTATCACTATTAGACATGTACACAGAGGAAAAATGTAGTTTTTCTGAAAAAAACATAGTAGTTTGGGTATCCTGATGTCCATGAGGGGGTTTGGCTCATCCAAATATCGTCCATGCAAAAATATTCGGACGAACGATTCAAATCGGTGTACAGAATTTTTTGCCACCATTTAATTCACAGATAAAATTAGAAAATGTAACAAATAGAAGGAAAAAGAAGATGAGTAGTAAAAAACCCTATATTTATATTAAGACAACCACTAGAGGTGGATTTAAAGGATTACTCCAGCCCTTTTATTCAAAATGCCCTAATGGGCATTACTAATTTCAATCATTAAGAAAATAACACAAGTTCTAGGTAAGTTCTAATGGTTTATCCAAAGGTGGACATTTTAGAGAAATGGCTGTTCCCCTTTAAAATATCCTAATGCATTTGCCACATTTATAAATAAAGAATGTTTAAGGCCAGTACAAAAACTGTTATTTGCAAATTTTAACGAGAAGAACAAGCCCAAATGTTATTTCAGATACATTTTAACTTGGCCTTTGGCTAAATTGAGTCAAGAGTAAATTGTGGAGTAATTACAGTGTATTCAATAGCTTATTGTAATACTAAATAGATGTGAATGGAACCATTATTACATTGGCAGCAGAAACGTTTTGCATCATTACATTTCAAATTAAAGCTTGATAAAAAATAGTTAGATCTTGTTTTCAGCCATTTTATGGTTTTTAAAAGAACACGATTCAACTTGTCTTGTAACTCTCTAAGATAGTGAACCAAATGACAGCTATGGATGTAGCGGAGCTCCAATACCTACCATAGGTATCTCCGCTTTGCAGTCCTCGTAGCCTAAATAAGCAGCAAAATATCCCAAGACACTTTCCCCCCAGTAACTGGACGACACACAGTTCTGGGAGTCAACTGAGTTTATTTTGGCCACACACACAGCTTTTATGCACTGACGCCTACATGGGGTCTCTCACACAAAAATACAGGGCTTTTCCTCCCAAGATCCTCTGTGCCTGAGAGATAATTGCATGAGAAAAATCTATAACTCAATTATCTCTCAGGTACAGAAAAATCTACAATAAATTAAAACACCCCAAAAATGCATTTTAATATTTCAGAACCCCACGAAATTTGACGAAATGTCACTCAGATCCCTTCGGTGGTTCGGGAATGCAATTCGAATTAAGTTTTGACCGGTCGGTCATGATGTGATGCCAAAAAACTGTTCCAGAGAAAACAAGATGATCAGTCATCTTTTGGGCTGTCTCACACAACAAGAATCAAGCACATCAAATCAATTTATAACTCTTTTGACATGTGTTTTTCTGGATTTCTTTTTTATTATTCTGTCTAAAATTATAGACTGATCATTTCTTTGTCAGTGGACAATCATTCAAAACCAGCAGGGGATCAAATACTTTTTTCCCTCACTGTATATAATGCAAAATTAATGTGATAAATGCAATTAATAAAAATTCAATGCCAAAACTAAATATTAAAGTAATAGTGCTTTTATGTACACTAAACAAAATTATAAACGCAACATTTTTGTTTTTGCTCCCATTTTTCATGCTATCTAATCAGCATCTTGATATGCCATACTTGTGAGGTGGATGGATTATCTCGGCAAAGGAGAAGTGCTCACTAACACAGATTTAGACAGATTTGTGAACAATATTTGAGAGAAATGGGCCTTTTGTGTACATAGAAAAAGTCTTAGATCTTTGAGTTCAGCTCATAAAAAATTGGGGAAAAAACAAGTGTTGCGTTTATAATTTTGTTCATATACTTACAATGCAAATTATATATCTACTCAATGAAACTTTTAATTGAAGTGTCGTTACTATCCAAAACCTCCTCATATATATATACCTGTGGTCACCTCCAAAGGGGCCTCTGAGGCTCGAGGTTGTTTAACCCCAACGGGAACCTGATCTGGATTCCAAACTACATAGTAAAAACTAAAGGGAATTGGGGGCACACCCAGAACATGCATCTTGCAGGAATGGTGCTGCCCTAGTGACCAAAATGTATACATAATACAGATTAAGAAACAGTGCACTCGTAAAACACATTTCTAAATTACATAGGGGCATTTAACCCCTTAAGGACACATGACATGTGTGACATGTCATGATTCCCTTTTATTCCAGAAGTTTGGTCCTTAAGGGGTTAAAAAAAGCCTATCTTAGCAAACAAATGGGGTTTAAGTTCCACCATATGGCCATATTGTGTTAAGCCCACCACTACTTCACAGTATCCCAATATCGGTGGGTTCTACACCTCCAACGTGGGAGACAAATCAAATAGTGCTAGTGCTAAATAAGCTGAAGTGAGTAAAGAGAGGGATCCCTCTTGTTATGTGTTCTCCCTTTGAACAGAGGGTTTTAAAGGTTGTGGGTTTCCTACTCAAGAAGCAGGGCCTAGGGAGGGACTTCATAACATGAGTAAGTTGTGTATAGTAGAATACTCCAGGGACCAGAAACACACAATGCAACCCTTACACACAAAGACAATGCACCCATTGCACCAATACACAGAAACACACACTGCATCCCTTACACACACACTGCATCCCTTACACACACAGAAACACACACTAAAACACAATGCATCTCTTAAACACAACAGGCCCTGTTTGAGAGTGATGAAAGATCACAATGAACATGGATTCTATGCCAAATGTGCAGCTTAGCCCCTATAAACAAGTGCAATACCTAGATGGCAGGTATGACCCACACTTCAAGCCAAGCCAAAAATAGAAGACCGTGGAAGGGTCCTAACGTTTCCAAAGGGCACCAGGGTTTTTCTTCCCCCTGAGCCATGCCACTCAACAAATCGCAGGAGGGAAGGTAGAGTTGGGACAGCTTGATTCTATACAAATCGTACAATGCGGATTGTAGAGTGGAGAAGAATTAACTGGGAATCTGGATGGGAATCGTCTGGAACAGGTATAAAGCTCTTGGGGACAGTTTCAATTTAATGACATTAATCCTGCTGCACCTGTCCTTAAAGATGAGCCTCCATTGCCAACAAAAGCTAATTCCTTCCTGCGGTTTATATAGTGAAAAAAGAAAACACACATTTCTAGTGCATCAATTGCCTTGTACGAATTAAATGTTGCATATTATTATTATTATTATTATTATTATTATTATTATCACCATTTCTATAACAGATTCTGTAGCGCTTTACAATATTATGAGAGGGGGGATTTAACTATAAATAGGACAATTACAAGAAAACTTACAGGGACGATATGTTGAAGAGGACCCTGCCCAAACGAGCTTACAGTCTATAGCAGGCTTCCCCAAACTCCGGCCCTCCAGATGTTGCTGAACTACAACTTCCATGATTCTATGAATGAAATAGGCTGAGAATCATGGGAGTTGTAGTTCAGCAACATATGGAGGGCTGGAATTTGGGGAAGCCTGGTCTATAGGCTAGTGCTATATATTTCCATAGTGCCTTATTCTATTCTATATTGTAAACAGTATTAAATTAGACATGTAAACCATTAAGACGATGCAGTAAAAATGCATATTTCTTTGAGCTCTTAGGAAAAAGAAACAGATGTGTTCATCGTTAACTGATTTATTTTGCTTTGTATGTTCTACACAGAGATTAAAAGGCCCGGAAGTGGAAATACATGATACGCAGTCATCTAAGGAATGGATTCAAACTACTGGCATACATGCCTTGCATCTAACAATACAAGATCTACTAAAATTGGGGCATATTGTTATGTAAGTTATTCTTAAATCTTATTTAAATAAAAAAATTTTGGGTAGTCCCAATTTTTAAAACTCAATTTTTATTGTCGACAATTAAATGGGAATTAGCTCCATAAAAAGTGAGAAACAACGGAAAGTAAAGTAAATGTTAACATTTGTGTTTTGTGTAAAGAAGAAAACCTTAATTATACAAGAGCCATGTTTTATTCATACAACAAAGTTCATTATTTACTATGATTAGTAAAGTAGCCAAATGTGTTCTTTATTAGTCTTTTACTGACATCTAGTGGATTATTCTCAGTATAACAACACAGTATACTAACAAAATACAATCTGAGTTGTAGTGTGAAGTATTCTTGCCTACAGTAGTCTCTGAACATTGATGGTCCCTACACAATATTACAAATACAATAGGCAAAGCAATTTAGGCAAAATGTGCTAAATTAGATGTGGTAGTCTAAAGATATCTGTGACAATCCCGAACTGAACTCTCATCACAATTGTAGATTATGCTAACGCAGTGTACCTATAATCTAAATTTTATTAAGGAAAGGAGGCGAATATTTTGCATTAAACTCTCTTTACTAAACTCCAGCAGCACAGATTTAAGAATCAAGTTTATTGACAAAAACATATTGCAGCAGGGTATAAAAGGCCCCTCTCCCTTTATCTCTTTCTTTGATGCAATCTAACAAGAAATGCACTCTTAACCCCTTAAGGATGGCAGACGTACTATGTCGTCCTTGGGGACCCAGTCCTACACGCCGGCAGGCGGCATAGTACGTCCCCGCCGTCCTATGCACTTACCTGCTCACTGGCGATCGTGATGGGGGTACTTGCCTGGCATCCCATTTATGTGCGTGTGTATGTATAACGTGTACCATCTTCTGCACTGTCTGCTTGGGTTTTTTTTCTCCCTCTCCCCCCCCCTCACTCTGATCTTCAGAAAGATATTTATGACCCTCTGCAAGAATGCTCTCTATTTTCTATCAAACCTGTGTCTTATCTGCCCTCATGTCGCTTTAACCCCTGTATCACAACTCAACTTTGAATTCTATGTGTTGTCTTGCTCAGAAATGCTTTAGATTTGAGAAAGGAAGGTTGTCCCAAAAGCTTGTCATTAAAAAATTCTGTTAGTCCAATAAAAAAGGTATTACAAGATACAAATTTTATCTGCTTTTTACATCTACATCACTGGACTAATACGGCTACAATCTCTACTTGTATAATATAAAATGAATTTTAAAAAATAAAAAGTAAATAAAAATTATATATACATGTGTAATTTCGTTCTAACTGTATTTTGATATATATATATCTCAAAATACACGTAGAACAAAATTATTTATATATATATTTATATATATATATTTATATATATATTTATATATATTTATAAATATTTATAAATAATATACAGTTGCACGAAAAAGTATGTGAACACGTTGGAATGATATGGATTTCTGCACAAATTGGTCATAAAATGTGATCTGATCATCTAAGTCACAACAATAAACAATCACAGTCTGCTTAAACTAATAACACACAAAGAATAAAATGTTGCCATGTTTTTACTGAACACACCATGTAAACATTCACAGTGCAGGTGGAAAAAGTATGTGAACCCTTGGATTTAATAACTGGTTGAACCTCCTTTGGCAGCAATAACTTCAACCATCCGTTTCCTGTAGTTGCAGATCAGATGTGCACAACGGTCAGGAGTAATTCTTGACCATTCCTCTTTACAGAACTGTTTCAGTTCAGCAATATTCTTGGGATGTCTGGTGTGAATCGCTTTCTTGAGGTCATGCCACAGCATATCAGTCGGATTGAGGTCAGGACTCTGACTGGGCCACTTCAGAAGGCGTATTTTCTTCTGTCTAAGCCATTCTGTTGTTGATTTACTTCTATTTGGGTCATTGTTCTGCTGCAACACCCATCTTCTGTTGAGCTTCAGATGGCCTTAAGTTCTCCTGCAAAATGTCTTGATAAACTTGGGAATTCATTTTTCCTTCGATGATAGCAATCCGTCCAGGCCCTGACACAGCAAAGCAGCCCCAAACCATTATGCCCCCACCACCATACTTCACAGTTGGGATGAGGTTTTGATGTTGGTGTGCTGTGCCTGTTTTTTGCCATACATAGTGTTGTGTGTTTCTTCCAAAACACACAACACTATGGGGGAGGTCGGTTTATTATTTAGAAAATGTGTTTTAGTAGATGTGTTTGTGAATGACGTTTCACATCAGAGCTACACTTGTGGTTGGCACTGTTGCCGCCATTTGTCCCATTTTTGCCATGCTGTTTGCCAAGTTTTGTGTGCGGATCTCAGTCGCCTTGCCTCCATTTCATATATTTTGGTGGTGTCTATTGTATCTAGGCACTGCTGGGTGCTTGGTGTGTTTCTGCTCAGCCATGCCCTACTTATAGTCGTTAGCGCTGCGATGATAATATGATTCATTAGGTATAGATCAACCTTTTGTAGGTCATGTGGGAATATCAATAGTAGATATGTTTCAGGTAAGTGCGGTAGTGTAGTACCGGTAGATGTTGTTGTTATTATGTCTGAGATGCCTTTCCAGAAGGTTTTAATCTCCGTAAGTCCACCAGATGTGGAGCATTGACCCCGGCTCTTCCAAGCATCTCCAGCAGGACCCTGACTTGTTGCGATCGAGTTTGTGTAGCCTAGTTGGTACCATGTACCAGCGGTAAAGCACTTTCCTACTGGTTTCGATATGAGAAGTGTTCAGTGTGAGGGTTTTGTGTGCCTCAAGCGTTTTTAACCATATTTTGTCAGGTATGGTCTGGTTTAGGTCCTTTTCCCATGCCTTCATGAAGCTTAGTTTCCCTACGCAGTCGTATGTCTTAGTCATTTTGTACAAGAGTGACAGCATTTTTTGGGGTGGCTTTTGAGCCATACACATTTTTTCTACCTCCGTTGGTGTATAGTTCTGTGTTTGTGCTGTACTTATATCGAAGTGTTTCATTGCCCATGACTGTAGTTGCAGGTACGAGAAATAAGCTCTAGAGGGGAGGTTAAATTGTTTGGTTAGGGAGTTGAAGTCTATCAGGCGATCATTTGTCGTTATTTGGGATAGGTGTGTGACCCCGTTTTTATACCATAGGCCTTGGTCAAAGCCCGGAATAAGGAGTTGGAACGCCTGGATTTGTAAGGCCGGGGATACATGTGTGTTGGGATAGTGTTGTTTAGTGTATTTGTCCCAAATGTGGAGTGTCGCTGCTGTGGTGGGGCAGATATTTTTAAATTTCGGCCTTTTGTGCTTTGGCACCCAAGCCAACGTGGACATCCTGAATCCGTGTGTGTTGCTTCTATTAGACTCCATGTTGGCGCAGTTGTTGGTGAAAGGTGGATATGAGTGTGGTCATCATGGCCGCTGTGTAGTATCTCGTGACGTCTGGCGCCCCCATCCCACCCTCCTTGAAGGGCCTTTACATGGTTTCCGCTGCTATTCTAGGTCGTTTCCCTCCCCAGATGAATTGGTTTATGAGGCATTGGGCTTCTTGGAAGAACTGTCTTGGCAGCCCTATCTGGAGTGTTCTAAAGAGGTACTGTAGTCTCGGTAGTACCATCATTTTCATCGCCGCTATTCGGCCGGTCCACGAAATATATTTCCCCTTCCAAGTTTGTAGCTGTTGTTTAATTGCAGTGAGTAGTTTTATATAGTTAGCTTCATATAGCTTTTGTGTTGCGGGCGTGAGATCAATTCCAAGGAAGGTTAAATGGTCGCGTCTCCAGTCATATGTATGTTGGCTTTGTAAGTGGGAGAGTCGTGATTTAGTAATGTTGAGGCCCATAGCTTGTGTCTTATTAATATTAAGCTTATAGTACGAGCAATTGCTAAATTTAGTTAATATAGTTTGGAGTTGTGGTAGGGAGGTGTCAGGTTTAGACAGTGTAAGCATGACATCATCAGCGAACAGGGTGATCTTGTATGTTTTCTCCCCTATGTGTATCCCATGGACTTCGTGTGAGTCTCTTATATGTTGGGCTAGAGGTTCTAGTGCCAGTATATAAAGTAAAGGTGAGAGTGGACAGCCCTGCCTAGACCCATTGGAGATGTGGAATGGTTTGGAGGTAAAGCCTCCGTTAGCTATTTTTGCTGTCGGGTTAACGTATAGCGCACAGACCAGTGTAATAAAGCATGCGGGGAATGCAAATCTCCGCAACACTGCCTCCAGGTATCCCCAGTGTAGCCTGTCAAAAGCTTTCTCTGCGTCCAGTGACAGTGCCACACTGGGTTCCCCCGATTTCTGGATCTCTTGTAAGATGTTGATTAGTTTCCTGGTACCGTCTGAACCCTGCCTACCTTGGACAAACCCCACCTGGTCTTCCCGTATCAGTGTTGGTAGAATGTCTCCCAACCTATTTGCATAGATTTTCGCTAAGATTTTTAGATCTGTGTTTATCTGCGCAAATTTTGGCATTTATGTGGTGGCTTTGCTGGTTTTGGTAGAGTTGTTATGTGGGCTAGCAGCATGTCTCTAGGTATGGTGCCTGCAGTTAGAATACTGTTGTATAGTATTTCCAGTTTGGGGATTAGGATATGTGAGAAGGTCTTGTAGTACAAATTCGTAAAGCCATCTGGCCCTGTCGATTTCCCTTTGGGGAGGGTTTTGATTGTGTGCTCGATTTCTCTTTGAGTTATGGGTTCTTCTAAGATTGTTCGGTTTGCCTGCGAAAGTTGTTGTATTTGAGCTTCTTTTAGGAATGTATCAATTTCCGTTGCTAGTGGTTGGTGTGTGTGTTCATCATTTTGAAGGTTGTACAATGTATCGTAATAGTCCGCCAGCGTGTCGTTTATGTCGTGAGGGTTGTACATTTTGTTTCCTAACGAGTTTATGAGGAATGGTATTTTCGCATTCTGTCTTTTCTGCCTCAGCAGTGCCGCTAAAGCCTTCCCTACTCTGTTACCTTGAGTGTATGTTGTTAGTTTCAGCCTATGTGTCATGGTGGCTGTATTTCGCAGATGGATGTCATTTAATTTCCCCTTTAGTTGATCTATACCATGGTGTCTTCCCTCGGGATTGGAATTTTTATGTTCAAGTTAGTTGTACTGGGGTATTATGTTTCCTATTTCACTGTATGTAACATTCGTTAACAGATCCCCCGAGACAAATATGAAGTCTATTCTGGTGTATGTTTTATGTACAGATGAGTAAAATGTAAATTCTCGACCATTTGGGTGTTGTGTCCTCCAAATATCATAGAGATTGTGCTCTGAGAGGAGTTTCATAATGGCCGTGGCCTGTTTGCATAATGTTTTGCGTCTAGGGGACGTGTCTGACAGTGTTGTGTCTAGTCGTGGTTGCAGTATGTGGTTTAGATCCCCACATATAATTGTGGGTGACTGGTGGGTGGTAGGGAGTTTGTTTAGCACTTTCTGTATGAAATTCCTTTGGTTATTGTTTGGTCCATATATTCCCACTATGGTATATAAGGTGTCATTGAGATTGAGTTTACAGTGTAGTATAAGATATCTGCCCTGTGCGTCTTTTTTGAGGTGTAGAAGTTCGAATGATACTGAAGAGTGTATGAGGAATGAAACGCCTCATGATTTAGAGGAGTATGTCGAGTGATATTGCGTAGGGTAATCTCTGCCAGCAAAGCTGGGTACCCTGTTGTGTACAAAATGTGTCTCTTGTACGCATAGTATGTCTGACTTAGTGCGCTTAGCGTCATCTACCAAGAGTCTCCTTTTGTGTAGTGTATTCAGTCAACGTGCATTAATGGTCTGTATTTTCATCATTTGTGTAGGTTGTGTAATTTAGCTGCTCAGGTCCTGGAAGTATACGATTCCGTGGATTCCTGGATTCCGTGTCTCTGCTGTGCGAAGTGGGTCAGGTTTTTGGTGTTGTAGAGTTGCATCAAGTGGGCAAGTGGGTGTCGATATAGGTCTTATGTTTTGTAGCTCCTTTGGTGGTTCATGGCCGACCATGGGTGATTTCGGATTAGGGGAAAAACAACTTGGGGATGTATGTGAACTATGTACAGGGTGTCTCTGTCTGAGACGTTATGTGGGCTTGCCACATCTACAATTTTTTTTTTTAATGTCTCACTGTTTATCGATTGAATTCACATTTTATATAATAAATGTTAAATGTAAAATATGGAGACTACACAAAATACTTCATTAAAATAAGTTATTAAGATACGTTTGAAAAAGTCATACTTTTTAGGATCTCCCTAGTCTATTTTAATGTCAATAAAACCTATAGACTGGCCCTAATCTATTAAAGGAACACTATAGGTCTGCACACAAACCTGTATTCTTGACCCTATAGTGTTAAAAACACCATCTAGCCCCACTGCCCTTCCGTTCTTACGTTTATTCCAGTCTGTTGGTGCTGGCTCTGCTTTCTTGGCTGGCATAATCAGAAGTGATGATCTTCCCATAGGAAAGCATTGGATTGGCTGAGCTTGTCAAGGAGGCAGTTCAGAGGCAGAGCCAGCACTAGCCAAACATAGTCCTGTTAAACAATGATTCTATTTCTACTCATTTGCAATGTCTTCCTTGACTGTGTTTGAACTGAACTGAACTGAACTGGACTGGAATGCACAACAACAACAACAAAAGACAGACATGATTATTCACTAAAGGGAGAATTTAAAGTGAATTTTAAAGTTAAGGTCAAAATAGCTGAACTGGAAAAAGTCAGTTCGGCCAATCTGGCTTTGAAGTTGAAATTCACTATGAATTCACGTTGCGTTCTAACTTTAGTAAATAAACCTGCTAGTTATAATTGCTATTTAAATGCATGGTGATAACATCTATCAAGTGGCCCCTTTTCTACTAGAAACAAAAGACCATCTGTCCCTCTTTACTTTAATCTTCCATTGTGAGTGTTCATTTACTGTCGATAAATGTAGCACTAAGCTCCGCAGCAATTGCATTCACAGAAATGTGCAGTATAAATCTGTAACGGAGCTCCACAGCAATAAAACTGAGCAATGGTAAAATTACATCTTTACATTGCTTTTCACAGTTTTAAGGTTCTCAGAAGATCATTTTTTTCTATAATTGTTTCCCCTGCAATTAAATAAATGTCCAAACTATTCCCCAATTCCCAATATGTTTTCTTTTTTCTTTAATTGTAGGAGACGAACTACTGATGCCTCCAAGCATATTGAATTCTCTGCCCACACAATCAATGAGTTTGAATCCAAGATACACGAGTAAGTATTGAACAGTATGTATACACATTGTAACATGCTTAAAGAGATACTATCACTTATATGGAAATGACCGTCCCTTGTTCCTTTATCCCAGTAAATAGTATTGAATCAAATATTGGGGTGCATTGTGCTGCAGAGATGTTAAAATACTTGCCTCCTTAGCACTCCTATTCAACTTCACAGCATTGCCCTATAGCAGGCTTTCCTAAACTCTGGCCCTCCAGATGTTGCTAAACTACAACTCCCATGATTCCCAGTCTGTCTATTTCATTCATAGAATCGTGGGAGTTGTAGTTCAGCAACATCTGGAGGGCAAGAGTTTGAGGAAGCCTGCCCTTTAGTGTTCTGGGTATATAGCTAGGCATTACTTGTAGATTAAAAAAATATGAAACCTCCCTACACCACCATTTCATCGTCGATTTGCAAGGTGTGGAGTCTAATACTGGCTATTCTATAAGACAACTTTTAACCACCCCACCTTTTGTGCACTCTCTCCTTTTTCTTTCTTGTCTTTTGGCTTTTCTTCTCCTGTTCTCCTTTTGTTCCTCCTTTTGACCGCTGTTTATTATAACGTATGATCCAGGATGCTGATGTGGTTTTTGGACTACAATGTTCTAGCTTTATATTACATTAGCCACAGCCTTTCTGTGACTGAATTGTTTTGCTCTCTGTTTGATATTCTGTATCAATCTATCAGCATCTGTATTGTGCTGTTTCACAGTATTAACACTGACTTATTATTTTGCCTTGCCATATTTGTGTTTAAATAAAGAATTTAAAAAAAATATAAAAACAGTGAATTTTAGAAAAATGTATGCACAACATGTGAGTGGTTCAAAAACGTAAGTACAGTTCTACTTTAATCTCATGAAAAGTGTATTCTTCTATTTATTACTAGTTATTTTACAATATTTTCACTATTATTAACTCAAATGATTTACCTCTGCTATTTTGACCTGACATTTGCTTTGTCTCAATTATTTAATGTTAAGTTTTGTGAGTAAATCTCCACATGTAATAATTAAATAATCAAATTCTTCAAAAATTGTAACTCTAGTAATTTTACATATTTATTTTTACCTTCATTGTGCCTGTTTGCTTATAATGTGCCCTGTGTTATGCTTTTTTTCCCTCTCTGCTGAAACCTACAATTTTCACTTTTACAGTAATAAATAATTTAATGATGTTCTGTTAACTCTGATCACTTTAAGTATTTGAGAAAGATAAAAACTTTATGAAATTTTCATGTTGGCTGTGATGGAATTTCATTGATTGCATTGGAATTCCATTAAAAGTCCAATGCAATCAAGAAATATAAGACAAAATATAAACTTATCTTATGGGCAAAGTTCAGGTTGGCTACAGTCAATTTTGTCAACGGTTTTAGGTACAGCAATGGGAAAAGATGTTTTCTCATGCATTGTGCGAGTTAGTCTTTTGAGGATCCCACAGTCTTGCAGAATCGTCCATAGGCCTCTGTGTTGTACCTTTTTGGAACATCGTGAGCTGAAGAAAGAAGTTGGAAGCGCCAGTGAAGGAGAGCTTTGCTAAGTATTTACCTTTAGATTCACCCTCAGGCAGTGTTAGGTGGCAAAAAAAAGCCCTGGTTATACAGGGTGGCCCATAAGTCCCTACCCATCCAGCACAGATACACTGGATACACAAGATATATGGATGGGTAGGGACTTGTGGGCCACCCTGTTAATAATTCATTGTCTGAGATTCTCAGCAAATGTCTCTGAGCTAATGAATAATGTACAAAATTAGAAAGAGTTGATGTGATAATCCTGAAGATTAGAATAGCTGTGAAGACTGGAAGGGACAGGTAAGTGTCAAAGTGTTTACAAATGTTATAACAACTTACTGTCAGACAGTGCTAAGCGACTCCTAGCACTATACAGTTACCACTGTAATGCACTGTAGTTGCTATGGTGCTTAGAGTGTCCCTGTAAAGTCTAATGGTGTCTTTCTAATGGTGAAAAATACATTTAAATGCTGTGTTTTGCATTGTCATTCTATAAATTAACTATGAGGCATAATTTTCTATGTTTTGTGTGTGTTTCAGAGCTGTTGCACTGTACCAACAAAGAATCCGTTTCTTGATGAAAGGAAGTAAGAAGGTGATTTAGAAAATGGAATTACGGTTCTGTATTGAAATAGTAATACATATAAAATACATTGTTTGCTAGTATTAACAAGGAGCTGTGCAATTTAAACAGTCTCCCATTAATGATATGCTGGGAGAGTTGCTTGGAAGAGAGAAGCATAATGTCTCTGTCTCTCCAGCTCCTTTCCTGGCATATAAATTTAAAGAGAGGGACTGAAATATTCATGGGAGAGGCAAATAGCAGCTTCTGCTCAAGGGTATAATTCTCATTTATTTTGGACAGACGTGGACATATTTGTCTTGGTGATTCTCTGAGATTAAGGGCCATAATGTTTGGATTTAAATAATGATGTGCTCGTTGAGTTACTGAAGGAACACTATGGCATTATCGCCCTGCCTCCTGGCTGAGATCATCAATCTGGATGATAGCCAATCCAATGCTTCCCCATAGTGAAGCATTGGGAGGCTAGTGTACATGTGCAGCAAATCTCCACACTGCTCCAAACGGCATCTCCTCATAGAGATGCAATGAGTCAATTTGGGAGCATTGAGAAGCTACATTAAGAGAATGGAGACTCTGCTTTCCTATGGACTGTTTGAATGCACGCGCGGCACTTGCCGTGCATGCGCATTCCGCTCCACTCGGGAGCTGACGTCGGCAGGGGAGGAGAGGTCACCAGCGCCGAGGGAGCCAGGCGCTGGATAAAGGTAAGCTGCCGAAGGGGTTTTAACCGCTTCAGCGCCACGGGAGGGGGACCCTGAAGGTACTATAGTATCAGGAAAACCGCTTTGTTTTCCATACAATTTAGTGATCCTTTAATTCACTAAACCCCGAATTAAAATGTTCCAATTCAGTTTTAAGTTCACCACTTGTTGTTTTGTGAAGAAACCACTTTTTAAGATATTCATTTTAATTCACAGCTGTACACACTTTAGTAAATAATCTCATGTGAATTTTCAGGAATTTAAAGTGAATTCTAACAAAATTTAAAAGTTTAGGCCAAAATAAGTGCTTAGAGTACCCATCTAATGAATAATCTCAACCAAAATGCATAATTTCCTGCAAACAAAATATGTCCCACCCTGCCAGTCTGGCTACTTTTTTCTAATTCTGGTACTTTGGCTACATTTGAAACATGATTTGGAGCTCCCTGTTCAACGACTAAGCCTCCTTATCTGTATTTAGCTAAATCTGTGTTCACATTGATTTAATTTCAACCTATTTTGCACATTGCAGATGTTTGGCCTTATAAAAGGGAACAACGTTGGATTGCTGGTTGATTCTTCAGATCTAAATTGTGGAGCAAGGAGAATGGATTTCTTAAGAAACCTATTGGTAATAGAGTGCACATGTTTGAAACCAGCAGAGTAACTGAATTGTCCAATCATGTAAACATGGCAAAGTTTTCAGACACCATCTGATTATTTGATATGCTTCGGGTCAGAAATATCAAAAGATAATAAAGTCTTAAAGTGATCTGTTGCTAAGATGGCCTTTATAATAATAATAAATAATAATAATAAAATCAATGTTTTTTTTTTGTCTCTAAACATATTTTCTAAACTTCATAAATCAGAAGCTGATTAATAGATGTTATCTTTACCCAATGTGTTATTACTCATGTTAGCGACCTCCGTAAGGTAACAGACTGAAGAGATCTAGATTAAAACGTGAAACCGAGTTTTAAACCTATTTTAATAAAATGGAAGGTAAAACATTAACTGTAGAATCTTGGGGATAATATATGCACTGTATGTTGTGTATGTTTTGTGTGAAATAAAATCGGCAATAAATTACAGACATTTAACAGATGGTAGATGATATATACAGCATTGTAAGCCATTCTTATTTTATCACCTTTACATTATTTGGCAATAGCAGATACAGCCATTTATCATGACCCTCAAACATAGGAGCAAGACTAACAATCAAAACCATTCAACAAAATAAAACTCCTAGAAACTAACTTCTAATTGTCTTCTCTCTGGTTCATTAAGCAGTCATTCCAAACTGTTATTTATGTGTAGAAAAATCTTGGTTCGGCGAGTGTATGGGATAGGTAAAATTACATGTAGATGAATTGTCACCTCTCTGGCTGTTTACTAGACAGTGAACACCAGGGATTGTTTAAATGGACACTATAGGCACCAAAGCAACGTAATGAAGCAATTTTGGTTTGTGGACCATCCCCCTGCATTCTTCCTGCTCAATTAATTCTCTGCCATTTTGGAGTTAATTCACTTTGTTTACGAAACCCTAGTAAAGAGAGATCTAATGTTTAAACTGCCTATATTACATAGTCTGATTAATTTAGTACCTTTTTTCTCTCCTGCTCTGTTAATAGCCTGCAGGAGCTTCCTTTGTGTAATTAAAGTTCATTTTACAGAGAAGGAGATACAAACTTCTAAAGTAAGTTGAGATCTGACTGAGAATTAAACCATGTTTTGCATGCAGACTGTGTGATATAGTCAGGGGAGGTGTGGATAGGGCAGCATGGACAGATACAAAAGTGATTTAACTCCTAGATGGCAGAGAATTTAGAAGTGCAGGGGCATGATCTATTCACAGAAACCGCTTCCTTGGGCTAAAGATGTCTATAATATACATTTTATGATTTTCTTTTGGTTAATCGTATCTAGCAGTCCACTCATTTTATTATAACTGCTGCATTCTTTGATTAGTTAAATGCCTTTTCTCTTTCAGTGTCTTGTCGATGAACAGCTTTGTTACAAGAAGGAGCTGTACTTTCTTTCTTTTGGATCCCAAGTTTCATATCTCTGGGCCACGCCACAAGATGTTAACGTACAGAGGTAAGTGTGTTCCAATACATTAAACATACTCCCTTTTTGTTTTGTTTTTTTATTAAAGTTTAAATTATTTCACATCATATATACAACAGTAAATAAATGGCACAAATAATTCACAATGGTGCATATGGTCAATGGTTGTGATGTAGAACCTTATGAGATGGTTTTCACTAAATATAAGCCAACCACAGATCTATGGGGTAAATAGAAGTCTGATTTGAATATGGCATTGTTTGGATGTACTCACTGTGATAACAAAATAAAACATACTCATAGACAAGGATAACAGACACCTTCCTACACAAACACATAGGGATCACAGACATCCTTCCACAGACACAAAGGGATCACAGACACCCTCACCCACCTGCACAGACTTGGATCATACCCTCACACATACACATATAGGCATCACAGACAATCTCCCACACAGACTTGGATGACAGACACCCTCACTCTTCCCCACACACACACACACACAAATAGGGATCGCAGGCTTCCTCGCACACAGAGACACACTAAGACAGGGATCACAGACATCCTCTCACACAGACACACATTAAGATAGGGATGACAGACATCCTTTCACACAGACACACACTAAGATAGGGATCACAAGCACTCCTCTACAAACACAGAGTGTTATCAGGGATGTCCTCACACACATTTAGGGATCACACCCCCCCCCCCCACAAATATATATCACAGACTCCTCACACATTCACAGATAGTGACCACAGACACCCCACACACACACACAATTCATAGAAAACCCTCCCACACAAACTCACATATAGGGAGCATGAAACCCATCTTAGTTCATGGTGCAAACTACACCAGCGTGCGTGGCTCCAAATGCAATGTCTTCTCCATGCAGAAGTTCCACCCCATTCACTCCCAACTGAAAGGCACGAGAGGGACAGGAAGGCCAACATAATTTATGATCATAACTAGCATTTCAGTTTGCATTAGCAATTTAAATACTTTTACTGTCCATAGTGTCCCTTAAAGGATTCTGTGAAATAACAATGAAACATAATTTTCCCATTTGTTGAGGTAGCTTAAAGTAACTTAACAAAAACTGTGTCTCCTAAGCAGTGATCAACATACAGTCCAAATATTTACGTCTTAGGACGAACCAGTCCAACTGTCATCAGTTTATTTCATTAAAGAATATTCTTTTGAATAATAATACAAAATATGGGGTTCAAGCAGAACAGATCACAGAATCAGATGTGTGTTAGTATTTCATTTGCTTAAAACATTTTCTATATCTTAGCCTTCATGAAGCCAGACAGTGGATTCAAGAGCTGCAGCCTCGAGGTGGATGTAATTTACTCCTGGCGCTAAGGAAGGCTGTCTGCATAGAAAAACTGGATTCTCTTGTCATCATTGTAGGCAGCTGGTATGATTCATATTCCTATTCTAAGTATTATTAATCCATAATGATTTGATCAAGGTTGAGAGATAGATATAAGAGATTAGGGGGGAAATTTAGGACAGGAAATGTATAAATGAAAAATGTGATTAAAGGAAGACTCTAATTAATGAAACACTCTAATGTTAAAAATAAATATATTCCAAGTTTAGAGTGTTTCTTTTAAAGTTTAGATGTTTTAAATTTAGATTTATTTTAAAACGTGCATTAAAACTCCTCTATAATCCAGAGTTGGAACAGTCTCCTTGCTGCAGTCTGATACCCTCACAATGAGATTATCAATCCTGATGATCGTTGGTCCAGGAAGATGCTTCTCATTAAGGACCTACAGCGCATGCGTGCTAAACACTACAATCCACCAATCCAATGCCTCTCATAAAAAGCACTGAATCCAATGCTTCTAGTTTGCGTTGATTGACAATATAAAATATGAAAACCTTAGAAAATCTGTCTGATAGTCACTAGAGGCGTATTTTCAGTCAAATGTAAAAATTTTAATTTTCCTTTTTTTTTTTTTTACAATATAAAAATTAAAACATTTTTATATTGTCCAAAAAATGGGAAGGAGTCTTTGCATCAAAACTTCTACATTTAGATGTACTGCTTTGGAGTGTCCCTTTCATTAATGCAATTGCAGCTTCCAACAATAGCAATATGCACAAATCAATTAATGCAATCACAACCCATCTTAATACAGTATTGAGAGTGATATACAGTGATTACCATTTATGTTAAGGAGAATTCCATTGTCGAAACAAAAATAAATAAATAAAAATGAAATAAATGAATCACTATTTTGTAGATATATCCCCAATAAAAACATGCATGCATTTATTTCTGCATTTGTTCTTTGAGGTTCCATCTAAAACCGCTCACAAAAGCTGCAGATCTCTTGTCTTTAGTAGTTGCAAGCTGTCCTCTTTTTCCCCAGCACAGGCAATCAATCTGTATTGGGGAATAATCCAGTTAAAGGCTGCATATTAAGAATCTTCTGTGCTTGAATGTACTAACTTCCTTTTCATATAATGAGTTTAACTTCTACATGTTTTCCATCATCAGCCCTGACCAATCTTCAGAGGTTTTATCGGACTTTATTCAGCAATGCACTCTGGGAAGAACACTCCAAATTCACATTGTGGCATATGACAGCACCGGCCAGGTAATTGATGATCTATTTATGTGTATGGCATTGTTCATTAATGCATTGGCTGCATGGTCACTAGTAACTGACTACACTGCAAAATCTCTCTATTCTGATTGGTTACTTTATGTCAGAGACAGAATGTGGATTTCCTCAGACGGTTATTCACTGAAATCCGGTTGGACCCATTCTGCGTAGAGCAAAACCATTTGCTGCTGTAGGAGGCCATTGGGACCGCAAACTCTGAACATTGTTCACAGTATTTAACAATGTCCAGATTTTGCAGAGCAAGTTCCAAACTTTCCTGAATGTGGCCCAGAAATCAGCCAGACCGAAAGCTGCCGCTTAGAATCTCGGCTCGGATTTTACAAATCCAAACTATTTGCCTGCTTTGCGGCCAGCAGGCAAAAATGAAACCCTTGGCAATGCAAGAATTAACCATGTTACGGCTAGCCAGCTCTTGCTTGCCAGCTGCCACATTAATAAAGTGAAAAAAAGGCCTGTGGGGTCACTATGACTTCAGTTAGTGTTAGTGTAGGGAGATTATAAAACCTCCCTTATGCCCCCAAGTACCCGATCTAATAAACAGTGAGCAGCCATTGGCTGCTATCTGTAACTATAAACTTGTGACTGGGCAGCCATTGGAATTTGAGAAGAAAAGAAGGCATGTGTTGTTGTCCGTGGGATTTGGCATACCAGTGATTGAACAATCATTAGTTTATAGTTAAAGTGAGCTGCTGCTGGCTGATCACTGTTTAGTAGATATGCCTGCACCCATGGCATGGCAGGTGGAGACATAGGGGCGGTTAAAATCTTTCCTTGTGGTAATACGGGGGTCATATTGGCCCCAATGGGCTTTTTGATTTTTTATTTCTATTTTATAATGTGGCTACTAGCTAACAAGAGCTGGCCACCTGCCACATAACTAAACTTAGTGCCAACAATTTTCTATTAATTGTTTACCCGCTGGCTGCTATGGCTGGTTGCATTCAGTCCTTATTCAGTTTAAAATGGGTGCTTTGTACATATTATGAATCCTATACTTTGTACAAGGTTCGGATGCAAAAACCACTGACCTTCAGGTCTCAAATTAGATTTTAGCTAAGTTATTCCACCTCCAAGGAAACCTCTAACATTTGTGTACCATATTGATTCTACTCACAAGGCACAGTAAGACCGCCAATGGTCATGGTGCTTACAGGTTACAGACCCCTTCCCCTAGTTCTGAGTCAAACCATTTTCAGTCAGTTCGATACAAATCATTCATCCTTGTTCTCTGTATTACCAACGTGGAAGATTCAGTGTAACTTTAACAATGTGAATTTTCTTTAGATTTTGACAATGTTAATTGGCTGAGCGCATCAGCAGTCATGCTCAGTCAGTCAATGCTGTATAAATATTAAAGAAATTGTTATTGCTAATGTGGGACTGTAATTTCCACGTTTGTAAAATGCTGAGAGAACAGCCAACTGTAGGATACTGGGGAGGAGGGGGGCTTGTTTTTTGTCAAACAGATCAATAACGTTATTTGTGTTTTTTAATTAAGGTGACAAATTCAGAAACAGTTTCTAACAAAAATGGACAAGCAAGATTGTACAAATAACAGTTAGACACCAGTAGCACATTGAAGATGGGTATATAAATGTAAAACAATTACAATTCAATTCCTGGCGTAGGTAATGGGTAGGATATGACACTTAGAACAATTACAATGATTTAGATACGAGCAGCATGATGAAAGTTGACACACAGAATTGTTAGTCATTGTAGGGGAATAGAATGAACACGATAAGTAGTGTAATGCAAGTGTGCAAATAGCGTTATAGCAAGTAAGAACTGGTAGCATTTTAATTAGAAAAAAAATCTAATTACCAAATAAGCAATTATTTCTCGTTTGATACAACTAATATAGTGTTGACTGAGAGAGGGAAAGAAATATTGTTTTAGCATAATCAAGTGCCAACTCTTGCTGTAGGTCTAACTTTGGTCATACTCATCAAGTATGTAAAGTGAAGGCAAATATGGGAGTATAAATATTTTAGTTTCAATTCTAGAGGCTGGGGTGAATGAACCTGTGGGAGGTCTATTCTGCTCTCCTTGTCACTCAATTCTATGCCAGTAAATTGATTGACATATGGAAGAAAGCTATTTTGAAATAGTTTTTTTTTCTCATGATCTATTCATTTACCAGCAAAACTGCTAATGCATTATATATATAGAATGTAATACAATTTAATCGTATGACACGTACCCTAAATAGAGTCAGTCTAGGCACTATAACCACAGCACACAAGGGGCCATCATCCTGTTAAGAATCAAACTGTTGTCCACTCATTTTTGGTTGACATTCATTGACTGAAAGCATCATCAGGGTTTTCCTGATATTAAAATGTATTATCAAGCGGGGTTAGTTTTCCATATAGCTCTTTTAAACAAAGAACAAATACAAATGGAAACATGGTTTAAAATAGAAACAGAGATTTGTAGTAATGAAGATCTCTCTATTCTGATATGGTCTTCCAAGGAAGGGAACTATTCTTCATCTTTTGTTCTAAATCAGCTTATCCCAATGTGGATTAAAATAAAGAAGAAATTCAAAATTAACAATAAACTATTTGATTTTCACAAAAAATAGATATGGTAGAAAAGTAAATTTAAATATATCCTTAAAGAATTGGAGGGAAAATAATGTTATGTAAATAAAAAATTTAACGAACAATGATAAAATCAAACATTTTTATTCCCTTTTTGAGGAATTTCGGTTGCTGAGTAGAGAGATCTTCAATTTTTTACGCGTGAAGAATTTTCTATCTAAAAAAAATCATACTCTCTAATGGAGAATTGTATAAGCAGATGAGATCAGTCTTTTATACATATACTTTGAAGCATCAGTTTTCTAAATGTTTTAAAATTATTGACTCAGGGAAGGCCAAATCTATCCCTTTGGTAATACAAAGATGGGAAAAATATCCATATTGAAGAAGAGGAGTGGTGTTTGGCACTCCATTAAGTGAATAAATTAATTTACGGTCTGTCTTTAGTCGAAACTGGTATGTGGTCCCATCTAGATTAGCAAAAATCCATCAAAAGTATAAACAATCTTGTTGGAGATGTGGGGCTGAACTAGGCAACTACCTACATATATGGTGGTCTTGCAAAAAGGTTTTTCCCCTATGGACTTCAGCTCAGAATATTATTATATATTTAAGTAACTTAAAGGTACCCCCAAAACCAGATATTATGCTGCTACATCTTAATTGGCCAAGTATGACAAAGATTCAACAGCTACTACTAACCCATTGTTTACTTGCAGTTAAGATACTGATAGCAAGACGTTGGCAAAAAGACAGAGACTTTGCTTCAGCCCAAATTAAATCACAGTTAAAGTTCCAAATTCAAATGGAAAGAGGAATGAGTCATATTAAAGGGTTATATAAAGACGTAGATCAGTGGGACAAACTGTTATACCTTTTTGAGACACTGGTTAATAATAAGGATGTATAAGTAAATAATTATATGATTAAAAGGTGTAGTGAAAGGAAAAGAGGATGAAGATAGAAATGATATTCCTCATAGACCGACTCTATGTAATATAATTAGTATATCTTCAATATGATCGAACAAATTTTTTATAAAATATACTATGGTATTTTCAGACACAAATCTTAACAAAGCATGTATGAATGTTTCTATTTATGTAAAAAACAAAAACAAAAACAAAAAAATTGTCCTAAAAAAAAAAAAAAGAAATCGAACTGCTACCTTCAGCATAATCAAGTCCCAGTTTGCGGGGCCACATGACCCATAGGTACAAAGTGGGCAGCCTTAGGGGGGATCCAGATATGCATGCTTGACTGCATTTCTGGAGTATTTGCCGGGACTGGAAAGCCCAATGCCCTTAGGAGGGTAGGCAATTCTGTGTTGATATCTTATGTAGAGTTATGTAAAAAACATTTTGGCCTGTCAGGGTGGTCAGAGAGAAGCCACAGGGCATCTTATGTAGTGAGGCTGGTCTTCTGGTGTGACTGTATCTGGAACTCCTCTGATTTTCAGATGGTTGCACCAGAGTACGTGGAAGACATGAGGGAGCATATTGATGAGCTTGCAAAGTTAGCAGAGAGTCGTTTAGAGATGACTAGACCTGCTTGAGGTTGGCTATGTCATCCTCGGATGTTTATACTTTATCCACGACCACCTGTATGTCAGCCTTAAAGGACCACTATAGTGCCAGGAAAACATACTCGTTTTCCTGGCACTATAGTGCCCTGAGGGTGCCCCCACCCTCAGGGACCCCCTCCCGCCCGGCAATGGAAAGGGGTTTACACTTACCTTTTTCCAGCGCTGGGCGGGGAGCTCTCTGCCTCCTCTCCTCCCCGCCGGCTGAATGCGCACGCGCGGCAAGAGCTGCGCGCGCATTCAGCCGGTCGCATAGGAAAGCATTTACAATGCTTTCCTATGGGCGTGCTCTCACTGTGAAAATCACAGTGAGAAGCGCACCTAGCGGCTGTCAATGAGACAGCCACTAGAGGATTAGGGGGAAGGCTAAACCCATTGATAAACATAGCAGTTTCTCTGAAACTGCTATGTTTATTAAAAAATGGGTTAACCCTAGAAGGACCAGGCACCCAGACCACTTCATTAAGCTGAAGTGGTCTGGGTGCCTAGAGTGGTCCTTTAAGAATAAGCAGTGTTGTGGAGATGTTGGGTTTCCAGCACGGCATGCCCATGACCTGATGGGCCAGGCTGCGGGGATTAGTCTGCTTATGTGGGATCTGGTGGTGTATCCGTGGCATCGCGGCTCTCTCCGGTTCCACCATTTTGAGCTGTGGTGGCCGCTTAGGAAGGGATCCTATGTCTCTTGACTCTGAAGGTAAATCATGGTGTGGTCTCTGGGATCACTGTCCCATAGTCTGTGCCTGGTCGGGCAGTATAGTGTTCATGCTATCTACTACCTCTGAGTTTGCGAGAGGCCCAAGCCCACCGAGCTACCCAGTCAACTTGAAGCCAGAGGGCAGTTGGTAGGCCCCAGACCTGTGCGTCTGCCTTTTTGCCTTGGCGGGCTAAAAAAGCAACATAGATTACTTTGATGGTGCTCAAGTCGGTGATTATTGGTCACCCTCCCCAATAAATCCAGCTTTTTTTTTGTGTGATATTGTTTACCCTCCCCAAAAACTCCAGCTTTTTTTTTGTGTGATATCGGAGCGCTGTGAAAAAGCGTCTGCCCCGGTTCAAGATCAAGCTCCGCCCCCTTGACATGATTACTATTGACTCTATCGATATGTAAATTAGAATTGGTTTTGATTCAGGAAAATGTGCTTATGCAATTTCTGTAACTATCCTCACCACTGCTTATCTGACAAATATCACTGTGAAAACCACTGATTTAACCAGGTGTCTTTCATGTTAGGATACATTACAGAGCCTGGCTGAAGCAGTTGGAGGGTGCTTTTACTGCTACTCTTCCTGGAAAGAGGTAAATGGATTTAAGGTTGCATGTTTGTTTATTTTTAATCACTGAAATGGCAATTGGTGAATCATTCGAAATCTATAGTGAATTTAACATTTTAGGTCGAAATAGTCAAATTGTTATAATTCTACAGGTTAGGCCTAAAATTTTAATTCACTTTTAATTTACAATACATTCCAGACAATACACAATTTATTGAAAAACCTTAACAACATCTTGGGATGCCGAATATTTGATTTATGATATGTAGAGTAATATAATTGAGAATTAAAAATAGTTAAAGCATGATTCATTCATGCTAGCGCCCAAAAAAAACCACCCACAATTAGTTGAGTGCTTAGCTAAGTTAAAGAATTTAGATCTATGGAATTAATGGTTGTATCACATCATAACAAAACAAACGGTTGCCAGACTTTGGTCTTTATGGGACACTTTCCATGAGTCCTTGGGTTTACATCCACATAATACAACACCACGTTGGTTAGCTATTATATGATTTTCTGTCTTTGGTAGAGTGGATAACCTGCAACAATTTGCTTTCCATCTGTTGTAAGCTCTATGGTAATGTCTATCTTATTAGAGCATGTGACTTTAGGTAGATTTTCTTTCTCTCTGTCTTTTATCCAAGGAATATAAAATATTGTTTTGATTTCTGTATATTATTAATATTTCTTTTTTTATGACTGTATATTGTCCAATTCTGTTTTTGATGTATGTGACACAGTATGTCATATTACATTTTGCTTATTTTTTTGTCTTCTATTCTTGACGCTTGAATAAAAATTGCCAAAAAGAAGATTAACACCCCCTAAACCCTCATGCTGATGTATGTATGTAACATCTGAAAATATATTTTTTATAAAATTAAATTTTATAAAAGTAATATTTGCAAAAGGCATAAGAAGAACATTTTTAATGTAAACTGTCTCTACATGGATTTAATTTGCTGAATATTATGAAGTAATGCCCCAAATCAAACTGAACTAACAACAACTGCAATCCAGGAACGATTCCTGCAGCCGACAGTCTTCAAATCCTAAAGGGACCCTATAAGCACCAAAATAACTTTAGCCTAATGACGTAGTTTTGGTGTACAAATCATATCCCTACAATCGCACTGTATAATTCTCTGCTATTTAGGAGTGAAATAATTTTGTTTATGCAGCCTTATTCACGATGTGACCTACACAGTTTCTCTGTAAAGAGATATCTAACGTTTAAACTTCCGGTATTGGACAGTGTGGTTTATCTTATCTCCTGCTCTGTTAAAGCGGCACTGTTAACGCCCCTGAAAAATTTGTGTTTTATAAAGACACAATCTTTATGAAAAATTATTTTTGACTGTGTTGAAATTCAAACCCAGTCGAGAGATATACTGAGACAAAGAGGGGACCACTTTGTCTCTGTATATTTCCTACCCCTGACACTTCTAAACACTGGGTGGAGCTACCGCAGTCTAGAAGTGTCAATCCCCCCAGCTGTCACCAGTGACGGCTGCAAGGAATTGGCTCTGTCTATGGAGGATCCCGTGGATCTACAGGTTTAGTTAAGTAAATCTCACCTCCAACTGCCTCCTCCGGCCACCAGACCATCAGTGGCGATGTCACCATTGGGGATCTTTGCAAATTCTGCATGGTCACGTTGGTGTCGTTTTAATAGCCTGCTAGAACTTGCATGAGGATTAAAGTTCAATGAACAGAGCAGGAGATAAAACATTTGATTTAAAATGAAACCATGTTTTCATGAATGCTGTGTGAGTATCAGTCAGGGGAAGTGTGGCTAGGGCAGAATAAACCAAAACAAAAATTTTATTTAACCCCTTAAGGGCCAAACTTCTGGAATAAAAGGGAATCATGACATGTCATACATGTCATGTGTCCTTAAGGGGTTAAAGGGACACTATACCCACACCACTTAATCTCATGCCATGCCTTCTCCTCCTGTTTTAACCCTGCAGCTGAAAACATTGCTGTTCATTGCAGGGTTTAAATGTTTTCACCAGCTGTCATTCTGAGAATTGTTAGAGGCACGTCCGATGAAATAGCAAAGTAAAACTCGGCTATTTGTGTCAAAAGGTCCCTTTGCCATGCATGCACACTGGTTCCCAATTCTTTCCTATGGGATAACATTGAATTGGCTAAGAGCATGGATCTTGATGATCTCAACCAAGGAGGTGGCGCTGCGAGGCAATAAAGGCTAGTAAAATACCCTTTATACTCTGTGCAAGGGGGGGCAGGTGACCTAAACAGCCAACAGGACACTATAACATTAGGAATAAATTGTATTTCTAACGCTTTAGTGTTCCCTTACTTCCTAAATGGCAGAGAATTGAGCAGTAAAACTGTAGGGGTATGATCTATGCACCAAAACTGCTTAATTAAGATAAAGTTGTTTTGGTACTTAGTATATCAGTTAAAGATTAGCAACCAATAACTAAATATAATCATTTTGTTTAAGATTATATAATAATAATTTATCAAATTGCATTTGATCTCCTAAATGGAGTAATTATTTATGACATTTGCATGGTTTCTATAATTAGAAAACCTCAAGTATAAGTTGACAGTCAGCATTTTATATTTTTTCATTGTCTCAAATTGAATGTGTTTGAGTACAGAGCGCAGCTGTCAAACAACAAAACCTGTCCCTGTCTAAACACTAACATATTGCGCTGCACTTACTTGATAACACTTGAGAAAGGCTTATTATTCAAAATGGGGTCCAGTTAGATTCACGTGCCCATTAACGCAGCTTAGTAAACATCTTACTTCCTCTTTAATGCAGGACGAGATCTACAGTAGCACCGATATTCACCTATTGGTCAATGAGATCCAAAAAGCTATTGATGTTCTCAACAAAATCAAGGAGTTGCGGGAAGGAAGGTTGGGAGATATACTTGTCAGTATAATACAGGAGGTAAGTCTTTTTATGAACATATTGGATATTTGGGATTATATACAATGTATTGATATAAGCGAAAACAGGGTTACAGCATTAAATCTAAAAAAAGACACTAGGATAATGTATGAACTATGTAGATGCTATTTCAATACTAGTGATGTACTCATAGGATACAGTTAAATGACCATCAAGTAAACAGACTATACTTTTATCCTTTCATTGTAGGTGTAGTGAGGTCAGATTAGTTATAGTCATTTTATTTTCTAGCATTATATTATGTTTCTACTTTCTATTGTTATTTGCGTGTTTTGTCTTTCATCTTTAATGTATTAATGTGACATATTACATGATGCATTTTACTTAAGAGTACATTATTTTGTAGTTATCAACAGAGGTTGATAAGATACCGCCTTCTGTGTTCCTCCCTAAACCACCTAATCACGATGGGCCGTTAAACATAGAGATTCCCAATTTTACACCTAAAGCCTCTGCTGATTGGCTAAAGAAAAATGGATTGAAAGGTACTTTGTTGCGTTATTTTATGGGCTTTGTATAGCTTGGGGTAACAACAGATTTTGATGAAAAAAAAAAGAAATATTGCAATTTATATACTGAAATCTATATAGAACTGAATGTTAATCACAGTGGTTTTAAATATAACATCCTCACTTTATCAAATTATATGCAATCATCTATAGAGTACTCTTCTCATAATCTCTAAGTGAGAGATACAGGAGGCAATACCTTTATTGGATAATTTGTATTATTGGATCATTTAGGACCACTGTTCCTTGCTCAATTTGTGTCCTATGTCTTTGTGCCATGCTGCTTCGAATCCTAATTGCTGTAGGTTGTTTGTTTATTTTTTTGGCAATGAGTGTTTTTTTTCCTGGTTTTGGTAGCGTAACCACATGGGCTGACAAATTTTCAGGAAGGAAGCTCCCTTTTTCTAAAGCTAAACTAAACAAGTCAACAAGGTGTGGGTCCAAAATTTGTGCATATTTTTATGTTTTCAAACCCTGGCGGGGGCTTTATTAGGTGGTAATTTCTGAATGAGAGTATTGACTTCCTCTATTGTTATAGCAGCACTTTTTGAGCAGTAGTGACGTTTGGTAGGGAAACGGTATCTAAGTATTTTTTCATCCCCTCTTAAGTGGGTTGTGGAATATCCCTATCTACTTTAAATTGTATAATTTTGAATAATATTGTGCAAATTCATTACACATATCCTGCGGTATCATATGTTTTTGGCCTGCGTAGGAAGTAAGAAGGGAATTCTCAGTTGAACCTGCTTATCTTTAAGTCTACAAGCTAGCAGCTTGCCCACTTTATTCCCTTTCCCATAGCTATTAGCTTTCAGTCTTTTCAAATGATTTCCTGCTTTCTTTAAATCAAAATTCAAAAAGGAAAAATGGTGTGGCACTCCAGGTGAATGTGAGTAGAAAATAATGCCCTGTCTGGTACTCCATGGTAGAAACCCACAATCTCCAAGTAGTAGTATCAAATAGAGAATCCACTGCTTCTGCTGAATGGTTTTGTATGGATATAGTATTTCTGGATCTAGTATGTGGTTAAAATTCCCACACAGAATCACTTTAAAAAACTGGTGAGTATACATTCACTAGCGTGTATAAAACATTATTAATGTTGCAAACTAAGATTAAAAATCTGCCCTGGGGATCCTCCAATTTAGTAATTAAGGAAAAGACACATGTCTGCTGACAAGAATGAACACCACCTTTTTTTTATGCATCATTGTGGAGTGGAATTGAAAGGAGCTGAGGTCAGCATCTTTATTAAAACGAGTTTCCATAAACATATTTTGTAGGTCTTTAATGAGTGAATAACTCTTAAACTGAGAATTTTGAGTAACATTACAGTTCATTCTTTCAGGTATTACCCTTAGTCGCAAGTTTTTTTCTTCTAGACCTGTCCTCCAGGTCCTTGAGCTTGTTCTTGTAGGAATCCGATCTGCCAGGCTATTATGGGCCTCCGCAAATTCGTCCATTTTGGACTTCATGTGAGCTGTCCGTGTTCCCAAATCTTGGATAGCTTTCCTGATATTCCCCATCAATTTATGCAATTTGGATAGTAATTTTTCAGACGTAGCATCTTCCATAGTTTACAAAAAAATGTTGAGTAATAGGGATGGCCTCCTGAAGGGGAAGAGCTGCTCGCTGCCTCTTCAGGCCTGTTGGCATTGCCCTCATCTTCGACATACTCATACGGTTCCGCCACCTTTTCCTGAGTCTGTCGCGCTGTAAAAAAAGCTAGCCTTCTCTTTTTGATCAGCCTGCTATTGTGCTGGGCCATTGGGTTCCAGTATTTGGCTCTTCAAATGTGTGTTTAGCTTGCTGTAAATCTTTACTTTTTGGACTATCCACACCAGGCTAATTCACTGCACCTCCAATAGCACAAGGTCAAGCCACACCCCCCTAGTTTAGTTTCCTTTAAGATGTCCTTATTCAATGTGTTGTTGGATTAATTAAGGTAATGTTTAATATCATGGCTGTAAACTTCCCTTCCTGGTATTAGTATCATAGCAGGGGTCTCCCTTGCTGTGTAACTTAATTGTTGGCTCTAAATATCCCATATTCAAGTTATGGTCAGTGATGCCTGACAAAAAAAAGGAGGGCTTATCAATATAGGCTAATAGTGTTTACTAACTGGGCCTTAAGATAAAATGTACATAAAAGTAAAATACAACCAACTTCATGTTAGTAACATTAAACCAAGACACAGACTGATAAAACAAACAAGAAAACAAAACTCTAACACAATATAACAAAATATTTTGATTTAAAATTACAGAACAACTTTATTTTTTAATCTAATTACCTTTTATGATAACTGAAGACAGATAAGATAATTTGATATGAAAGGTAGGTTGTGGGTAAGATAGCCCTTGCTTTGAAACTCGTGTGGAGATCTTCACCCTTTATCCATGATGCCCACAGTTTATGGGCTTGGGTTCATGTGGAATAGGACTTAATGCTGATTATTGAATTTAAGACAGGAACAATAAAAGAGGACAAAGCACTCTCAAAGATGATTACTACATATTGCAGCAAAAGTGGTGTTGGTTCATTTAGGTCTTACTCAGGGGTGCTGAATTTACTGCAGTAAAACCTTAACATGCAATACAATTACAAGAAGGCCGTTCTTACTACAAGGATGATGTTCAAGTTAGGATGAATATGACATGACAATTGCATTTTTTGAGTGACTTTAAATTTAGCAGTGTGGGTTTAGCATTCACAGCTACAAGTCCCTCTATTACGGTATCTAGGGAGAACTCAAATTGCGGAGCATTCTATGCCTAACAGCCATACAATAGCAAGCTCTAGATCACAGTGATAGTGTCACTTTAAAATGGCATTGCTTCATTTGTGCACAGTGTTACATTGATAATGTAGGTTTAGGACTATAATTAAATAAGGTTTGGATAAGGTGAGCTTTATGAATAAGGCTCTTAGCTGTTGGTCACTTGGTATTGCAAGCAATATTATGAATGCCTGTTATGACTTATGGCTAAGTAGTGGTGCCATTAGAATAAATAATATGATCACAGGATATCCTAAGCAATTGTATAGAGCAGGAAATATCCAGGTACATTGAGTAATAGCGTAATAACATGACTGCTGCATATAATTTACCAAATTAAAGCATGCCATTATAAATTCGAAAAGTGGAGCAATGAATAATAAACAGATAATGTACAGATAGGTGTTTTGTTATTATCATTTGAAAAGATTATTATAACTTATCTATCAAGTTTGTATTACCAAATGTTGTAGATATTTTTAAAAAGGCCTGGATGATTTTGATTTGGAAAAACAAAATATTGAAGTGTATAATTAACATACTATGGGGTGCTGATCCAAGGAGATATCTTATTGCCATTATGGAGTTAAGAAGAATATTGTTTTCCCATTTTCTGGTGGCCATCACTTCAAGATGTTTATTTTTTTTTGTTTGCCTTCTTTTGGATCAACAGCATAAAAACGTGTTTTAAAGGTTGAACTTGATGGGCTTTTTAACTCGTATTTCACAAATCTATTTCTCACTCTTACTTAAGGGCTACGTTCCACTTTCACCTTATTATTCTGTTACTTACCACCCTATGGTTTGGTTGCTACCCATCACGTTGCCACCCTGTTGTGTTTTACACCCAACCTCTCCTATATTTTTTTTTTTACTAGAGTCTTCATTATTATTGGTATTATTGGTATTCATATAGCGCAAAATATCATTCTGCAGAGCTTTACAATATTCAGGATGAGACGAGATTTAACAATAAATGAGACATTTACAAAATGATAAACGAACAATAGGCAGATGTTGACCCTGCTCAAACGAGCTTCCACCTATTGTTCCTGTAACATTTTGTACTGTTAAATTCCCCTCTTTATAACATCGTAAAGCACTGCGGAATATGTTGGCGCTGTATAAATGCCAATAATAATAATAATAGATTACTATGTAACTATATTATCAAGTGCAGGTAACTTGAAATCATGTGATACAGGAGTTCAGTAGATTGTATGGGACAGAGGGTGCTCTTCCATGAACTGCATTGTACACAAAACAACTTGCCATCTTCTAAACTTAATCCACCTGATTGGTTAATGTTTTATTGCTTACAATATAGCATCACTAATCTCTATGAAGCTCTCTTCAGTTGGACGCTATGTAAGAAATGTAATATAAATGAAATAAACTATTTTACACTTCGATTGTTTGCCGTATTATGATGAATAGTAACTATATTTATATGTTTCAGCAAAAAAACTGAGCCTGTATCAAATATTAGCTCCAAACGCTTATTCCATGGTCGAGGACTTTGTACCCATCCTTCAAAAAACTGTCTCATCTACTCTTCATGAGGTAAATCATAATTTTTCTATTATATTTACAAATCGATTAGAAGTTTCTGCGTTTTTCAGATATTTCACACTGTGAAGAAGTATGCATCCATGTAGAGCTTTACCAGATTAGAGTCCTTGAGTTTTACCTCTGCTGATGACATCATCGTGTGGATTATACCTTTACTGTAGCACACAATGTTTTCATTTTCTTAGAATACTGGACTTCCCAAGTACTATAGCTACACATCCAGCATACGTTGAAAATAATTATGTAACTTATAGTATGTGCCATCTAGCAAAAATCGCTGAAGTTCTACTCTCCCTAGGGACATCACAGTTGGTATCTCTGCTCTCCCTGGCATTTATTAAGTGTGACCCACAGTGTATGTGCTTACCCGGTCCTACTTCCCTTTTCGGGGAAGAAGCCTATACTACAGCCATGTGAATTGCTAGTTTCATTGTTCTAGAAGAAGGCATAGTAGCTTCTTTCATGAATGAAACTAGCAGCGAATAGTAAACTACATATCTAACAAATTAATCCGCTACTGTTATGGTTTTATGGGATATGCATGGTTCTTCGCTTGGGTTCTAGCCTTTGTGAAGGCTAAGAGTCATTTCAGATTCTGAATAAACAAGAGCTTTTCAGTGAGTGAGATTGAGACATGCATCTTTATTATTACTGTAATATTTCCCATCTTCTCTAGGCATTATTTAAATAATGTTTTAAAAATGTGGTCAAGTCAAGCCTGTCCACACAAGTTTTGTTCCCCTGCATCCCTCCTAAATTCCCATACTTAATTACTTAATTCTCTCTGCACATAGCAAGGGCATGTGAAGAGTAGTAAATATATATCATGGATTTAATTAATGGCTTTATTTCATGGGCATGAGCCTGGATCTTTAGCTTAATTAGCCCCTATGTTAGTCTGGCCCTGTTTGTTATTGTGAAATATTGTGATTTATTGTGTCAGTCTCCTAAGTCATAACAATTAGCTTTGTCTCTATAGAGGGTAATGCTGCAGTTTGAGTGGCATGATGGGTCTATCAAGAATGTGCATGTTGATCCCCCAGCACTCTATGATTACCAGGTAACGCATCCACTTGGCTAAATGGTAGATATATTTATATGTAATGAGACTGTGACAGGTGGTTTTACTAGAAATATGTTATTAGTATTTTGCCATCACAGTCCAGTAGCAAAATTATATATAGCAGGCAGTTTAAAAGAATTGTCACATTTCCATATTTGTTTTGTATTTTTTAATAAAACGTTTTCAAAAAAATTCAAAGGGACACTATAGTCACCAGAACAACTACAGCTTATAGTATTTGTTCTGGTGAGTATAATCAGTCCCTTCAGGCTTTTTGCAGCAAACACTGTGTTTTCAGATAAGGGCAGTATTTACATTACAGCCTAGTGATACCTCCACTGGCCACTCCTCAGATGGCTGTGGCAGTGCTGCACAAGAGGAGATGCTGATTGGCCAGGGCTGTGCTTGGCTTGTGCTGGCTCTGCCCTGATCTGCCTCCTTGACACGTTCAGCCAATCCAATGGTTTCCTATTAGAAAGCATTGTGATTGGCTAAGATCATAACTTTTGATGATCTCAGCCAAGTAGGCAGATCAGGGGCAGAGCTGAAAAAAGGTAAGATTTTACTATATTTAGGCCAACAAGGGGATTTTAAAACTACAGGGTCAGGAATAAATGTTTGTGTTCCTGACTCTATAGAGCTCCTTTAAGTTGCTCTTATTTCTTTTTGTGAAAGGGAAAACCAACCAGTGTAACAGACTGAGTGACTGGTTAATTTAGCTTTCTTTATATTTGCTTGCTTTGCAAAATTATCCAGTAAGCCCAATACATGAACAATTTATGTTAGAAGAAAAATCTTCGCATTGGAAATTTGACCTTGAATATCCTTTATTTTGCATCAATTGGCTTTGTGTATTTTACAGATACAACTTGCAAAAGTTGTAAAAACCTATGAGAAAAGAATAGACTGGCTTACAAACGGCAGCAAAAAATTCTGGGGCACAATCTGTGAAAAAAGGTATATATTGGTGTAAAGCACAGGTATTTGTATGGTACATTGTTAAATAACTAAACCAGGATAATATGTATGGGCCAGCAAGCTCTGGCGGTACATATCCTGTGGTCCTTGGTATGACTTTTGCTGGTGCAGTCAGTGCCACCCACAGAGGAGGTCCTGAGTCACATGACACTTACCAATTTGCCACACTCAAGGCTGTGTTGATTACCCCTAAACTTGCATTTGAAATTCACAGTTTAGACAATCTGTAATATTCTGTGTGAGGGGGGTGCAGGCAACAAATTGTGTCGAAATGGTTGGTCCATGCAACATTTCTCATATTAGTCCAAGGAGTTTAGAGAAAGACCTTCCTTTGGGATTGAAACAACTCCACAGCTTTCCCAAAGTACATAACAAATCTCATTAAAATGAGTTGGTGACATAAGTTTGGTACTTGCTCATTTAATGTGCAATATATTGCCTGTCACATCTTTTTTTCTTAACTTTATAACTCAGAGAGAGAGTGCTGATAATATTCACTTCGCCCTATTAGTAACACTCTATGACTCTCCGGCCCAGAAGATACACATTGCACAAACTAGGCTTTATTGGTTAATGACAGCAATATGTGGCATATTTTTTATGAGTAGTTGAGTATTTTAATGATGGCATGATAAATGACTGCAGTGATTCTGATGTTTTTTTGGAAGGGTTCTTCCATCTGTCTTTATTGTCTATTTTATGGCAAACAGGTGAACATACCAGTCTCACTTGTTTCACCTTTACTATGACTTAATTATAGGCTAATTTCTGTGAGTTTTCACTAATCCATTTTTAGAAAGTTTTTGTCTAATGCTGGTACACCAGCTGTTGTAGGCTCTGTTTCCCTTTATTTTGAGTAGGAGCGCCAAATGTTAGCTATTACCATTTTATAACATGCAGATCCCAATGCATTTCTCAACATTGAGTTTTTTTTTTTTCTCTCTCCATAGGGTGGTATTGTTGGTGGACATATCGGTTGCAAACGCCATGCACATTATCCAGATTCAGCACGCTCTGCGCCTTCTTCTAGAAGAACAAATGGCAAACAAGGATTTATTCAACATCATAGTGTGAGTTACCCAATGTTCTAAAAAAAATAAGCATTTTGACATTTACCTTTCAGTGGGTAGTGTTTACAGGGAGAAGTAGCTCCCTGTTTACATATGTAGCATCCAGGGCTAAATCCGCTCTGGCAAAACACACAAAACATGGCTAACTCTCTTTAAAAACTATACTTTTTGAGGTGAATATTATGAATTGTATGTGAGGTACACATGTAGCATACTCAACCAGAGAATGTGGAGAATGTTCTTATAGTGTGATCTAAAGAATGATCTATACTGTATAACAGTGTTTTAATTATAATAAATATCAAGAATGATATGATATTTACTGTATAACAGTGCATTAATTACAATAAATTTCAAGTATTTGAACTCATTCATTCACAGTGACAATATGATGATGTAGAAATTACTGAAGTCATTAGTTCCAGTCTAATACAATTCCGGATAGAATCCTTTGGTTCCTTGCTGTCAGGGTGGCGGTCCGGTGCCCGGAACCCAGACACTGTCTGGGCGGCAGTGCGAGGACCGGGACCCAGTATGCCTGATGTTCAGAGTACAAGTCATAGTGTGGAAGTGGTTTAGCAGGGTCTGGGGCAGGGCAACCGCACGCCCCCTGGTGTTGAGCACCAGCGTTTGTGCAGCCACATACCAGAACCCTGATTCAGCTTATGCAGATCCCAGGAACTAGGAGCATGGAATTAAGCAGACCTCCCAGGAGCTGAATAGGGAGGCTCTGCAGCAGGAGTGTATCCAGTACTGAAGCAAGCCAAGACTAGAGATAGGCGCCATACATGAAAACAAGACAAAACTAGGAGAACAGGGCAAGACTAGAGATAGGCACCATACATGAAAACAAGACAAAACTAGGAGAACAAGGCAAGACTAGAGATAGGCACCATACATGAAAACAAGACAAAACTAGAAGAACAAGGCAAGACTAGAGATAGGCACCATACATGAAAACAAGACAAAACTAGGAGAACAAGGCAAGACTAGAGATAGGCACCATACATGAAAACAAGACAAAACTAGGAGAACAAGGCAAGACTAGAGATAGGCACCATACATGAAAACAAGACAAAACTAGAAGAACAAGGCAAGACTAGAGATAGACACCATACATGAAAACAAGACAAAACTAGGAGAACCCAGAACCAGAGCAGGACAGAAAGCAGAACCCAGAACATGTACACAAGACATGAGGAAAACAAGAACCTAACATGGGCATGACTGGACTGGGATTACAAAATAACCTAAAACAAGACAAGATATAATAGGCAAAACAAGAGGCGACATAACTAAGCACTATATATGAAAAGTATGGGGATTTAGTTACATTATATGATCATACATTGCATAAGCCTGCCACAGCGCCAATGTACCCCATATTCGGCAGGTCCTACACTGCCTAATGTTCGCTAAAAGAACCATACTAAACCACAATAGCACTTACCTGCAAGAAAGGGCAGAGACTTGAAACACTGCTGCTGGTCCAGACTGAAACAAACGGAAAATGGAAAACAAACGGGTGTGGCAACATAAAACAAACATTTAAAGGAAACCTGGACACTGGGAATTCCAGGGACGGATTACAGAAATGAACCCAGAAAAACCCAGCATAAAGAAAACCAGACATGGAATAGAAAACCAGAAAACCAAGAAAAACGAAACAAGAATTGTAAAAAGAGTACTGGATACCAGAAGCCATTGCCAGAATTATCCGCAGCTAGGAACAGAATGTGACACTTGCATCCACACCCACAAGTTAAAGTTGGCTTCCTGTTCCCTTCAGAATCCAATTCAAACTGCTAACCCTAACGTACAAACCCCTTAATAATTCCACCCATGACTACATTTCCTCTTCACTCAAAAAATACACACCTACCCGTTCCTTTCATTCTGAGAGCGACCTTCTCCTGACATCTGCAACTTTAATCTTCAGGATATTTCAAGCGCTGCCCCGTTTGTATGGAATTTCCTTTAGGTAACATCACAGCCTTCCCGGGTGACACTCTCATTACAATTGCCCTTCTCCACTCCCATGCCTCCATAACCCAGCTCGCTCTCTCTCCTTCCAATTTTTGGTTCTTCCAAACACCACTTTTCCTAGTTATTTTTACACAGACATCTTATCTATCAATCCCTCCTCCCATCTGACGTAGATTGTAAGCTTGTTTAAACACAGACTTTTTGACCTTTTTTCTCTGTTAATATTTCTAATATCTAATGTTGGCGCTATATAAATAATAATAATATTGCAAGCAAAAAACCTTTTCTGATGGTGCAATCTAACACTGTTCCAGTCCAGTTTTTACTTTTGGCAGGGCTAAATTTGTAGCAAACGAATGTATGCCGGTAAATTGTATAAACATTACTCAAATCTCTCTGCACAATGCATTACTCACAGAACTAAATGTAATTTGTGTGATCTCTGTAGTGCTGTAAAAAGAGAGAAATAAACTAAATATTTGATGTACACTGTACTGTGATGAACATATTCTGTGTTTATAAATGCATCATAAATATAATTGTTATTTCTTTACAGTTACGGGAATGATGTTAAAGCTTGGAAAACGGAAATGGTCCCATCAACTGCTAAAAATCTACAGAGTGCTTGGACGTATGTAATAATATAAGATATTATCACAAACATAAACAGATGTAAATGTAGCACATATCAGTCTGAACTAATTTTTTTATTTTTTAGTCTTAGAATTGTGGTTGTATCTGCTACAAATCAGCAATTTATTTAACTGCTAGTTTAAAGTGAACTCATCATCCACTAAAGTCATCCACTAAAGCGAACTCATCATCCACTTCTGCTTTAATTACATTTTTATATGTTATCTGTACATTATGCTAATAAAACTAACAACTGTCAGGGTTATTTACTACATTCAGAATTGAAAGTGAAATTAAAGTTAATTTTACATTTAAGGCCAGAGTGTCTAAAATAATGGCATCTTAACCTCCTGTCTTTTTTTTTTATTTTTGTATGCCATTTACTTGTTGTCAGATAGCCACTTACTATAGCTGTACAGCAATACGGAATACGTTGGAACTATTTAAATGCTAGTAATAATAATAGCTGACTTGGCTGTTTTGACCTTAAATTTGATAGTCGCTTTGAATTGCATGCAGTGTTATAAACTCTGCTTTGATGTATGTTTTGTCAATCATCTGGCACAGACAAGATTATTGGGTATTTGCAGATTGCGAATACACTCAGTCCTCTTGCTCCCTGAAAACTAGATTATTCTGCTTGTGAAGGGTGAAAATATTAAACCACTGCCCTCCAAAGAAACTGGTGCTGGTACCTGGCTGAGCTTAGGTTAGACTTTTCCCTGGTGTTCCCCCTGAATCCTCCAATTTGTAGAACTGTAGAACTGAGGTATATCACACGTGCAAAATAAGAAAACGTCTTTGTAAACACAATAGTTAAGTGTAGAACAAAATACTTGCATTTTGAATATTAGATGATGGCAGGAAATGTGAGCGATCAATTAAGCCTCTCCCCCACTTAGTAGGGTCTGTTTGGACCCCCATATGTGTGTATTTTATCGAGAATGCTTCTGGGTTATCGAGGAGCTCTGTGGATCCAAATCACATCTCTGTAAAATAAGTAGCATTTATTTATTGTCCCTTTTGGTCAATCTTTATGTATAAACAAAAACAAAAAGGCATCAGGAGAAAATATCCCAAGCAGGGGAGGCAAAGAAAACAGAAATATGGAAACAGGAATGCAATAGAGACTTAGCGGGAACAACAAGCATGTGGTCATTTATTTATTTTCTGATGGACTGGATGAGTTTTGGCTATCAGTAGCCATTAGTCTTTTAAATTTCCTTTCCTTCGTTGTTTGCAGAGCACGGCAGGGCCATTGCTCTAAGAATGTAATAACCCCCTTCAATCCAATCACTTACATTGCTTTCCTCGTAGGATTTTTATTTTATTGTTTTTCCTTTCTATTTCCTTCCTTTCCATTCCCTGTTTCTCTTGTTTTTACACATTACCTAATACGTTGTCACATTAATTCATCCTTACGTTATATATTGCACCATGTTTATTGCAATATATTGTATTGCATAATTCTGTCTGGGAAATGAAAACATTCTGTCTGAGCTAAGCCCGGTGTTGCAGGGTTTAGCTTATTGGCTCAGAATGATCACTTGGAGCTCTTAGCCAATAAACTAGGCCAGCAGTGCTAGGCTTAGCTCATGGAAGCTAAAGGAAGCTCCAAAGCAGGAGCTACTGGCTCTCTGTTGGAAATTAGTGGTGGAGGGAAACAGTCAGGCGGATCCAAGATAAAAAGTCAAACTTCTAAAACAGTTTGCAGACTTACAATGGGGGACGGAGGCACTCCTGGCACCATAGCCACTACAGTGTACAGAAGTAGTTATGGTGCGTGGAGTTGTCCTTTAGCATATGAATAAATATTCCCATGGTGCCTGAGGCAAGTATATTAATACGATCAAGATTTAAAGAAAAAATGCTTCTGTATGCCGGCCCAAAAGAAGCTGATGGTGCCTATAAGAAACCACATTACACCTATGGATGAGTTGTAGTGCAGAAGGTCTGTGAAAGTGAAGGAGTATATGGATTATTATTTAGATCAGCAAGTTTATGCAGTTCACACAGTAAATATCCATCAACATTTAAGTAATTTCATATGGATGGACCATGAACTGTAAAAAAGAGAGAAATCAAAAAGATTGATTTAAAGAAATGGTCATATTTTGTGCTTTTATGGCAAGGGTGTGGAAGATCTCTTGATATTATAATAGTCCTGACGTGTAATTGGCTCTGAATCAGTAACTGTTATAGAAGATCACTATATATAGGGTGAGGTAGAGGCAAAAAAAGGCCTACAAAATTCAAAATATAAACAAACAAAAATTAGACCTGTGCTGCAGATACTCCACACTGAAGTCCCAACAGTGAATATACAACCAAAAAAACATACAAGAGTCCTGCGCATCCAGTATAGGTGTGCACACCCAGGTGCTACCACAATTTATTTGAGGACAAAGTTAAAGCAGCAAACGTTTCGAGCAGCAGCCCTTTATCAATGCTAATGTCCTGTTAGAGAAGAGATGGCGAGTAATGCAGAAGAAATTATGAGTTTTGTTTAAGATTAATTTCATAAAGTCATGATTAGAATGAAATATAAGGGGGGGGGCTGTTAATGTTGGTCCAAAAATAAAGAGAAAGATCAGGTGGAAAAGTAAAATCAAGTGGTTTAATCTTAGTTTAACTGATTGTAACGTTGAAAACTAATGGATCTAATTGATACCGTACTGATTGAGTTTGATGTTTAAAATTCTAGAAGATTTTGGCAATTAGCTTTGAGAAGCTTTTAGATGCTAGCTGCAATTTTCTTGTGGAGAAAATAAGAGGCTAAAAATAGAACAGAAAAAGTAAAGAAAGGATAAATCCACAAAGGAAAGAAGCGGGGGGAGGAGAAATGGGGAAAGGAGAAAAAAAGGGGAAAGGGAGAGGAAAAAAAGAGGGGGGAGAGATAGTTTGACTATTAAAGACCATTTATTTATTTTTTATTTTATTTTTACAGTTTGTTGGTTGCCCCTGTCTGTTTGCCTAGTATTAATACCAGGGTACCATTATTAATATGCCTCCCAAAAACCCTCTCCAGCAGATAAGACAGAAAAGAATAAACCTATTAATACATTTTACTCACCAAAAGCAGACCCTAATAAATCCCAAAGGAGATCTTTATCTCCTCCTCCTCTGGCGGAACTAGGTTTAAAAGTAACAACCTTGGAGGACTCAAATGTACCTATTGCAATTATATCAAACCAAAGTCTTATTAAAATGATGGATGATTTATATGAGAAAATTAAAATCGACATTAATCAAAATATCTCGGAGGTAATTAAAGAGATCTCTACTCTCAATGTTAAACTTGTTGAACAAAATCAAAAATTTAAAAAAATGAGTTCAGAGATTGCATTATTGCAATCATAAAACATAATTCTCTAAAATCAAATCAAAGATATGGATAAAAAAATTAACAGAATTTGAGGATCGATCACATAGAAACAATATAAGAATTAAAGGTATACCGGAAGAAATCAAACAAGAGAATTTAATTGATTATACTAAAGAATTTATTGCTCAGTTTGTCAACCCTCCACTTTTAACGCCTTCTCCAATAGAGAGATGCCATTGGATCTTCAGGTCCAGAGAAACAAAGAACCCCACACTTAGATTCCATCCAAATTTAAACAACGAAAAGTTTGGAAATGTATTGGTTTTCCCTGATCTTTCTATGGCAACAAGATTAAACAGAAGACAATTTAAAGACCTAACCTTGCAATTGAGATCCAAAAATATAAGTTACAGATGGGGTTTCCCCACAAAACTGATCATTTCCCACAATAGCAAAAGCTTCTCTATTAAAGACCTGACTGAAGAACTCTCTAAACTAAAAAATCTAGGAATAATAGATTGACTTAACTAACTTTATCTAAATCGAGTAAGCAATAAAATCTAAGGAGGGGACCAAAGTAGTAATGATGGCGAATCTAGAGAATATAGAGAAACATGTCATTAGGAATCTATACAATGGAATTTAAAAATAATATTTACGTAATGCTTAAAGAACTATCTGACCATTACTACATACCAAGCTATGGTAGTTCTTTTATATAAACCTATGTTATTGTTATGTACGTATATATTTTCTTAAACTATATTAATACTTGAATAATTTTATGACACTAAAGTTAAAGGACCCTCTAGGCACCCAGACCACTTCAGCTTAATGAAGTGGTCTGGGTGCCAGGTCCCTCTAGGATTAACCAATTTTTTTTATAAACATAGCAGTTTCAGAGAAACTGCTCTGTTTATAAATGGGTTAATCCATCCTCCAAATCCTCTAGCGGCTGTCTCGTTGACAGCCGCTAGAGGCGCTTGCGTGATTCTCACTGTGAAAATCACAGTGAGAACACGCAAGCGTCCGTAGGAAAGCATTATGAATGCTTTCCTATGAGACCGGCTGAATGCGCGCGCGCAGCTCTTGCCGCGCGTGCACATTCAGCCGAAGAGGAGGAGAAGAGGGAGGAGAGGAGGAGGAGAGCTCCCCGCCCGGCGCTGGAAAAAAGATAAGTTTAACCCCTTTCCTCTCCCCAGAGCCGGGCGGGAGGGGATCCCTGAGGGTGGAGGCACTCTCAGGGCACTATAGTGCCAGGAAAACTAGTATGTTTTCCTGGCACTATAGTGGTCCTTTAAAGATATAAAACATTTTTTATATGTAATAAATTAAGCACAAAGAAATATGAAGAAGAGTTGAAGAGAAGTGAGATATAACCTTTTGGGAAATAAGGGAATTTTTTTTATATAATTTCACTTTATTAAGTTGATAAGTAATGATGGTTCACTTCAACGATAAATATGATAGCACAAGTTTATATTTACACAAAAAAAATTCTTTTTTTCATTTTTTCTAATAATAGAAGTGTAATTTAAAGCAAAAATCAAAAGGAGGTTATATACTCCCACACAGCTCTGGAGTATATAAAATTCTATATAATATAATATGATTGAATACACATTAAGTTTTACTTAGTATATATACACTTATTTTTGATAATTACATGGGTATATTTTAGAGAACATATGGTTATGTTTGATTCTTACTATGTAGTGGTTTTCTGATTTCTCGAACAGTGTTCTCCTCCTCTTACATTGCCTCCTATATTGCTTTAGGGAAATGCCGACCAAATACAAGAGAGGAATCTAGAATATCTATAGTCTTCATTTAAATACCGAGCATGCTTTATAACTAACTACCTTGCCACAAAATACCAACAGCGATTGATTTTCCCTGAGATTTCTTTTATTTTTAATTTTCTTTGGGGCAGTTTGTATGTTTTTCTCTCAGGGTAACCACCTATACGATATGTTTTATCTAGTTGTGGTGGTATATTGTATGTTATATTATATTGTAATATAATTGTTTGTGTAGTATGCGAAGGATCAGCTATCGAGAATGGGGATGGACGAGTCTTATTGAAAATTTTTGGAAGGAAATCAGTAATTATGAGTAACAATGTCAATTAAAATTGCATCTATAAATGCACAGGGTTTGAGTTCTCCGGTAAAAAGAGGCCTTCTTTATAGAATGTTGTTAGAGGATAAGATCAATTTGTGTTTTGTCCAAGAAACACACTGGAAAGAAAGGGAAAAAAATTTGTGGAACTATTCTAAATTTTCATACATTATGAATGCTAACATGTTAGATAAAAAGAAAAGAGGAGTGGCCATTATTTGTTAATCTAAGCTTAAATTTGAATAGATTTATATAGAAAAAGATCCACTAGGAAGATCTTTAATACTTATATGTAAATTGAATGATATTATTTATACTCTGGTCAATTTATGCGCTCCCAATGTATTTTCTCAAACATTCTATAGGAAACTCTTTGGAAAGATTGGAAAAGTTAAAAAAGGGGTATTATTAATTGGAGGTGATTGGAACACTATCCCGGACCCAAAATTGGATAGAAGATCTAGAGATCTTAAACCAGGGGTTCTCAACCCAGTCCTCAGGGCCCCCTACCATTCCAGGATTTGGGGATTACCTGGGTGTGTCTAAGGTGTTTAGAAAAATTGAAAAAAAAACACCTTAGACTCTAAGGTGTTTTTTTTTCTTTTTCTAAACACCTTAGACACACCCAGGTAATCCCTAAACCCTGGACTGGTAGGGGCTCCTTGAGGACAAGGTTGAGAACCCCTGTCTATCATAAAAAGCGATATATTTGATTCCAGGACTTCCCTGCTGAATTTGGGTTATTTGGTATTTGGAGGGTACAACATCCAAATGAAAGAGAATTTACGTTTCTATCTAAAGTCCATCTAAGCAATTCTAGAATAGATTTTTTTGTAACCGATATGGATAATTTGAGAAAATTTTTAAGTTCAGAAATTGGACCTATTGTTTGGTCCGATCATGCTCCTATTAGCGTAGTATTGGAAAACAATTCAGCATATTTAAATTCCCTTGGTTTCACTGTAATCCATATGCATAATTTCTGCTGTATGTATTTAACCTAGTGGCTGCAAATGTTTTCTTTAATACGATCAAAAATACAAAAAATTAAGTGGTGGAAATTCTTTAGATTCTTAATCATTTAATTAGATAACAAGGAGTAGAGGTGTGAAGGGAGGCATCTTGATAAACAAGTATTGAGAAACTTATTAGCCAGACTAAGTTGCTGAAGTTTTTTTAAGCACCATAGAATTTTTTTTTTTTCAAAATACAATAGAAGCAATTGAATGTTAACCAAAATCACTGATAAATTGTCAAGAAAAAAAAGCTTAGTCTTAATTACAGACGTCCAGAGAGACCATGTGTTTTTAATATTTTCCTGACTTGTTATTTTGAAAAAATAATTAGTTTTCTGGGTAAAACAACTTATTTTCTCAAAATAACAGCTTGTTTTCCCAAAAACAAGTCCAAAAAACATTCAAATTACATGGCCTATCTGTATTTCTGTACTTAATAGTCTCTTTAAAGGGACACTATAGTCACCTGAACAACTTTAGCTTAATGAAGCAGTTTTGGTGTTTAGAACATGCCCCTGCAGCCTCTCTGCTCAATCCTCTGCCATTTAGGAGTTAAGTCCCTTTGTTTATGAACCCTAGTCACACCTCCCTGCATGTGACTTGCACAGCCTTCCATAAACACTTCCTGTAAAGAGAGCCCTATTTAGGCTTTCTTTATTGCAAGTTCTGTTTAATTAAGATTTTCTTATCCCCTGCTATGTTAATAGCTTGCTAGACCCTGCAAGAGCCTCCTGTATGTGATTAAAGTTCAATTTAGAGATTGAGATACAATTATTTAAGGTAAATTACATCTGTTTGAAAGTGAAACCAGTTTTATTTTTCATGCAGGCTCTGTCAATCATAGCCAGGGGAGGTGTGGCTAGGGCTGCATAAACAGAAACAAAGTGATTTAACTCCTAAATGACAGTGAACTGAGCAGTGAAATTGCAGGGGAATGATCTATACACTAAAACTGCTTTATTTAGCTAAAGTAATTTAGGTGACTATAGTGTTCATTTAAAGAATATTATATTTTACAATTTACAAGTTGGTCTGTTACAGTAATAAGCCATAGCAAAAAAGGTAATAAATGATGGCCATTTGGTAATATTTTATCTTCTACTACAGCTGGATATTGAGTCAGCAATGTGAAGGAGGCAGAAATGTTATCGGTGTAATTAAAACCGCGGTGGAAGCAAACTTCATTGATAAGGAAAACCATGAATCACAAGGAATATATCTGTTTACCAGTGGAATCCCTGATCAGGAAGTGGTAGGTCAAACGCTTCCTTCAAATTTCAATGAAAATCGAGAAGTGTACTCTGTACAATACATTTAAACAAGTGTGACATGTCTGTTCAATAAACATAAACAAATGTGAAAAACAAGTGTACAATAAACATATACACTTGTTTATATATTTCCCTTACAGCATACCATTTCTGCTTATCTATCTGAAGCTGCCAGTGGCTCAGATTTGCAGCTACACGTTTGCTTGTACAACGCCAGTGAAGAAGGGATTCAACAGAATGATGTGATCCACACATTGAAACAACTGGCCCTTACGACTAATGGAAGATTTCACTGGTGTGACGACAAAGGTAAAGCTGAAATATACATGGTTAAAGATTCAGACTTTTTACTCATAGGTGCTGTTGAATCCTGAGGGGCACATATAAAATTATTAGATAGGTGCTGTGAAGGGAAACAGAAAAAACAGATCCGTTTCTTTAATTTCATACACTAAATACTCCATTTGAAGTATAAATGCATAACGGGACACAGAACCGGCTACAACCATTCCCAGAGAAAGAATGTACAATGTACAGCGCTACGGAATGTGATGGTGCTATATAATAATAAAATAATAATAAAAAATAATAAAAGAAGCACTTCAGTAAAAATATATTTATATAATACAGAAAAGACCGAACCGTGCAAAGCTGTTTGTATTCTGTGGCTGCAAACATCTTTTGGCTGTTGGTACATGTGATTCTTTAAGGACAATATAGTCACCAAAACATCTTTAGCTTAATGAAACAGTTTTGGTGTATAGATCATGCCCCTGCAGTCTCCCTGCTCAATTTACTGCCATTTAGGAGTTAAATAACTTTGTTTATGCAGTTCTAGTCATACCTCCCTGCGTGTGACTTATACAGGCTTCCGAAACACTTCCTGTAAAGAGTTGTCTAATGTTTACACTTCCTTGATTGCAAATTCTGTTTCATTTTGAATGTCTTATCTCCTGCTCTGTTAATAATTTTCTAGACCGTGTAGGAGCCTCCTGTATATAATCAAAGTTCAGTTTACAGAGCAGGAGATAAACACTTTTAAAGTAAGTTACATCTGATTAAAATAGAAACCATTCTTTTTCTTCATGCAGGCTGTGTCAGTCACAGCCAGGGAGGTGTGACTAGGGCTGCATAAACAGAAACAAAAGTAATTGAACTCCTAAATGGAAGACAATTAAGCAGTGAGACTGCAGGGGCACGATCTATACACAAAAACTGCTTCAAGCTAAAGTTGTTTCCTTGACTAAAGTGTCCCTTTAACTTCTGCTTTTTACCAACAAGCATGGAAAAAAGCCCTCTTTTGGGACTCATAAGCATCCCATAGACATAAAATACAAGAAAATAATAAAATAATCTAACATTTAATAATATACATATTTCTTTCATTAGGTGTGTGTGTTTTTGTAGATCTTAGATTATCTTACTCTTGTTCTGTAGTAGATTCTGAAGATAAAATGCACTTATTTTTAATATATGTTTTTAGTTCACTGATTTTTGTTTTAGGTGTGATCGAAAGTGATGATATCAGTAGTATTGTCTCAGAAATGGAAAAGGCTGTCAACTACTCCAGAAAGGTATGTATTATCCTGTATTAGTACAGCACTGCAAATTTAGCTTGCTGCCACTAATATCATTTCCAAATTTTCATTTCACTAATGGGAATCCAGATACAAGTGGGCATTTGGCCAAATGTAATTATTAATTATTAATCTTCTTTAAAAATAAAACAAACCATTATTATAAAATCTGATGCACCTGTTGGCCACTCTGACAACATTTTAGTAAGACAAATATACATGATCAAATCTACAAATAATGTAATTATTTTTGTTACACGAGCTTGTACAAGTTAATACTGCGGCTACAACAATGCCTCATAATTAAAAATGCAACAATGAGCGTCCTATTAAGTCAGCTACAGCATACAGTGATTCTAGCCCTCTGGAACTTTGTAAAATTCCCCAATATACTGGACAAGACTAGTCGTATTGGGTAAAACAACAATCTGATCTTTATTAGGCCACACTCTGCTTTTTATGCAGTGCCCCTAGCATGGGGTTTCTAATACAAAATCACAGGGGTTTCCTTCCCACAAGCCATTGTGTTTGAGAGATAATTGAGCTCCAATTAAGCTAATCCAACTATCTCTCAAATAGGAAAACTTACATACAATTTTTATGACAACAGCATCGGAACCCCACAAAGATTATATTCCCGAATAGCCCCGATCAAAGCGCACAACATATCCAAAAAAGTGCTTAGATCAGTTCGGTAAAGCGAAAGTTATGTTCGTGCGTATATGAACTGGCTGCCTGGTAGAGGTGGTATTGTCAATTTCAAAAGTAGTTAATTTGATTGTATGGGAGGCCAGAGCTTACAACCTAAATTCCTCTTTGAAGCTGGGACCCCAGCAGAGCTACTCTGTAAGGTCTGAGAAGTCACACATAAGTGACCTGGAAGTCTGGTTTAAATATAAACTAACTCTCTAATTTGACATATGTCTAGATTCACGCTTAGATAGTGGATCCTGTGATATGTTAATGGCTATTAGCCTTGTGTTTTAGTATCAAATCCAACAGGAACACTAATACCCAACCAAAGATTAAAGGACCACTATAGTGCCAGGAAAACACTCATTTTCCTGGCACTATAGTGCCCTGAGGGTGCCCCCACCTTCAGGGTCCCCCTCCCGCCGGGCTCTGGGGGGGTGGAGGGGGGGAAAGGGGTTAAACTTACCTCTTTCTCCAGCGCCGGGCGGGGAGCTCTCCTCCTCCTCTCCGCCTCCTCTCCTCCTCTTCAGCTGAATGCGCATGCGCGGCAGGAGCTGCAAGCGCATTCAGCCAGTCCATAGGAAAGCATTCTCAATGCTTTCCTATGGATGCTGGCGTCTTCTCACTGTGAAAATCACAGTGAGAAGCGCGGAAGCCGTCTAGCGGCTGTCAATGAGACAGCCACTAGAGGCTGATTAACCCATTTATAAACATAGCAGTTTTTCTGAAACTGCTATGTTTATATAAAAAAGGGTTAAACCTAGCTGGACCAGGCACCCAGACCACCTCATTAAGCTGAAGTGGTCTGGGTGCCTATAGTGGTCCTTTAATAATCAAGCCTCATTCCTATCATATTTAGAATGGGACAAGCACAATCTTCTAATCAAACCTAAACATGATTTGCGAACAAAGGGGACTCCACAAACAATACATTGTTAAATAGCCCTGATCTGAGCACCCAAGTTCTCCAAATAGCGCTCAGATCCATGCAGTATAGGGGAAACGCCACCGTGTTACAGTTCTGACCAGCCGCACATGTGGTCCTATGCCCAAAATAGTTCCCGGGCATTTGGTGCTTTTGCTGGTCAACTTTCAGGACCTCCCGCGGCCGCAATACAGGGTGTTCTGCCTGGCTCTTAGATAGCATTTGTTCCTCTTAGTCTCAGGACCAGGGAAAGCTACTAATGGCGGCTGGGCAGGGTAACTCCCAAACGGTGTCCCAGACATGGGCCATAGTACATGGGCAGGAGGCCGGCTTCTACACTCCTCCAGGAGTTCGTGGCAAACGTACGTGGGAAGGAGCATTTGTCACAATGTTCAAAGTCATTTCACAGAGTAAAACTCTGTTAGGCACCAGGAAGTGCCTCTAGTGGCTGTCAATATGACAGCCACTAGAGGTGGAATTAGCCCTGAAATGTAGATATTGCAGTTTCTCTAAAAATGCACCCAGACCACTTCTATGAGAAATACATTTAACTTCATAGAACTGCACCTTCTTTGTGCCACCCATTCAGTTATTAAACTCTGAATGCCTGGCACCCCATATACTAATATATTGTGTTTTGTTACAATCACTATACCTTTTTTATAGTGTAATTTATACCACATGGTCTAAAGTTCTATATGTAAATACAATATACAAAAACTGAGCTAAAAATGCTGGCATAAGGGGTAAGAGAATATTTGTTTCCCACAGTTATTAGATTATTTTACACATATATTTGCAGGTGGTACAAAATACATCTTGAGTATCTTAAAGATTGTATTTTTCAATTTATTTTCACAATATTAGCTTTAAATATTGGCGTGACTCGCAGTATTCTGTCTAATACAGTGTGCTTATTTGGTGGAATCTTTGAAACAACGGTCAGGAAACCAGACTGGGAGCTCTTCCATATCAGATAGAGGAGAAGTGGTCCCTTACGAAAAAGAGAAATACAAGGCACGCAAATTACCTCTCCCAAAACCTACGGCACTCTCACTTGCCAGATTGGTGAGTTTGTACATTCTACGTGTCTATATTGTGTCGGCTTTTCATGTCTACCTGTATATAATCCCTCAGTACTCCAGACATTTCTGAAACAGGCTTTCAGATGACATTTATAAAAAAATATTTTAAGATTGAACAACAAGGTGTGATAATAAATTCTACATTTATTTTAGCACTGACAAGACGTTAGTAGGAATATATATTGATTTTTGCAGTATACCTTTACCCAAATAAATAATGTATGTGTTATTATTTTTAAAATCTTTGGCAGGATTGATGTTGCGAACGCTCAATTGTTACCTACTTAAGCTTCAACATCTGTTTAAACCTCAGGGCAGCAGGTGTAATTCACATCATCCTTTCAAATGAACAAGATTTGGGTTATCCAGAGGATCTGCACAAAAGTGTTTTAGGCCCCTTGGAGAGAAAACCGCTATGAAAACAATAAATAAAGTATTGTTATATATAATCGCATATATAGAAGTGTTTGTTTATTGCTGTACATTTTTTATATTTAACCATCTCAAACATATTCTCCAGCTCTGTGCAACAGAAGTAGCTTTCAAGCAATAATGTTATTTCTGCTCAAATTGATATAAAATTAACTATACAACAGCTTACAAGAAATTGTATAAACTGTGTTCAATGCCTTCACATCTCTCTAACCATTTCAGAAGAATAGCAAAACAAGCTTAGCCCTCTTCACCTGGAATGTGCGTACAGTTTTACAAAAATGATTAATATTCAACTAGCTAAATAAACTCTGATTTGCAGGGCTTAAAGGAAGATCCAGGAGGTAATAAGGACCCTTCTCTAAAAGCACTAGTGTGGCGCCCGTGTAGTGGCAAGCCTGATATTCCTCCAGGTATGTACCATTTTATCATTCTAATACTCTCCCAATCTCTGCCATCTGCAACATGTAAGACAAACGTTCAATTTATATTACCATTTTATTTTATTTATACCTTTTTTTTTTTATTGTGAGTTTTTGCACATACAGTATAAACACCTAATGTAATTTTATTTTACCATTAAAGCAGTTCTACAGAGACAGGCAGTTGCCAAATTGCAGAATAGGTCCAGACATGTCAAGTACACTGTTTTTAAAGGACCATCAGCATATAGGGCTACCTACCTACTGATAGAGTAGGTTGACACCTACTGTGACATGTTTACGAGGTGTGTCTGTCTTGACTACAAATATGTATGTATATATATATATATATATATACATATATATATATATATATATATATATATATATATATATATGTATGTAATGCATGAGAAAAAATGCATAAGATACCGTGCAGACTCCCAGGCTTCTGGTAGATGACCCGAGAATGAGAACTAAATATATGCCATCCAGGCGGGATGAGAAAATCAATTTTAAGTATATATCTTGTTAAAGTCCCAGGAGGCCAAAACGTTGTTTCATTTTTTGATTCTGTGAGTATACATTATTTTGCTGTAAACCCTGAGAATTCTCCTATATATAAATATATAGTCTGGGGTTTGTTTTTTCATTCTATAATAAGTATCACGTCCTGTTCCTGCTGCGGATCATTTCTGTCTTGGCTTCTGATATCCAGTACTCTGTTTACAATTCTTAGTTTTTCTTGGTTTTTCTGGTTTTGTATTCTATGTCTGGTTTTCTTTGTGCTGGGTTTTCTGGGTTCATTCCTGTATTCCGTTCCTGGAATTCCTAGTCCCTTGGATTCCTTTAAATGTTTGTTTTTTGTTGCCACACCCGTTCCTTTCCCATTAATCCTTTTTGTTTCAGTCTGGAACTGCAGGCAGTGGTTTCATTTCCTCTGCTCATTTCTTTGCAGGTAAGTGCTGTGTGTGTTTTATTGTTTATTTAGTCATGCATATCTAGGCGTTAGGACCCACCGTAATTGGAGTACTTTGGCGCAGTGGTGGGCTGCATACATCTTGGCCATTTATGTATGTCTAAATCTCCAATATTTATTACACATATTAGTACTTAGTTTTGTCTCCTTGTTTTGCCCTGTGTATCTTTTCTTGTTTTATTTTGTCTTCCCAGTTCATGTACAGTCCTGTCCCGTCCATGCCTTGTTCTGGTTTCCCTCATGTCTTGTGTACATGTTCTGCTTTCTGTCCTGCTCCTGTTTTGGGTTCCTCTAGTCTAGTCTTGTCTTATCTTGTTTGGTGCCTGTTCTAGTCTTGCCTTGTTTCTAGTACTGGATACATATCTGCTGCAGAGCCTCCCTATCCAGATCCTGGAAGGTCTGCATATTTTCTCCTAGGATCCGCAGAAGCTGCATCAGGGCTCTGGTTTGTTGCTGCACAAACCCTGGTGCTCAACACCAGGGAGCGTGTGGTTATCCTGCACCAGGCCCCTGATTATTCAGTTCCACGAGGTTTACTCCGATCATCATCAGGCACACAGGAGTCCTGGTCTCTGTACCGCCACCCGTGACAACAAGGGAGTGAGAGGATTACTTCCTAAATCCTTTCTGCATCCTCCAAATCACAGAGCTGGCAATGTCTAGTAATGGTTATTTTTTTTGTGTAGTTTGCATAAATAATAACTAGATAAGATTGTTCATGGTAACTTCATAAAATGTATATGAATGTACTTTCAGCACAACCCTTTAAAGATTGGACGCTGTCTGTTTCCAACAAGAAGACAAAACAAAAGAAACAACCGAAGCTGTCATTTAATGTGTTTTATACCGAAAATGGAAAGGATGTTGGTGAGTGGAAAAGTTTTGAATTTAGTAATCAGAACCTTCAGATTCGTTTTGTTTGTTTGCAACACACAAATACGTCAACAATATGTGAAATAGACATCACCGCGGTACTTGGAAAGCATGACGTCATTATTGAAACATATAAAGCATTGCAGATGGTAGAGGGTCTGTAGAAATTGTCTAGTTTTTCTTGTAGGAGAAGCAAGACATCTTTTTAGTTTTCTTCCTATCATTTACATCACTCAGTTAGAGACAGAAGGTGACAGTGCACAACTTGGCACCGCCCAATAATTGTTATGTGTAATTTAGCACATCATACAGGGATGCCACCAAGGACACAGGCTGCTTTATTTATGTGCCGGGCATCAAGATAGCTACACCAGTTGTTTCAGTAATTACTAGTGGAGTTATTACAAAAATTAACTATTCGTCTGCATTTTGCAACCCTAGCTGCAAATTATTCTAAGTAAGCTCCAGTAGTGATCTGATTCAAATTATTTTGTGAATTAGGATTTTCCAAGAATTGCTTTGTTAAAGGACCACTATAGTGCCAGGAAAACAAACTCATTTTCCTGGCACTATAGTGCCCTGAGGGTGCCCCCACCCTCAGGTTCCCACTCCCGCCCGGCTGAAGGGAGAGGAAGGAGGTTAAAAACTCACCTTTCTCCAGTGCCGGGCTCCCTCGGCACTGGGGACTTTCCTCCTCCTTCCGACGTCATCGGCTGAATGTGCATGCGCGGCAAGAGCCAGCACGCATTCAGCCAGTCCATAGGAAATCATTCTCAATGCTTTCCTATGGACGCTGGCGTCTTCTCACTGTGAAAATCAATGAGACAGCCACTAGAGGCTGGATTAACCCATATGTAAACATAGCAGTTTCTCTGAAACTGCTATGTTTACAGCAGGCAGGGTTAACCCTAGATGGACCTGGCACCCAGACCACTTCAGCTTAATGAAGTGATCTGGGTGCCAGGTCCATCTAGGGTTAACCCTGCCTGCTGTAAACATAGCAGTTTCAGAGAAACTGCTATGTTTACATATGGGTTAATCCAGACTCTAGTGGCTTGTCTCATTGCCTATAGTGGTCCTTTAACCCTGAAATTAAGTCCTGATAAATTTTCAGATTATATACTCTTGAATTAAAGAGGAAGTTGGCCTGCTGAAGTGGGCAATTGGTTAAAAATAGATGAAATTAGAGTTTTGTTTGCACTACACAATAACTGGCAGAATTGGTCAGAAAGCCCTGGCCATTCCCTCACAGCATAGACAACAGTGTAAGGGTTAATAGGTGTCCAGCACACCCGCTAATCTGCTAAATAATTTTTACATTGATGCTCTTTGTGTGAGGGAAGGTGACAGTCCATCCACCCCTCGTTTAATCCCAGCCCTCTCCATTTACCATGTCACCATGTCATCTTAGGGACTCTGTTTCTTTTTACATTACATTTATGTGTTTTTAACCCTTGAATGCTGGATAGTTACCCACCCACCAGGTATATTTGGTATTTTTCTATCTTTTTTCCTGCAAAAAGCATAAAAGTAAAACGCAATGTGCCTATGAATATCCAAAATATGAAAAATAAAGAACGGTTCAGTTACTATACGGATAACAAAAAATAGTAGCTTTATTGTTGCAAAAACAGCAATGTTTCGACCCTACAGGGTCTTTATCAAGTAGGGTTGAAACGTTGCTGTTTTTGCACCAATAAATCTACTCTTTTTTTGTTATTCCTATAGTGACTGAACCGTTCTTTATTCTTCATATTTTGGAAGGGAGGCCTGGCCAGCCTTGGTTTCAGAGTACCTGGGTTACCTGGTGAGTGCGGTATCCAGTACGTCTCTACCATGAATATCCAAAATCTGGCAGGGCCAACTCTCTGAACTCTGTCTGAACACCTATACTCTGCATTGAATTTGTATATGTTTAAAGTAATTTATAGCAGGTTCTGAGTTGCTCTGAATTGATGTCTCTAAATGTGCCCCCAAATTAACTTTAAAGTGTAATTGTCATGATTGCATCTATCTATTATTAGCAGAAATGGTAGCAAATGTACAGGGGAGATTTATCAAGGAACAACAGCTGCTATTCTTGGTGCAAAGTGATAAATGTTGATACATTATATTGGTTTCCATGGTGATTGCTTCTTAGGTAGCCCTTTGCCCAAGCATAACACCAGTGAAGCCATCATGTAGCATCATTAGGGAGGAATGGCCTTCATGGAGAAAAGTCCCCAAGCAGAGTCAATCCCGCAGAGACTAGATGGCAACAATGCAGGACTACAGGGTGATGAGTGTTTTGCAACCATGTAAAAGCCACCTGGATGAATTTCTTCATCTCCAATGTGTACTATCATAACATTATAGTCAGCTACTTCAAACTAGCCACAACAGATCTCCGCTTCCAAGGCTTCGATCAAGATATTATCTCAGCTTTCAAAGATCATCATTTAAGTTGAAAGGCCTAGAGACACGGAGAATGACATTCATCTTTATTTCATTACTCTTCCAGCCAATCTTTGTGAAATATGGTTAATCTGGATGATGGTCCAGTCTGAATGTTTACTTTATAGCCAAATTGTGTCCATTGAATTCAAAATGTAAAGAAGTAAATAGAGAGGCGAATAAAACAATGCATTCAGCATTTTACTTTTGGTTGCAGATTACTTTGTTTGTAAAGTTAGTTGTGTCTGCATAAGTGCAACCAAATATCTCATTAAGTCCATTTGTCAATGATCAGGGGTTGTATACAAAGACTATCCGTCAACAGATACTATAAGAAAAGCCGTTCCCTTCATTGTATTGCCTAAAGAAGAAGAAATTTGTTCTACTAAAGCGGTAAGTTATACAACATGGCAAATATATAGAGAAAGCATACTGTATATGGCACAAACATATGTCTTCTCTTGTGCCCGCCTTACATAGCAATAACATTACTATAAAATTGGAGAAAGCTAAAACAGACATTATTATGACTAACAATCACACAGATATTGCCTCTTTATGAATAACATAATATCAAAATAAATCTAGCATTCACATGTTTGCATATTATAGTTTAGACCAGGACCTCTCAACTTCTGGCATTCCAGATTTTGTAGACTACATCTACCATAATGCTCTTACAGCCATAATACTGGCAAAGCATCAGAGGAGTTGTAGTCCTCAACATCTGAAGTGCCGAATGTTGCCCCTGATTTAGACTAATGTATATTACACAAACACTATTAGCGTTATAAATAGAAACGTGTATTGCTAATACTATAGTTTCCTACTAACTAATTAGAATATTGGCCCCTCTATATCAACAAAATAAAATGCAGATTTGCTTACATTTTCTCCCACAGCGGACCTCCCTGGTTGAGATCATCGCTTTTGATGATCTCAGTCAATCCAATTCTTCCCTATAGGGAAACATTGGGAGCATAGTGCTCATGCATAGATGCTGGTCGTCAGATTGCAGGACCTCATCCAGGAAGTCCCTCTCATGGCTGCTCGAGTGACAGCCACTAAAGGGGTCTTAGGCAGCAATGTAAATGAATATACAATTCATTACTAAATGGTAAGAATATATCAATAGTAAGAAAAGTGTGTAGCGCTAAAATTAGTGTTACACTTACCCCTAGGGGTTTAAAAATGACAACACTGTAAAGATAAATAAAAAACACATGTAGGGTAACACCATAAACAATATATGTTTTGTTTTTTTATTTTTTTTTATTTATCTTTACAGTGTTGTCATTTTTCAACTCCTAGGGGTAAGTGTAACACTAATTTTAGCGTTACGACTTTTCTTACTATTGGTATATTCTTACCATTTACTAATAAATTGTATATTCTGTTACAGTAGGGTGGGGAGTCCCTATGTTTGTGTGGAAGCTGCTTTCACTTTGTACTTTTCTATTTGTCTAAGCGCCTTTTAGCATAGAGCAATTTGTTGTTTTCTTTGGTGTAAATGCTCCTTTTTCTTAAGAAATGTAAATATGGCAAAAACTGTTACATTTTAGATGACTTTTAGACCACTTTAAGAAATATGATGAAAAACATACTGTCACTTTATGATAGGTACACAGACAGTATGCTTATGTGTGGTGTAGCATATAAATCAGAAGAATAGAGCAGTGGGAGCAGATTTTATTAAATTAATATTTATTTAAATTTTTTTGCTATATATGTTAATATTTTCTTTTTTTTGTTAATATTTTATTACCTAGGTCTCTTGTTTTTGATAAATAGTAGAATATGCTATCACTATGGCTAGGCTCCTGAATCAGATGCAGCACCATTAAACAAAATTGGATAACCCTATATATGTACAATCAAACGCATATTTGTAATGTTTCATTTTTAAAGACTAGATATACGTATTCATTATTATTCTCTGTAAAGTGTAGAATAAATTAGGTGCGGCAAAGAATTGCAGATGTACACTTCCATAGTGTGAACAATTGGTAATCAAACTAACAGCCGCAGGGCGTAGGTTCTTATTTGCAAAGTTAGAATGCCTGGGTGTAATTTGAAAGATTTAAATGAAATGATGGGTGTAGAATAAATACAAATAAAATGCTTATGACTTTGCTACCACTTGAAATAAAGCCAAATAGAAGCAGTTTTCATATAATAGTTAATAAAAGTGCTCCAAATTAAAACCGTAATTAAAATTAGTTTGCTTTCCATCCTATTTAAAATGTCTGTTTATTCAATAAAAAAGCCATTGTGGAAAATTAAAAATGGGATTTACTTACTTAGGCCCTTAATTGCTAAATTTAGAAAACAAAATCTTCAACTATATCATTTTTTTTTTACTGATCTATATTAATTGTTGATTTAATTTGCTGAAAAGTGGTTAAAGAAGTACAGTCTGAAGAAACTGAGACTGGAGTTGCCCAAACTGATATTCGGCCCTGACTGCACTCATCAGAAACGAATGGTGCCTACGTTACACAAAAAAGTTTCTGCAAAATACTGTACTATCTTCCCAAGCGTAGAAGTCAATGTGAGTCAATTTTTGCTTTATACTAGAGCAGTGGTAGGCAACCTGCAGCACTCCAGATTTTGTGGACTATATCCCCCATAATGCTCTTACACCCATAATGCTGGCAAAGCATCATGGGAGGTGTAGTCCAAAACATCTGGAGTGCCGAAGGTTGCCGCCTACACCTGTACTAGAGCATCCACTGCAATGTTAATATGAATGTGTGCCATTTTATGTGTATGATGTGTAATTGTCTTTAACCTCTCCCACCCAACACTTTGTATTCATTTTGCGACTTTTTACTCTGCATAAAAGTAGATCTCTTTCCTATGACTTTATTCTAACCCTTTGCATGTCTGCACTTTAGATGGTGGCTCTCCTAAGCACACTACAGGACTTCTTTACAGGAATCAGAAACAAACTACAACACCCTAAAAACATAGAAGCTCTGTGTAAATGCACTACTACTGTTGTTTGGCAATGTGCCCATGTACAGGCCTTTTTTTAACATTCTGGTTTGGTTTTTAGTAAGGTGCATCCCCAAAAATGCCACCAAGGTCCTTTGCATATACTGGTTAGCAGGGCATTTGACCATTCTTAAATACCTGTTGTTTTTTTCACACATAACATAGGTGCCCTACAAATTGGATTGGTGATTTTAACTGCTATTTCAGTATGCACTGCATTCACATACTGTTCCTTGATCTCCTCCTTTGGCTTATTTTGGACCCATTTTTCTCCTACACACGTAATGGCACCTTTGATCTCATCCTGACTTGCCATGCCCCCCTAAATCACTATATCCCTCCTGCCATCCACCCCTCATTCTCCTCTAAACTTTCACCTCGACTCCCTTATACTATTTCTTCACTCTCTCAGTCTACCCATTTTATGAGCAGAAATGGATCATCCATTGATTTGTCTGTCTTTTAAGATTTCCTTAGTTTTTCCATCAATCGTCCTTCTATTCTCTCACTCTCTTCCCTCTCTTTTCCCTTTCTCTATGCTCTTGATCTCTTCCCACTCTCTTCTCTGTCCACACTCTTCACACTGTCCCCTTCTCCACTGATGTATGTGCTATATACAACCAAAACACATTGTCCATGATTCAGCAACGATTCTTCCCACTCTCCATTTACGCACAATACATGCCATGTCTTATTTTAATAGTGGAAAATTGTTTTTATTTATTTATTCTAATGAACAGATTTTTTTATTCTTCACCACCTTCTAAATACTGTTTATGTGCACATTTACCAAGTATGAAAACAACATCTTTCTTATACTGTAGGGAGTGGTGAAACATCTGCAATTTCAGCCCAAGGAGCTGGAGGAATACATCGAGCAACTAGAGAAAGTACTCAGACGTTACATTGAGAGAATGCAATGGCTTTTGTCAGGTAAACCCTGTCTTCATTCTGTAGAACAGGTTGGTCATGGATGGTGAAACAAAACAATTGCTGCTTTGCTTTGATTTAGAAGAATGATTTTCAAACTCACTGTGTTTTTCAAAGGTCTTCCAAAATATATTGCAATAGAAAGTAATACCCGTTTCAACATTTTCGTGTTAGTGTGCCAAATGTCTCGGCAGCTCTGTCAACCTGACCCCTTCTGTAATGTCAAACACATCAGTAGGAAGACTGGACATCATTGAGGATCCAAGGGTGATCTGCGGATAAATATATATTTTAATATACAATTTCGGGGGATTTCACAAGCACAATCTATACATTCACTTTCTTTCCATTTCATTATTTGTTATAATTTTTCGAAAAATTTATCACAATAGACAATAAAAGACTTACATTTAAAAATATAAACAAAAAACAATACAACAATAAATACATTCCGACAGTTCTAGCACTCTAAGATACCAAATTTTTAATTTATTACCCTTAATTATCACCTTATTTATAGATTAGACAGCATACCAAATTTAGTATCTTCCCTTCGACTTGAGAGGACCTTAAATAGTTATTCACTGTCTATGACAAACCAAGTAAACATAAAAACATACAAACATAAAGTCATACTGGGCCGAGATCTATAAATCCTGACAGATAGTGCCTTACTATAGGACTTGATATTTTGCCCTTTTCTTTTCCCTTTTCTCTTACTTTCTCTCTCTTCTTCTCTCTTTTTTTTTTTTTATAAAATATAAATAGCCAAAAGACAGCTTTATATAGAGAAGCAAAATATAGAAACAACCTTATGAAAATATAGAAACAACCCTATGAACATATCAACAGTGTTAGTTCTCTGAGATATAGAGTTATTAAAACATTTTTCTAATCTGTCTCTATATTCATTAGTTATTTGTCATACTAAGTTTATCATCTTTGATTCTTCTCAAAAAAATATTGTATTTAACAGTAATGTCCAATATACATAATGTGCCAAGATCAAATAATAGATACAATTGTTTTTCTTATGTAGGGCTTAATTTTTTTACCCATTCCTCCCATTGTTCTATTCTAGAATTGGTATAATTATCTTGTCTCAGGATTCCAATCTCCATTTTGCAATGGTTCAGGACCTGATATTTTATCATATCCCAAGAGGGGGAATCAGATCATTTCCAGTATCTCGCTAATGTTGCTTTAGTCTCCGTTAAGATGTGAATAACTATATCTTTTTTGCTTCTTGAAATTCTAGGCCAGGCATAGGCAACCTTCGGCACTCCAGATGTTTTGGACTACACCTCCCATGATGCTTTGCCAGCATTATGGGTGTAAGAGCATTATAGGGAATGTAGTCCACAACATCTGGAGTGCCGAAGGTTGCCTATCCCTGTTCTAGGCCAACCCAGATGTAGTACAAAAGACCTACAAGTAAAATCTAGATCTACTCTTATCACCTCTTGACAAAATTTTGCTACTTTATTCCATAGTTGACTTAGGTTTGGGCAAGACCACCAGATATGGACATAGTCTGCTCTAGATGAGCCACATCTCCAACACTTATATTGAGAGGATGGGTACATTTTTGCCAATTTAGTGGGGACATAGAGCCATCTATTAATGATCTTATAATGACTTTCAGTTGAATTTAAAAAATGAATAGACTTAGTTACGGCATTATTTGCATTTATCCACTCATTTCTTGTGATAGTAATCTGTAGGTCTTTTTCCCATGAAACAAGGGCTGTGAATATTTGGCTTGATTTATATAATTTAGCACAATGTGATACTAAATTTCTATTACTTTTAGAATTAATTAGATTCATGAATAGATGTAATCCTTCAGATGATTCTATGACCCTATGTTTGTGTAAAAAGTGCTTTATCCTTAAATATGTAAAATTCTCTCTATAGGGAAGAGAAAATAGTTGCCTAATGTCCTCAAAAGACATAATTTGATTCTGTTGCATTATCTGATCTATATTATTACCATTAGACGTCCAGGTTTTTATATTTAAATCTTCTATATTGGCTGTCAAAATGTTGAAAGGTATATCCGTAATAATTTTATCCAGTATCTTAAGTCTCTTTTTCCAATTTTTCCACTGCAATAATAAATTATCCATAATTAGGCCTATGTTTATGTTATTTCTCTTTTGTGGGCTCCAAAATATAGCTAATAAGTCTGGAGATCCCAGTCTTTTAGCTTCTATTTTTGCCCAGGCTTCCTCTGCAGAGCTCTCCTTTAACAATATAATTAAATGAGCCAATGCGCATGTCTCATATGTCTCTAGAATATCTGGGACACCCAACCCACCCTTTTTTGAATTCATATTTAATATTTTTTTATTCACCCTCGTTTTTTTTTTTTTCAGCCATATAAACTTCTCAAAAGCTGCCTGTATCATTATAAGCTATGGTTTTGAAATTTTAAGAGGTATCATGCGGAATATGTAGCTCCATTTGGGTATTAAGTATGATTTTACAACATTTATTCTCCCAATCCATGATATCTCTGCAGTTTTTAAGTCTTTAAGTTGTTTATTTATTTGTTTCATCATAGGGAGAATACTGTTCTCTATGATTTTATTTGGGTTACTTGTTATTTTAATACCTAGATATTGCAAATATTTCTTAGCCCAAGCGAAGTCATATTTATTCACAATCTTCCCTCTATCTTCTTTACTTAGTTTTTTTGCTAATATAGTTGTTTTATCTACATTCAACTTGAGATTGGAGTAATTTCCAAATTCGGTTATAACTTTCAGCAATTCATCCAATGATTGTACAGGATCTGTAATGGAGATTAGGACATCGTCCGTATATAATGATAATTTGTAGTCTTCTTGACCTATTCTGACTCCTTTAATCTTTAGGTTTTCCCTAATTTCACAGGTTAGAGGTTTGATATATAACAAATAAAGCAGCGGCGAGAGAGGGCATCCCTGTCTCGTCCGTTGCTTATTTTAAACCAGTCAGATATTATACCTCTCCCTATAGTTCTAGCGCTTGGGTAGGAATATAAGGCCATTACGGCATCCATTAGCCATCCACCAAAAGCCTTCATAGATGCTATCAGGAAGTCCCACCTGACCCTATCAAAGGCCTTCTCTGCGTCCAATGACAGGGCCAGAAATGGGACTCCTGAGTCGTTAGTGCTGTCTAGAATATCAATTATTTTTCTCACACTGTTGCTGGAGAGTCTACCATTTATGAAACCGACCTGATCTTTATGAATTAAGTAAGGTAAGATGGTTTGCATCCTGTTAGCTAGGATGCTAGCATATATCTTTATATCCGAATTTAGCAGAGAAATATGTCTATAACTTCTTACTTGATCTGGTGGTTTATCTCGCTTATGTATAGGGATAATATTTGCATATAGCATTTCTTCCGGGATGACTTTTTCCTCCACAATTTTGTTAAATAAATTTTTCAAATGGACCACCAATTCTTCCTTAAATTGCTTATAGAATATATTAGGATAGCCATCTGGGCCTGGGGTTTTATTCTTTCTTAACTTATCTATTGCCTCCTTAATCTCTAATTCAGTGAAAGGTTTGTTGATACTATTAACCTGTTCTGCAGATAGCGGTTTCATCTTTTTATTTTTAAAATATGTTTCTGGATTGTCAAGACGGTTAGGCAAGTTATATAGCTCTTGATAGAAAGAGTTAAATGCTATACCAATTTTTTCTGGGGTTAATTGTGGCCCTTCCTCAGTTATAATTTTCTGAATCATCGTGGCCATTCTATAGCCTTTAACTTTATTTGTAAGCATTTTATTTGCCCGGTTACCTCTGTAATACCATTTTATTCTTAAGCGTTCTAATTTTTTGGAGGTTTGCTGCCATAGAATTTCATTAATATTATCTTTAATTTTATCTATTTTCTCACTCATTTGTTTGGAGGGATTATCTTTATTAAGCCTTGTTAAAGCATTTAAAAAAATATATAGGTCTGTCAAGGAGGAACTTCTACTCTTATTTCTCATTGAACCCATTTTGATAAAGTGCCCTCTCAGAACTGCCTTATAGGTACACCATACTTATTACATCTGATGTACCTTTATTTTGGTTATCTTCAAAGAAACATTTTGTTAATTCTTTTACTGTCTCTATTTCTTGAGGATTTTTTAATAAGAGATCATTTGGCCTCCAACTGTTCCTTATTTTATTATCTGGGCTTATATTAAGGTCTAATATGACCGGGTTATGGTCTGACCAAGTGACTTCCTGAATTAGAACCTTCTTTATCTTAAGTGATATCTCTACTGTACCCAAGTATAGATCTAACCTTGAATATGTATAATGAACTTTTGAAAAGCAAGTAAAGTCCCTTTCTTGGGGGTGGTAAATTCTCCATATGTCTAACAAACCATATTTACATACTAAAAGTTTAAGCTGGTTTGATGTTTTTTAATTTTTTTATTTTGGATAACCCCTCCAAGTGAATTTCTATCTAGCATTGTATCCATAATGCAATTAAAGTCTCCCCCTATAAGGACCTTTCCCTTTTTAATATTATCTATTTTGTTTAATACCATTTGTATAAAACCAATAGGTTTAACATTAGGTGCATATAAATTCGCTATTGTATATACTTCATTTTGTATTTTACATATTACTATAGTATATCTTCAGTTTTTATTTATGTCCTGATACATAATCTGTGTGTCTATATCACTGGTTACAAGAAAGGCAACCCCACATTTTCTTTTATCCTCTAATGAAGAACATATTTTGATATTGAAAGTATTAGGAATAAATCTTTTTGTATCTTTCCTTAACCAATGAGTTTCTTGCAACAATACTATTTTTGCTCCCTCTTTTTTAATATATTCAAATACCATGGATCTTTTATATGGATTATTTAAACCCTGTACTTTAAGTGTCAGAATTTTAACCATTGGGAGAGAGTAGGAGAATAGGACAAAGTCTCGGCACAGTCAACACAACGAAAAAAAAAAGAACAACCTACAAAACATGATAAAAACCATAATCCCTCATGTACGAAATACATGAGACATTCCGTCTCCAACCCCCTTTGTTGGGGACAGGAATCCACAACCTATTCCTTTTGGTGTGGCATCCAAACTCCATCTATTGTTGGAGTAATATGGGGATTAAGCCTCACCTCAGACTAGCGAGATACAGTGTAACAGAGTTCAGAAGAGGATATCACAATGTAACGAGTAGGCATATGAAAGGGGATAGAGAGAGGGTATGGGAGAAAAATAAGTTCTTTCTACGTTATATATTGTGCAGCTTTATTAACTTATCTATTTATATGCTAGGATTCTTTTCTTAACTTCAGAATGAACTATTTTATGATACTTGCTGTGTATTATCTTTATTTTATTGTGACTATTTTCTTCTCCCTTTACACCAACTCTGAATATCTTTTATGTATAATTCCTTAATTTAGTGTCAAACAATGTATTATTTCGCAAGTTGATCACACTTATTGTGAAGGGAGAAAAAAAAATAAAAATAAAAATCACCCCTTTCTCGTCTTTCTTTAATAGTTAAATATAATATAAATGTGCAGATTTATTAAACTTATTATATTATCTGTGTTAACTATTGTTTCCTTTACTTCAAGGGATATTATTTTATAAAAAGTGCTATATATTATCTTTCCTTTGTATATATTTATATAGTGTTAGATTTCCTCCCCTTTCTTCCCCCATTTCTCAAATATTTATAAGTGTTTTCTTATGATATTTTCTTATTCTACTAAAGTAGTTAAACTAACAAACTGTGAAAAAAAAATAAAATACATTTAAAAAAAGCAACGGCAATATCACCAAAAAACATTGTAAGTGAGTCTATAAAAATCAAACAATTTCTAAAAAAATTCCTCATATTTCCAAAAACCTTAGGTCATCTAAGTGCATTTGATCTTTTTATTCCTTCTATATCTCTTTTTATATCTATTATCTATTCCATTCTCTATTTATTATCAAAACCAAGCATCTAGTGTTCTCATCAATTTCCCTCCCATTCTCTCTACTTTCCCCCCTTTAAAAATTAGACGTTTCCAATTAGTCGATTAATCAATCATCTACCATCAATTATCCATTTAACCTCTCTCTCTCTCTCCCTTTACCTTAACTTTTTCCCACTATATCAACATATTCAATATTATATTCGAGTAATTCGTCTGCACACGTACTTCTTTGTTTGTTTCTTATAAAATTTTTGTCCGTATTTATTCCCTCACTCTCTTAATTGATATATATTACATTTTTCTCTCGTCTCATTTCAAAGCCCTCTCTTGAAGCCAGATATTAGTGGAGGTTACATTATCGAAAAATCCAGCTTTTGCTTCATGAACCACTATAAGTAAGGGAAACCCCAGTAGTATTTGACATTCTTTTTCCTTAAAGTCTCAGTCACTGGAACATAGGAACGTCTTTTTTTTCCTTGTTTCATATGATAGGTCTGGGAACACCTTGAAATCTTTAAATTCTTCTTTCTTACTGTTTTGCCTTGATATAGGAGTTACAACACACAGTTACATCTCTTGGGATTTCCTTTGACAAATTGCTTGGTTTCTGGATTCTATGATGTCTTTCCAGGAATTTATATTTCTCATCCATCTGGATTCCTAATTCCACAAAATACGATTTTAGGAAATCTTCCAATTTTTCTTGACTTATGTCTTCTGATATGTTTCTTATACTCACGTTCTTTCGTCTGGAGCGATCTTCCATATTTATGATCTTTGACTCTAATTCTTGAATTTTCTGTTGAAGTTTCCCCTGTTTTTCTTGCTGTTCTATGATCAAACATTCTGTATGTTCCAATTTATCTTCAACCAGTCTGATCTTTTGTCCAATTTCTTTTATCTCCTTTTTTAATTCAGAATTATTATTCATAATCTCTTGTTTTGTAGCAAATGATTGTTGCTCAAAACAGCTTTTGAGGAAGTCTGGGGTTATCTGAGAGGGGTCCATCACTTTTACAGTCTCCATCTGAGTTAAACCTCTCTCCTTGCTGTTAGGACTAACTTCTTTTGAGGATATTTCTGATATTGATTTTTCAGTTTCTATATGTAACTTATAGGAATGCCAGTGGCTAAAAATTGTTTATATTATATTAATAGTTTATATATATATATATATATATATATATATATATATATATTATATTTTATAAATAGCTTTATATTTTCATTCTTTTTAAATATACTGTAACCTGTTACACTACGTTATGAAGCTACCAAACTAACTTGGATTTCTCAATCCCCTAGATTCTTCGTATATTAGCTTCCGTTTTAGGAATACACTAATTCTATCTGTTTTCTTTGTTAATTTAAACGAGAAAACAGCACGTTACCCATGTTTCCTTCAAAACCATTTATTATGTTTCAACGTAATATCCCTAAACAACGGAGAACAAATGCATATTGAAAGCTCAGAATTTCCACTAATTATTGGCTACTGAAAATTCAGCCCTGACGAGTCAAAATTAAGATCTGAGCAGTGTGCAATGGTGTAACCGCGGCTGGTTCCCTTATTTACCACTATAACGTCTTAAAGCATAGAACTTAGAAGGGCTAACCATACAGATATCTTAGCCATAATGTTATATAGTTAGTAAGAGATCCTCTATTTAACATATATAAAGAATTGAGAATACAATATAAAATAAGGATTGTCTTGGAAGCAATAAAATTTTGTCTTTTTAGATATTTATTATTTAAAAATATAAATATAGACATATACAATCCATTACAATATTTTATAGCAGAGTTTATAAAATTAAACTAGATGCTTGCAATATCTTAATAGATAAGCATACCCTCCTGAACATGTCATTGTGTCAGCCTCTCTGTCATTATAAGGTGGAGCGTCTGTCTCCAAATCTCCTCTCTGTGTCTTAACATTGAAAAGGTACACATATTTATACCTTAGATGTTCATTTTAGGACCTCCCTTAACTTGGCAAAGATACAAGGCCATAACTAAAACGTAAGTGCACACGTCATTCTAAAACTTGTAATATTTGCATTTGCCCATAATAATGGGTCCCCACTGCTCTCAATTTTCTTGAAGCCAACAACTGGTTGTAACAATGGTTGTTCAGCTAATATATGTGATCATCAGCAGTGGGATTAATCCAGGGAGTGTTCCAAGTAATTGGCTGTTTAGAGCTATGCAAATATGAAGACATATGTTGTGTAACCACCAGACCTCACTCGACAACCATCAGGCATCATTATGGGACATCTTCAAAGTCTGCATGCATTCTAGACAGGTTTACATAGTTATAATGAAGAGAGATCACAAGTAAGTTCTTCTCTTCTCTCATACTTGTAGACATGCAGGATCACTTTAAACAAAAAGTCACTTAGTCACAGCGAACTTATAATATATGTGTTCTCTAACTTCTCTGCGATTATCTTTCAAATCCTGTACTATCATGCAAAATTCCCTGTATAGCTAAGAAGTTATTACATTTGTATTTTTCTTCTCCTCTCCTGTTCTATTCCGGTGGTCCCACCACAAGAGTAGGTTTGCATTTGCAATTAAAACTTAGGCCTGACAGGTAGCATTGAACTTGAAAGGTTAAGCCTAGTTTACACATAGTGAAACAGCAATACCAACGTTTACATTTAGGAAAGATATGCCCCTTTTAGAAATACAGGTCTTCCTGTTCTCTCATTGTCTGTAATAGTAGCACTGACTACTGTATTATATTAAGTCATTGATATCGAAATGATGGAAGAAAGTTGCTCTAGTAGGTAGAGTAAAATTAATCAAATATGCAATACCTAAAAAGATTTATACTTGTTGATTTAATTTTGCCACCCTCTGGAATCAAGTACAATAAGCATTTTGGTTTCATAATGATTACTATATTGCTAGAATTTTGTCCCAAGTTTCCAGCACATTTATGTCTTAATAAATAGAATATATATGAAAAAGTCATATTAACTTTAAAGGGACACTGTAGGTTACAGTGCCTGGAGTACCCTGGCACTGTCACTCCATTCAGTGTTGCACCATGTTTGTGCAGTATGCCACAAAATAAGAGTCCCTGGCCACCCACAATCTGGCCCCTTCTGTACGTGTAGCTAAGGCAGAGATTACACACTTCCTTGTTGTCATACCCATTCATACCGTCAGTTGGAGCTCTGACAGGCTAAAAGTAGTCAGCTGACACTCTCAGCCAATCACAGCTGCCCATTGCTGCTCAGGGTAATACTTCCTTATTAGCCAAAGCAGCACAGAGGGGATGGACTGCCGAGGACTCTAGTTTAGCATTAAAACCTTAGAACTTTAAAAACTGTTTAATGATAAAAGAAATGGTAGTACCAGGGGACTCCAGACACTATAACCAGTTTAATGAGATGAAGCAGATACAGTGCTTACGGTGTCCCTTTAATGGCGTTTTATTAAAATTCCAACGCAATCAGAAGCTAAACATGAGACTTTGGTCTTATATAGAATCAGATTTTATGGCAAAATATAGCAATTCTACTTCCACATCCTGCTATTCCCCTCCACCTTCCTTTGTGATGGTTGATGGGAATATGTGTCTTCTTGCTACACAGTAGATGCCTATGACATTATCTTTTCTCAAAATATCCACTAGCCATTGGAGAGTAAAAATGTATCTTTGGTGTGTATGTCATGGACTCCAAGCTTGCAGTTGGGAATACATTTTAATGCCTGTCTAGTAGGGTAGGACTTTTACTCCTCATCTTATTACATATGGGAGAAGAGCCATGGGATCTTTTATACACCCCTGTTTTGTACTCCCCATATGTGAGAGCACATAAGTAATCTAACTATTGGCATATGACATCACGAGCAGCTCCTTTTGAAGGTACTATACCTCATGCAGACACTCCCCATCCAATTACCCCACACATTCTTTGCCACACTTAAAATACTGTTTACATCCTTCATATGAAAATACCAACACCCTTGGATCTCCTACCAGGTGTTGACTGAAACACGAGAGAGGGAGGGACTAGGTCTTCCACTACTATCTCGCTGCACTTTTTACTAGGATACAGGAGTGGAACGCATGGCATACAATAGAACAATAATTTGCTAAAGTTCACCTCTACACCCTCCCGTGGCAGATCTGCTAATTGTTCCTTCCCACCCTCTCCTAGGACATATCCTCCACACATGGAGACGCCTCAGAAACCCCCTCAAACTAGCTTCAGGGGTTTCCCCACTCCTCCCATTAACTGACAACTGGCGGCCCCAAAGGGGCTTTGGAGCCTCCACTCTCCATTGACTGACAGGATCTCACCAGGAGTCACCTTTCCCACGATAACTGACCTATCCTGCCGACCCTCCCACATCTCGCTACTGGTAACCTTGAGTTACCACCAACTAGTACACTACCTTACAACACTGGGGGCAATCCAGACCAGATCAAGAGACCTGACTCCCTTAGAGACCGATTCCACGCTCCAGACCCTTCTCACAGATCTATTGGTTGATACAACAAAACACCTCAGAACCTGAACCCAGACAATTCCAACGACAATGGGCAGCTGGGCTTGGAGTCCAGCTTTAGAGAAAGACTGGGCCTTTATTTTTGGGAAAGTCATGATGGCTTTGGTTAGCCCATCTAGGAGAGAAGCCTTTTACAAACGTACCACTAGATAGTATAGAACCCAATCCCACCTACACTCCTTCATACCTACTATTAATAAGGAATGCTGGAGATGTCAGGTTGACAAAGGGACAATAGAATACACTTGGTGGTAATGCCCAAATATGCGGCCCTTTTGGAGCCAGGTTCTCTCACTTATTTAAACTGATTTTACCAGAGATCCACTCACTCACAACCTACCAAGTTTTGTTGGGGTGGCCGAACTACCTTCCATTCCTACACCATCAGAAATTATTGTGGCTGTTACTTGGAGAGGCAAATGCATTAATCCCTGTCCACTGGAAACAGACTGCAGTATCTTCCCTGACCCAGTGGGTACATAGAGTGGAAGACACTGAACCATGGAGGAGTTGCACTGGTCAGCAAGGGGTCTCCAGCCAAAGTATCTAAAAGTCTGGACCCCCTGGTTGACTACTGGTCCTGCTTCATCAATGGCCCACACTCCCAATTCCAACTTGTTGAGTAAGCCAGATGTTGGGATGCACCAACAAAATCTCTACTATATGAGACCACTAAGACCACCCTGCCACTTGCTCTTTCCCAATGCTTACTATTTGCACTACATTAGGTGTTCCGCATCCTCCTCTTTTTTTCTTTCCTTAATCCAAGTTATTTTTTATTGTGTCTCTATATCTATATATGTATATTGTACCACACACATGTATGTAATGTGACCGATGTCGACTCAGCACATGATACGATACCAATGTAGATTACCCACTTGTTGGGTAAACATTGATATGCCCTTTTCTATATATCACCAGATGTTAACATTCCGATATCACGATGTCAATCACTAATGATGCATTGTATTGCTGGCACAGATGTGTGTGTGTGTTTTCTTATATAAAACCATAAATAAAGAGAGAAAAAAAGAAATCCACCAGGAGCTGAAAAAACATGGAGGCAGTTAACAAAGACCCCCAAGTGACAGTGTTATTTAGCTAGTCTTGTACCTATCTCGCTACTATACATATTTGCTGTTTACGTTAACGTGGTCCTCCAGCTGCCTAAGTACACCCTTCCTAAACCTTACATTTTTTATTCTTTTGCTCTCTTTTCTTGGCTAATACCACTGAGCACTTACATATAATTTTGTAGGTCCATGGCAACATTTTAAAAATTAGGGAACCAGTTTCTGGTCTTAACCCAAAGCGGTATCTTGTTGCCTTCTTTTATTTATTTTTTTATTATAAATTCTTTTATTCAGTTTCTTACATAAATATAAATATCAACACAACACCACAAGTCACGTGACATCTTTACACAATCAAAACATTCACAATAGACAGACAAGTTACACTATTATCTGCGGGATCGGGCTAGTAAAGGAATATGTCTTAGCTCAGGACTCTTACTATTCAGATATTACCAGATCTAATAGACATCTGTCTAATTTATAGACTAGCTTCTATTTTATTAACCCATCTTTGCCATAGGTCCCTTCTTTTTGGGGAATTCAAATATGGTATACTTAGGTCTCTTTCCATCCTCATCTGAAGGATGATTTGATCTTTAATGGCCTCCCAATGGACTACTTGATTAGATTTCCAGTTCCGTGCAAGAACAATTTTAAATGCAATAAAACAATGGATTATAAAACAACTATTTATGTATAACATATTCGGCCAATGCATATGTAACAAGACTACCTCTGGTTTCTTTTCTAATTCTATTCCAGTAATATCTTTAATAAATCTTAACATTCTCTTAATAGAGGTCTGAATGTTTGAACAACTCCACCAAATGTGGAGGAATGATCCCTCCTCTTTATCACACCTCCAGCATCTAGAGGTAACTCCAGGATACATCTGAGATAGCTTGCTAGGAACTAAATACCATCTATACATAACCTTATAATAGGTTTCTGATAAGTTTAAACATTGGACCTGTCGACGAGTATTATTTATAGCTTTACACCAGTCTACTTGTTCTAAAGAACACTTCAAATCTTTTTCCCATTTAATCTTCTGGGGAAAACTAGCTAACTCGTTAATATTTCTAATTATCTCTATTGCTTTAGCTAAAACTTTCGGTGTATTCTGATTTGAAAATATGTGTTTTATCATTATATACGATTTTCCAGAATCTTTAATAAGATATTTCTGCAGAAAATATTTAAGCCTCAAATATGTAAATAGCTCTTGTTGAGGAAGATGATATTTTTCTATTATAGTATCAAAAGGCATTATTTCCTCTGAGTTTAATATCTGTGAAACTTTAATTATTCCTTGAGATCTCCATATTTCTAAAGATAGATCTTTCATATTAGCTTCTATTACCCTTAGATTTGCCGTGTCCATAATTGCATATTTGAGGCCTATTTTCTTTTTAATTTCCTCCCAAACAGGCAACAATTGGGCCCATATAACATTATTTTTAATATCAGTCCCCATTTTATCTAAAGTTTTCGTATTCCATAACAAGCCCTCTGGATTTTTTAGTCTCAGATCTTCCATTTTAATACTAAACCAGCTTTCTTCTTTAGCTGTCTCCGTCTGGGACCTATACATATGATTAATCACATTTGCCCAGTATATAACTCTTATATTGGGAAAGTTTAATCCGCCTTCCTTAGTTTTTAATGATAGAATATTTCTATTTATTCTGTTTTTCTTACCCTTATTAATGAAATTTTCTAGATTATTTTGTAATAACGTCAACCATATATCTGGAATCCTAAGTGGAATCATTTGGAATAAATAACTCCATTTAGGAATGACATAAGAATTAATAACGTTAATACGGCCCCACCAGGTAATCTGCATATTTCTCCACTCTTTAAGTAATAAGTTTGTGCTTTTTAAGAAACTTAGGAAATTTACTTCCATCATCCTCTCTATATTTTTAGTAACCAATATTCCTAAGCAATTACATTTCTGAGATGCCCATATAAATCTTGTTGCCTTCTTAATCCATTGCTGTCTCATTTTGTACAATTAGCCTTGGTCATGAATCTTTTAATGTGATGTAAAAAAAATGGACATGTTCATTCATGCCATCCTTATTGTTGTAATAAATAACCTATTGTATTTATGGACACAGATTTATAAGTAAACTCAACCCATAAGCTCCCAGAGCACACTTCCTTGGCAAGTACCTATTATATCCACAGTGCAATTCACATAGCGTGATATATTGTGTTTCTAAGACGGATGCCATCTTGTCTATGATAAAACACTGAAATATATATCAGGCCTCTGTTATATGTGATACAGAACAATCCCCAGAGTGCCACAATGCTGCTCAAATGAGGTCATCAGTAAATTCTGAAACTTTGGAGATACCAAAGTACTGAGTGGGGAAACAATGAATTAGACCTACAAGATTTAGAGAAAAGAAACATGATATTTAGCAGTTATTTAAGCCCATTGTTCTGCTTCTTTTTTATACACTGCACATGCCCCTTAATAATCAATTGTTAAATAATATTAATTTGATCTACAGGAAGCCGTCGACAATTTGGGACCATACTGGAAGCTAAAGTATGCCTGTTAATAGATGCATCTTCATCCATGGCTCCTTTTTTCGTGGAATTGCAGAAAGGACTAACGTCCCTTTTATGGGAGCAGCTGAGAGCGAGAAATGTCTGGTAAGGTGACACATTTAAAGACACAATAAATGCATGCAATGTAACCTAACTAAATTCAAAAAACAGAGTTGTGCTCTAGCAAAATGTTATTTTCTGAATTATTTGTGATGCAGGTTTAATATGATAAGCGTTTCGGAAAGCATGGATTCTTGGCAGGAGTGTTTGGTGGAGGCAACAGATGAAGCGTGCCATGATGCTTCACAGTGGATTTCCCGGCTAAGGCCGCAAGGAAACACCTGTATTCTTCACGCTTTAGAGGTTTGTACGCTGTGAACTAAGTCATGAAATATTAATTCTATGCCATACACTATATTCAACACACACTACATTACACATGTTGACTACAGAGAACAGACGGTCACTAGGGATTGATCAGAGAAAGTCACTCAACCGCCTTGTAGTTCTGTTCCTACAAATATATCTGTTATTACAGTAACAGCTATGTTCAAAAGAATACAAAAAAAATACAGAGTTATTTACTAAAGTGCGAATTGTTGGAAATTCTAAGTGAATCTTCACTGTTGAGCCAAAATGAATACATCGCTGACTTATAGGAATGAAATACATAAATAGCTGAATTTTTCTGTTTAGTTATATTGTGCTTGGCCTTCAATATTCAATCCACTTAGAATTCCCAACAGATAACACTTTAGTAATGAATAACACCCATTGAAATCAGGAAGCAGCTTAAACATTGATTGTTCTGTTTGATGGTAAGGAGCAAGTAAATTAATGGGAAAATGACAGTACGTACCAACTGTGTTTGGTACTTGACAAGTTGCTAGTGAGTGTAGCTTGCTATGCTTTGTTTGTTATTGTTTGTATCCTTATTTTGTCAGCATGTGCCTGCTAAAGGCAAAGTTTAAAATTTCACAAGGCAGAGTAGGTAGGTAAATACATAAGTCAAGATTTAATTTCTGTTGTAAGCTATTTGGAGCTTATAAATTATATGACACTTAGAACACACAGGAAAGGTCAGTGCTTAGTGGATAAGCCCTTAGTGTAAATTAATACACCAATACCACATCTACCAAACTGTCACAACATAAGGGTTAAATAAATACCCATATTGAAAAAAAACATTAAATGGACACTCCAGGCACCAAAACAACTTCATTTAAATGAAGTTGTTATGGTGCCAGGAGGACCCTGGAGACATTCTTACCTCATGGTTTTGACCCATTCTCAAGTGGTTTTACCCCAAAGTTGCCTCTAGCGGCAATGTCCACTCCCTCACAGACGGCATTTGGCTTCTGAATTTTCTGATTCAGGAAACGCAGAGTGCCACTGGGCAGGGGCGCCTCTGTTTGGATGAGTGCAGTCAGCTGACCAATTAGTTTAGTGAATGGGGAGTCACTGGTTAGCTTCAACTGACCACTATCAGCCAATCAACCGCGCTTCTGCCCGGCAGCACTCTGCACTTACTGATTCTGAAAATTCAGAAGCCAAATGCCATCTGGGGGGAGTTGAGACCATCACTAGAGGCAACTTTAGGGTTAAACCATCTGAGAATGGTTTAACTCCTTGAGAAAGGAGTGCCTCCAGGGGCTTCCTGGCACCATAACAACTGAATTTAGATCAAGTTTTTTGGTACCTGGAGTCAGGGCCGGACTGGCCCACCAGGATACTGGGAAATTTCTTGTTCTTGCGGCCGCAGGGGGAGCTGGCTGTTCTGTCTCCGCTCCCCCTCCCCTGCGCGCCGCTTAATGAGACCGGGGCCGGAATATGACCATATTGACCAAATTGTGTGTGTGTGTGACTGTGTCATTTGTGTGTGTGTCTGTCTGTCATGGTGTGTGTGAGTGTCTGTCTGTGTCATGGTGTGTGTCTGTGTCAGCAATGTGTGTCTGTGTCATTGTTTGTGTCTCTGTGTCATGGTGTGTGTGTCACTGTCTGTCATGGTGTGTGTGTGTGTCTGTCTGTGTCATGGTGTGTGTGTCACTGTCTGTCATGGTGTGTGCGTCTGTCTGTGTCATGCAATGTGTGTCTATGTCATGGTGTGTGTGTCTGTCTGTGTCATGGTGTGTGTGTGTGTTTGTCTGTGTCATGTAATGTGTGTCTGTCTGTCACGGTGTGTGTGTGTCTGTGTCACGGTCTCTCTGTGTCGTGGTGTGTGTGTCACAGTCTGTCTGTGTCATGGTGTGTGTGTGTGTGTGTCTGTCATGTAATGTGTGTCTGTGTCACGGTTTGTGTGTGTCATGGTGTTTGTGTGTGTTTGTGTCATGTAATGTGTGTCTGTGTCACGGTGTGTGTGTGTCTGTGTGTCACGGTCTGTCTGTGTTATGGTGTGTGTGTGTGTCTTTTTTAAGGTGTGTGTCTGTTTCTGTCTGTGTCACGGTCTGTGTCTGTCATGGTATGTTTGTGTGTATGTGTGTTTTTACTCACTTTTTTTTTATTTTTCCCCACGTCATGCTGGTCTCCCCTCGCCTGGCCCTGCCTCTACGGCTGAGATCATCAAGCTTGATGATCTCAGCCAATCTGCACTGACACAGGAAGCACCTCTAGTGACCGTCTGAGTGTCTGTCACTAGGAAGCAATGTAAACACTGCCTTTTCTCTTAAAAGTCAGTGTTTACATTGAAAAGCCTGCAGGGACAGGCTATAGACACCAGTACCACTACATTAAGCTGTGTGTGCGTGCGCTTGCTTGTGTGTGTGTGTGTGCCTGCTACTGAGTGAGCTTGTGTTTTTATGTCAATAACCTTATGTATGAGGCTGTGTGTCAATCAGCGTGTCAGTGAGATTGTCTGTGTATGCATGTGAGTATGCTGTATAATTAAAAATTTTACTCTGAAAGGACCAATATTTTATATTGGAAAAAGATATATATATATATATATATATATATATATATATATAATATTGCCAGAGATAGCACTCCAAGGACTAATATAAAATATAACTTTTATTACCTCCACTAAAACAACACAAGGTCAACGTTTCAGCTTGATCCCCTCAAGCTTTCGTCAGGAGATGTCCTTTTTTCCCCTTTTTCAGCTGCACAGACAGCTACTGCAAGCACCAATCTCCCGAACTGGAGACACACGAATAGCTGCTAGCAGACAAACAGGAAAAGCCCCCAAGCGGCTTACACTCCTGGCAATCAGTCTCTAACAGCATACAGCAAATCCTCCCCCCATTAATGAGACGACACTTCACTTTGAGGGTTAAGCAGGAACTCTCTGTAATGGCCACACACTGGCTTTTATGCAAGTCCCCATGCAAAGGGACATCCCACAGGGTGGGACACAGTACAACCAATCGTTACAGGGGAACCGTAAAACACACCCACAATTACATTACAATCCCTCCTCTCTGTCCTGGAGATAATTGTGAAGTAATCAAATTATCTCCAAGGACAGAGGCAAAACTCCATTAACCACATGGCAGACAAAGGACAATAAAAGACATAAAATTACATAGCTACATTTATTCCATAAAACATAGACATTCTACATATCCCCAGATAGCTTAGAGCTGAGTGCACATTACTACCGAATGGCTACCCAGATCAGCTACATACAGTTCAATCGCCATGGAGCCAAAGTCTTTCATACAGTCTTTCAGTATACGGCTGGGCTCCATGGCATAGCTATCTGGGGTAGCATGGCTTTAACAGTCCGCAGAAAGGCACGAATAAACCTTTCTGCCGGTAAAATAAAAGTTTAAAATGCAGGACCATAGTCTAAAGGGAGCAGGCGAGCAACCAGGCTTCTCCAGTGTACAGTGGCGAGGTTGGATTTGCCACAGGCGCCCACACGGGAAGATATGGACCTCACCTCAGAGGACAGCGAGCATGATGACTCCAGATATTACGCTAACAGAGTGGAGCCCAGTAAAAGCTCATCTCTCCCTGACGGCGATCTACAGTCCCCGAGGGCGAGTGCTGTGACCCGTCCAGACCACACTCCCGCCAGCAAAGCGGATTTTCAAAACATGTTGACAGAGATGAAGGCCTATTTCTCGGGAAGATATGGGAGTTATGACAACTCGACTGCAGGCACTGGAGGACGATATTGTTACAACGAAGAACACACAGGAGGTTCTGAAAGCTGAGGTGGAAATGCTGAAGCAGGCCAACCACACCGTGGAAGGAAGGCTTGCTGTGCTGGAAGACGCTATTCGGCAACGCAATCTGCTGGTCCGTGGCATCCCCGAGGGCATAGGGGAGGACGAAGTACTTCACTACCTCTGCAGACTGTGGAGCTCTATGCTACCTACAGCTAAAGCCAAGACCATACATCTGGACTCCAGTACCGGGTCCCAAAATCAACTAAAGCCCCGGCTGGAGTTCCAAGTGACTTCCTGCTGTGCTTTCAATCACTCCAGAGCAAACAGCTCATGTCAGCCTTGACAAGAAATGCACCCACTTACCGTTTTGAAGGCTCAGATCTGGCCTCCACAATGATCCGGAGGCACTCCCTGCAACCAGTGACTAAGCTGTTAAGAGAGAAGGAGATCAAGTACCGCTGGCCACCAGGCCAAAGATTGACCATAATACACGCGGAGAAGAGATTACAGCTAACACACCCCTCAGAAGCAGAACACCTCCTCAGGGAACCTGCACCAGACACCACCCAGAGGTCAGTGGCAAACACCTCATGGGCATCACCTCCTCCATCATGGGACGTTAATACCATCCAGCCCTTTTACCCCAAGTCGAAACGGGCGGCGGAGACGCAGAGGTTTTCAGGGCACTTGCATACTGCAATTGTGTTTGTTTTAGACTCTAACGGCCATTTTGGGCATGGTTCCTACTTTTTGGGTAATATATATTATGTGTTGTTTTAGATTTTTTTCTGCTCTTTTTGCTGACTTAAAGGTACACTAGAGTCACCAGAACATCTACAGCTTAATGTAGTTGTTCTGGTGAGTATAATCATTGCCTATTTTAATGCAAACACTGCCTTTTCAGAGAAAAGGCAGTGTTTACATTGCCCTTAGGGACACCTCCAAGTGGCTAGTCCTCAGATGGCCACTGGAGGTGCTTCCTAGCTCAGTGCTGCACAGTAGGCAGCCCTGCCGTTCAGCGTCCCCACGCTCTGCATGTGGATGCTGCATTTTCCTCAGAGATGCATTGATTCAATGCATCTCTATGAGGAGGTGCTGGTTGGCCAAAATGGCGTTTGGCCCTGCCCCCTTGCCGAGTTTAGCCAATCCAATGCTTTCCCCATTCCCACATTCTGATGATGTCATCAAGGACGCGGGGCCAGCGCCGGCAGACCCGTGGAGAGCTGAAAATAAGTTTTAACCCACTGTGAGAGGGCTAAGGGGGGGGGGGGGTTCAAGCCACCAAATGGTGGATTTTCACTATACGGTCAGGAATACGTTTGCTCCTGACCCTTTAGTGTTCCTTTAAGTCCGATGATATGACCCAATCCCCATTGGAAGCGGAAGCATACATCCGCCCAGTGATCTATTTTGCCATAGCATTGTCGTTTAAGGAAAATTTCCCTTTTTATATGCATATGCCTATTATTTTAATATATTTCTCGTTTTTCGCCTTGAAGTTAGAATGCACTTATGATCTTCACCTGGTTTTAGTATCAGGCTGTTTTTTACTGTACCTGTGAGCGATCTCTCGAGCATCCAATACCGCCCGAAGGAAGCGATTATAGTTGAGCAGCTATAGCTAGTGTATATTAATTAGTGCAAGTAGATTTTCGTGTAGGCCAGCCAGACAGTAAACCTGATAATAATGTTCTAGTTACACATTTTCTGAATGAGTCTGTCAATATTTATGCATGCACTTTAAAATGTAGCTCACTGTTCTTTTATTTTTCTGTGAAATTCTATGTATGCTACAATAAAAAATACAAATTAAAAAAAAGAAACAAACTGAAAATAAGGGTTAAATAAATATCCACTGAGATAAGAACTTAAATTAGTTCATCAACATTACCAAGTGCCTTTATATCTTCAGACACAGATTAGAAAAGGTGTATAGCATGATACTGCCAATTTATATTGCGAAAGTAATTTAGCAGTACCACCATTTTATGTTTCTTTTATGGAAAGTTACTTTTTATCAATGTGGATATTTACTTAACCCTTATTTTTAGTTGTGTAGACTATGTGATACTGGTGCCTTTCCATTAAGCTCTGAAATTTTCTGTGTGTCATTTTTAGATATTAAAGGGACACTGTAGTCACCAAAACAACTTTAGCTTAATAAAACAGTTTGGTGTACAGATCATGCCTCTGTTCTCTTACTGCTCAATTCTCTGCCATACAGGAGTTAAAGCACCGTGTTTATGTAGCCCTAGGCACACCTCCCTGCATGTGACTTGCAAAGCCTTCCTAACCACTTCCTGTAAAGAGTCTTCTAATGTTTACACTTCCTTTAAAGCAATTTCTTATCTCCTGCTCTGTTAATAGCTTGCTAGACTCTGCAAAAGCCTCCTGTATGTAATTAAAGTTCAATTTACAGAGCAGGAGATAAAAACATTTAACGTAAGTTACATCTCATTGAAAATGAAACCATTTTGTTTTCATGCAGGCTATGTCAGTCACAGCCAGGGGAGATGTGAACATGGCTGCACAAACAGAACAAAAGTGATTTAAAGGGACATTATAGTCAATGAACTCAATGAAGTGGTCTGGGTGCAATGTCCCTCAGGTTTTAATCCTTCAGATGCAAACATAGCAGTTTCAGAGAAACTGCTATGTTTACATTTGGCGTTAAGCCAGCCTCAAGTGGCTGTCTTCCGGACAGCCACTAGAGGCGCATCTGCGACGCCGGAGGCATATTATGCCTCCATCACGCAATAGGAAAATGCTTTCCTATTGACAGCTTGAATGCGCGCGCGTCACTTGAATCCGCTGACATTGGCAGACGGAGCTGACATCGGCGGGGGAGGAGAGGTCACCAGCGCCAAGGGAGCCTGGCGCTGGAATATGGTAAGCTGCTGGAGGGGTTTTAACCGCTCCACTAGAGGGGGACCCTGAGGGTGGGGGCACCCTCAGGGCACTATAGTGTCAGGAAAACCGCTATGTTTTCCTGACACTATAGTGATCCTTTAACTCATAAAGGGTAGAGAATTAAACAGTGAAACTTCAGAGGCATGATCAATACTCCACAACTGCTTCATTAAGCTAAAGTTGTTTTGGTGACTATAGTGTCCCTTTAAAACCTGATGGGGTGTGTTGTAAGTGTCATAGCTGCTGTATTTTAGATTTTTATATGATTTATTCGTGTAAAATGTTCTATTTCTTTGTACTTTCTTCATTTTTATTGTATTCTTTACAGAAATGTTTACAGTTTCCAGACGTGCAAGGTCTTTATGTAGTGACTGACGGAAAGCCTGACGCAAGCTACAATATTTTACTAGCAGAAAACATCCTTAAATCACACTGTATTAAAGTTCATACTGTGTCACTGAACAACTCTGAAAAGTATGTGCATAAAATGATTCCATAGCTCAGTAAAAGGTTTCCAGTGTGTTACATAATTAATCACACCCAGTCTTCGTGTGTTGTTTTTGCCATTAGTATTGCTATTATTGGTGCATTAGCTGAACAATTTGTAAGCAGCAGTATTGTGGTGCCAAGAGAACCCTGTTTATTTGCACCATAACCACTACAATTAGCTGAAGCTGTTATGGTTATTTGGGAGTCCATTCTAACCTGTTATAATATTTACTGCCGTAATTACAGTCTGGTTCCTAAATACAGTATGTCAGAATGGAATATTCTCCTTGTTTAGTATTTTCACCTGTATGCAGACCTATTGCTGTTAAATATAAGAAACCTTACAATTTGAAAATAGTTTTTGACGTTTTGTTTGTTTCTTTGTCATAATTATATCATTGGTCCTTCAGGGCTTAAAATAAAGCTGTTGTGTGTTTTTAAACTCCGGAAGTGACAGAATAGAATAAATATAAGCATCCTTATATGGCAACTGTAAGCAAGTTTTGCCATGAATAATGCAATTTTCTGACTGTGATTGGTCTAAATCAGGGTTCTGGCAACTTATTAAAGGCAACTTATTAAAGTGCACAATTTAGTCATGAACCTATGCCCTGTCCAACATGAGGTTAGTGAAGGGCAAATAATAAATAATAGGCCGCGTCATGCAGACACTCGGATGTTACTGCTGGTGAGGTGACTGCTGCTCTGCTTCAGTTATCTCATAAAATCTGAAACTGTAAGATTGAAAACTGCAAGGTGTGTTTTTTATTATGTTTTTTTATCACGTTAATTTTGAAGTTGCTACTATTTTGTCATGTAAATGATTTAAGATGAAAATTACCACAATTTTAAAGCGGCACTTTCACACACTGAGCTTACCTTTTCCCAGTCTCTTCCTCTTCTCTTTCCTACTCTGTGTTTCTTTAAAAAAAAATAAAAAAATTTAAATCTATTTCGAACTAAAAATAGACGACAAAGAAGAGACTACTTTGTCTTGTTTTTCCTATGCTTGACTTTCTTTGACACAAGGAGGAACTTTAGTAAGCCGAACTTCCTGTGTCAAAGAAAACTTATACTAGCCTTTCCTCCGTATTCTCGGGTTGCCTCATTTTGCCCTTTCTGAACCTCCTGTCATATAGACTAGGGCGTGTGCAAAATGAATGTCAACAGTTTGTCAATTTTTGGTCATTTTTACCAATTCAGAATTAAAATTCCGATCTAGGCCACCACTGCATCTTGAAGCCATTTAGCAGATAACCCCCTAGATTGGTACCTTGTGGGATTCCCATATAAGGGCAATCCCACAAGTATTGGGTAGCTAACTACTAAAAACTTAAAAGACCAAAGTTGGTCTTTCAGCCATCAGCACACTTTATTAATAATAAGTAAAAAATACTTAGTATTAGTAAATAAGGAAGGTTAGATTCTCCATTTTGCACCTATTCGCGGTGCCGCGAGTAAGCGCATGTATACTAAACAGTGAGCAGCCAGTGGAAGCCTCAATGATGGGACACCTATTAAAATAATTAACAGGGGGGGGAGGGCATAGTGCCCCCCTTCAGCCCCCACCCAGGGACCTCATGTGGGGGCAATTAAACTAAGCAGAGGACCTAGTATCCCCCCAGCTTATTGGGTGGGTGGGGGCCCTAAATAATAATGGGGGACCCCCCTCTTTTTTTGCTTGCGATCAGGTCTTTTTTTAATTTTAATAGTTCATGGATTATTTGGCCTTTTTTGGGGCTAAAAAAAAGTAAGAAAAAAGAAGACATCTAGTTTATGAGTGAGGGGGATAGGATGGGTATTTGTTTAGTGGGACTAGGAGGACAATCAAATATAGAACAGTCAGGAGGGGTGTGGGTTAAAAAGAACTCCAAAAAAACGGATGCAGCCGTGACAGGGCCTAAAACGTTTTAATTTTTCGTTTGTTTAATGAAAATAGTTACTTTTTGCTCCTTGGTAAATAGGCAGCTATACAAGGTAAATACATTCATAGCCATCTCCTTTCTTGTTGCAACAGTTGCCAATCTTTCCAGATGTTTACCTTTTTGTTTAATCTAGAGGTCTCTTTGTAATTTCTTTCCTTCTCACATTATTTATTTTTCTTTTTTTTTATCCATTCTTTCTCATTGTCATGTTTCCATATTTTATTTTTATTTTTCCCATACCAAATCACAGCTGTCCTGTTTCCCATCTGTGAAAACTTTTCCTTTTTCATTTACTTAATTTATTTTTAGAAATGTTTTTATCACATTTAAACCCAAAAGGGCTGTGGCTATAGTAACTAGCATAACTCCCGCACAGTGCGTGATCAGACTTGTGACAGATGTGAGGTGTACACTATTCAGGTGTAGTATATGAGTGTGCAATATAGATAAGATCACACAGATGTGGTACATTTTACCTATACATAATGTAAATCTTATGGTTCACAGCAATGAGCTCATACTCCACTTTCGGTCCTTATTTTATACAGATATGGAAATGAATTTCTGAGGAAGATTTCTGCTCTCTATGGCGGTCGTTACCATTGTTGCCATGGAGATATGGATGGCCACTTTGCTGCACATCGTATGTTAACTGAAGGTTTCTTCGATGAAGACGTATGTACATTAATTACTTAGTCATATCTGTATACATTTAAAATATTTCAGTATTGTGTATATAGATTGACAATGTAAGATTACTTAGTTACCAATTATATTTCAAGCATGGTTATTAAAATATTTCAGTGCCAGGGTCAATGAAACGTAGAGTCCTGCCATTTTCAAGATCACCGTACAATTATATAAATCATTTTCACTGATAATTTTAGGAAAAGATAAGAATATGTAATATTTTCTGTATTCATATGTTGGAAATTTTAACAGTGATGATTAGTAAGTGTGTGAAGTACAGGGATCTGTTAAGAAAGAATATATTTATAGATACATTATATAGTCTTTCTCTTTTTTCCCAATATGTACAGCCTCAAAGAATAAATTTTACAAGATTTCTAACAAATTAGCAAATTACAACTTGTTACTATCTCTATAAGAATGCCAGGGACTTTCAAATAACCCTTTACCAGACTTACTCCCATGAATGACTCTGTGTTGCTTTTACTTTTAACGTAAAATTTATAAGATTACATTGCAGACCATGAGAGCGTCATGGTGTACTGATCCCAGCACCGCCTAACCTCTGTTCGTACTCCTAATGCTCGCCTTAAAGACTTCTTTAGGGCTGCACCATTCCAATGGACCGCCCATCCACTCTCTGTTAGACTTTCACCCAGTCTCCACTCCTTCAAAAAAATCTTTGAAAACTCACTTCTTCAGGAAAGCATATCAATTAAACTGTGAACAGTTTTCCCTCCTCGCACCCTGATTCCTCTTCTGCAACTGTCATGAAAACAAAACAATAAGCCCTTAGTGAATACTATCCCAACAACCTATTTTTCTACCCTACCCTTACCTTTTGTGTCCCTTTACCCCACTCCCTCTAGCTTGTAAGCTCATTGAGCAGGGCCCTCAACCCCTCTGTTCCTGTGCGTCAAACTTGTCTGGTTACAAATACGTGTCTGTTGGTCCACCCATTGTACAGCACTGCAGAATTTCTGGATGTTTTATAAATAATAATAATAAATACGTTTGTACCAGCACAAATCGTCAGCTTGGTGAAAGGCTGAAACATCATACTATATGATCACCAGATAAAAGGATCACTGATTTGAGAGGATTGATGCTGGATTAATGTAGCTATGGAATATATGTACAACCTTTTAACCTTTAAAGGAACACTTCAATCACCATACCCTATGTAAGAAGTCAAACAACTCCTCAATGGGAAAGCAACATGGGTGGTGGTGTTCTGCACCAGCTTGGGTTCTACATCTAGGCTTCCTGTGCTATTGTCTAAATCCATAGAATGTCCAAGTATGCCTATAAGTAATGAGTCTTTTACTTTTATAAAGGTAAAAGTTAATGTGGCTACAGAGGCTGGCTGACCACCATGAGGAATATAGTCTACCACAAATGTAGTGCCAAAAGTTGAGTAATTACTGGAATAAGTTGTTTATTGAAGTAAAAATGTGTCAGCTCTTTATTGAGGTATATGCAAAACTTACACAAGAAGTAATGTTAATATAAAGCATATCACGTTCAGAGATGCAATAAATCTCATTACATCGTAATGCCTCATTCTAAAACAGAAAGAAAAATATATCAAACATATGTACTTTCAAAATTAGTAAACATTTCCACCGATACTAACAGAAAAGAAAGGTAAGCATGGGCATGCAATTGGGTGACTTTGGGCATTAGATAACATAGAGCGAAAAGACATTAATACAATTGCAAATAAAGCAATAGAGGCTGATTTAGGTTAAGATGTGGCAGAATGAGTGAACACCGCTGGACCAAAGTCAACCAATGCCCAGTCTATCAAGGAGAGGACAAGCATCAGAAATTACTAGCAACAATTTGCATATTTGTAGCCACGTAGCAACGTATTGCTGTCTGAAGATTATTTTTTAATTAAGGTGTTTTGAAGGGACATTCTACGCCCCTGATCAACTGCAGCTCATTGTAGTGGTTCTGGGGAAAAGAAACTGTCCCTGCAGTGTAAACGCAGAATTTTCTGTTTGTACGAAGTCTTAGCTTACATGGCAGTATCTTTTCCTATACCTAACGGAGTTGGTGATTAATAGGCAACCCTCCTTATTGGAGAGATTCTGATATCACCAACTTTGACACATTAAGCAGGCAGAGAAATCAATTACACAGGGCATTGACATTGTTTGAGGAAATTTGCTTGCCTGCACAGCTTCTAGCTAGGGGCATTTCAACATTGTGACAAACTCCCCTCTCCAAGTGAGTTTGCCACGAGTTCCTGGAGGAGCCTGCTTGCCAGCCTCCTGTCCACAGACTATGGGCCTTGCAGGGAAACCTGTAAAAGACTACCGAACTTGACCGACTGTTAGCACTGATTTCACTGGAACTGTTTTGGTCATGGGGCCATGCTTGCGGTCGGTCAAAACTATGACTTCCAGGAAATCCCAGAACCCCTGAACCAATCTGGGTGTTTTTTGGATATGTTGTTCACCCAGATCGGGACTATCAGAGGATGTGACTTTTATGGGGAGATGTATTTTTGGGGTACTTATTGGACTTTGTAAAAATGTATGTTTTTTCTGCCTGTGGATAATTATTTAATTTATGGGGTTTTGTGTGTCTTTAAGGTACTTTTTGGTGTTTCGCAAAATTGTATGTTTTTTCTGTGCTTGGAGATAATAAGGCTAGATTATACAGTTCCTGATTCAATTATCTCCCAAGCACATAGGAGGGATTCTATTGTTTGTGTATGGGAGTGTCTCACTGTATGACTCTGTTTATATTGGTTTGTTAGATTTGTGTCCCTGTGCCCAACAAGGTCCACCTGGATTTCGCCCTTGTTGGGAAACTTGCATAAAAGTGTGCCTCCATTAAATGCTATTCCAGCTTACACTCCAAAACTGTGTGTCGTCTTGTTATTGGAGGTAAAGAAGATTTAGTCCTGTGTCTGCTGTTCCAGCTTGCAGGTGATTCGAGGGGGAAAGTCCTTGTAAGGACTAGAGCTAATTCCCCATTCGGCTCCAGGAAGAAGCGGTTCCAGGGCCCCAGTCAAGCCATGGCGACTGTGGGCAGAAGTGCTGCAGTTTGTCCTCTGTTCCAGCTAGGAAGCGGTCCTTGGCGGAGGTACCCAGTCGGGGTACAGGGAGTTCCGTTACGAACATTTTACCAGATATTCCCTACACATGACATTAACAGAACAAGAATAGACAAACTCATTGAACTGGCACACCATGGCTCGACATGCTCCAAATACTAAGAAAACCGCTATAAGATTCTCACAACATTGTATAATACACTCCAGAAAGTACATAGACCCTTCACCTGTCTGCTGGAGGTACTGGGGGCGGTTATATCTATGCTGCATATATGAATTGTTAACAAAACAAGGAGTAGAGTCAGCGCTAATCAGGAAGGCAGCAGTCCCAAACAAGGACTCCCTCTAATATCCCTGGAAATAAATAGACAAAGCAAGAAAATGGGGGATGGGTCTGCGCCACTGTGGCGCAGACCCATCCCCCATTTTCTTCCTTTGTCTATATATGAATTGTTGTTGAGGATGAATGGGTTTATTTTCACCCAGCCGATATATAAATGTTCCACTCCAAGCTTACAGTCTTTTGATATAAAAAAAACCCCGCTCTCCGAACACCTGCTGCCAGATCACTGGTCCCTGCATTTTTTATGCAACCCTCGGCCCCTTCATTCTGTAATTGGCTTGACTGAATGGAAGAAATTATAATATTTGATGAACAACCTTCATTTTTATTATGTAGGACAGAGAAATACCTACATTACTGTCCTACTTATCTGATAGGGTCGACTCAACCTCTTCCTTAGACCCTAATTTTATGACAATGACTCAGGCATGGCCTGGGATGAAGTCTCTGCCTGTGGGGGTGCAGTTGGGATTTCCCATCAACCTTCCTTTCACAGTTTTCCCATCTTTCTCTACCCCCACCCCCACCTTTATTTCCTTTCCTTCCCCCAAATCTGCCCCTGCTCACTTAACCCTTCCCACCCTTCATTCTCTCCTCTTTCTTGCTGTTTTCTTGCTCCTATTCTTTCAATGATGGGTACGGTACAGCCCAAGGTTATCTAAAATGCTCCCAACATTGTGATGGTTTTGTTTCTACCAATGAGCTATTGATAGTTTGGTATAATATGGCTGCAAACCAATGAGTGTTTGGGGTTTCAAGCACAATGTAACGCCACTAATTTGTTCATTCAAGAATGATTCACAGTGCTACTATGTGTCTATGTTGATTATTTATTCTTAGCATGTTTTTATAAAAACAAAGATTGTAAAAAAACGAAATTACAATTCAGCATTATTAAGTGCGCATGCATTCACTATTGGATGGCAATGTGGGCAGGCTAGCCAAGTGCTCTTAGCCTGTCATTGGAGTCCTGTAAGTGAATGTGTTAAAGTGCAATTTCCTTATTATCTGTGCTTATGTTTTTTTTTTCCCAAAGCCTCAAAATAATTTGACAGAAGAAAACACCCAAAGTCCAATAACACCATAAGTACTAAACTGATGTGTAGTGTGATTGTGGAGTTTACACTCCCTCTCTAATTGTTGATACAATGAAGCACATAAGGCTGTTGATCAGCAATCATGCACACATTAATTTGTTAATATACCATGGTTAGTTTGCTATGCTTTAAACAATGGGGTATTTGATATAGTTTGATCGTATGGAAAATTCTTCACCGGTGCCACTAAAATGTAATTCTAACTCTCCCTTGCAGGTTATAAATTTTGTAAGATGTGCGGAAGCCTACTTAATTTTACTGAATTAGATCTACATTGTCTTCACTATCGATTTTATTTGTTTGTTTTTTTGTTTTTTTAGATTGTTTTCTTACTGTAAACCAAAAATAAGTATAGATCAATTTGCATTGATTGCCTTGGCTCTGCATACGTGTCAAAATGCTGTGCTGCACCAATCAAATGCAGCATTTCATTTATAACCAATCAAAAGAAGCGCCCAATTCACTTTGAGAGACACTGCATCCAGATCACTTCATAGTGTCCCTTTAACTAAAATAAAAAGGAGTAATAGACACCTATATTTGTTATATTCTTAAATACTCTTATCGTAATTGTAGTTGCCTTATTTTAAAACACCCACAGTATATGCAGTGCAGATATTTAAGTATTCTTTCATCAGTGTTGTGATACTTTTGTTTTCACAGGACCCTGTTCTCCCTGTATTTGAAGGTGATGATTTGAAAAGACTTGCTAAAGAAATAGACCAAGCTCGGAAATTTGTAACGCAAGCAAGACACTTCCGGTAAGTGTTGTTTGTCCGTATCATTGGGTGATCAATGAAAGTTCAGACAGGTTGGTGTCTACTTGTTCCTTTCTCAGGACTACTCCCTAATTATAATGAACCCTTCCACTTAATACATTAATTTAAAACCTCATAAACATTGTATGTATGTGTTGTTTTTTTATAGTTTTTCTTAAGGAAATAAACTTAAATGTAAATGGGTGGACCCCTGTCTCTGAAATGTGTAAATGCTTTAATGTAGAGAAGAGAAAGTGTAGTTTGTATGTGGGGAGCAGATTATCCTTTGTCCTACCAGGATTGTATTTGCCACCTCGTGCATGTGTAAATCCATGTTGGTTGGCTGCTGGGAGCATGTCCTTCGCAACAATGTATGTATCATACAATCTATAACCAGAACCATGAATAGGGAACTGGCCCGATCAGGAGCTCCAAGTGAAGTCCTGAAAAGCCTGGTGTCTTACTTAGGCACAGTTGAACTGTTAGGCCAGAGTCTGAGTTAATAAATAGAAGTTTATATAACAATCTGTTTCAAGTTATGAGAATTATTCTGACAATTTTCAGAATTCTGCACAATTCCTGGTTTAGTGGATAATACTGTATATTTTGTAAAAAGTTTTCCTTTCTAGTTAAAAAGTAAAATTTCAATTTTAAACATAATTATGGTTATGGGTGATGTAGCCTGAAATGCACTATTTCTTTCACTGTAAATTTGACCAGTCCACTGCATTATTTTGTAAGGTAACAATTAAAAAAATATTTTTTAAGATTGCTTTTATCCACTGTTTTATTTAACAGGTTGCTTGTATTGGATAAACAGAAATTGGACTCTAGAAACATGTCTACAGAAGGAAGCGAGGTATCAGGTAAGAATGAGAGCATCATGCTGTAAAATCTGGCCAGGCAGAGTTGTGATTGTCGTGTTGTGTTTTTCATTTCAGTAAAAACCTGGATGTATCAGAGTAGTCCAGAGATATTGCTAGGGGAGTACTGACCAGGGATGGAGCCCCATGTGTGCTCCTATTTCCAAATATTGAGAAATAAATAATGTAGATTTCCAAGTTAACTGTTCTACTGATCCTCTTAATCATTTAAAGGACCACTATAGGCACCCAGACCACTTCAGCTTAATGAAGTGGTCTGGGTGCCAGGTCCAGCTAGGTTTAACCCTTTTTGCAGTAAACATAGCAGTTTCAGAGAAACTGCTCTGTTTACCTATGGGTTAATCCAGCCTCTAGTGAGAAGATGCCAGCGTCCATGGGAGTGGGACCCTGAGGGTGGGGGCACCCTCAGGGCACTATAGTGCCAGGAAAACGAGTATGTTTTCCTGGCACTATAGTGGTCCTTTAATTACAAATTATGTAAATACATAATGATTTAACATTTAGCCTGAGATTTCTCGTTAACGCACTGTTAGCACTTTTAGCCAATCACAGCCATTCACATTTGGAAAGACTAACGTGGAAGTCCCCTTTTTTGTTACTATAACTACATAAGAGGAACAGGCCATAGGACCCAGGATAACCAGGTTTTTTTCAAACTACTCAGAAACTATTTGACACAAAATTGGGGCAATAGTGCCTAAAACTCTTTGCCCCATACCAACGTCAGTGAACTGCAGTGGTTATAGTGCTAAGAGTGCCACTTTATTTTTCTGTTTATTTATTTTGTACATGTTAATGCATTGTCTATTTAAATCCTGAAAGCACGTAGACTTTGTATAAATGTATTACAGCAATGCAAACAAATCATTTTTATCAATAAATATTTATTTATCTTAACAGATGATTGAAAGAAGATTATTAAAGAAAAACTATTTCTTTGAAGAAGTACCCGAATCTAATAAATTGACTTGTGTGGCTATATATACTTATATTGGTATAGTATTTTTTGAAATGTACTACAGAAGATCATTTGGAATCCTTTTAAATGACCACTAGAAATAACTGTATATATCTAGTAGCATCACACTTTCTGTAATGATCACACATTATTTATAATTTGGTTTTATAATTATTTTATACAAGTTCTTTGTATAATTCTTTGCCATGGAAAAATAATGTAAGTAAATAATTATATCAAAGATGTGGTGTAAAGCACTTTATTTTCTCTACAAAACTTTTAATTAATGGGACATGCATCACAACTGTCTCATTCCAAAGCTTTATCTTTCATATTTACCTGCTTCTATTTTTTTTATTCTTTCCACACCTAATATGGGGGAGGATGGTTTCTCAGATCTAACCAATCAGTGTCCTATACCTAGCAATGGAACCACCTTGGTCATTGCCCCCAACTCTTCCATATCAACTTTCCACCACTATTTTCATCATCCCTGCCTTCAAGTATTCCGATATTACAAAATTAGTTTAAATACTGCTGCATTTGAAAAATGTAATGAAACACTATAAGCACCATTATGCACAGCTACCTGAATTCTCCTGCAGGAGAAGACTGGAAACAGGGGTTACCACGTACCGGTAGGAACCAACGGGTCCTGGTGCAAGAATCAAACAAGTTCCACCCTTGTCGCTCTTCCTTGCTTCCCCCTAAAAAATACACCTAAGTGGAATGTGGGTGATGTAGCCTGAAATGCATTCTTTTTGTCACTGTAAATTTGACCAGTCCACTGCATTGTTTTGTAAGGTAACAATTGAAAAAAATACTTTGTAAGAATTTTTGTGTTAAATCCGTTTTTATTAAAGTCATCACAATAAACAGTTTTCCTACGCAGGGGATAAAGCGTAAACAGTGTAAACATACTGTATGAGAAAACTGGTACAATTTGGTATTGTTGCAAACTTTTTCTTGTACAATGTATGCGTTTCAAACATTAAACTTGCAAACAATATAAGAGATTTTGTTACATATAATCAAGAAGTAGTTGCGTACGTTATACTCCAGAGAGTATCATGGCATACCTAGAGCATAGATGAGTGTTATGGGTAAGTGTGTCCTTAAGGTCTCTTACTCAGGGTGATGGTGGTGGTAGTAGTCTCACCCCAACTTTTGTGCAGGGCGTGGTGTGGTAGTGGCATGGTTCTGGGCCTGTAGCGGCCCGTCAAAGTCGAGAGCTATTGAGCCACAGTCAGATATCCCTGTGTCACAGCTTGGTGTGTGGAACTGGGGTTGGAAAGGCAAAACGTAAGAGAAAAGTAGAATAGGGGGAGGTGGGAGAAGAGGTCAGAGGGAGGAGTTGGGAGGGGGTAGTGGAGGAGAGGAGCCTCGCCCTTGGTCACCGCCCTCCTCCCCCCCCAGGTCCCTCCAACGTTGCCCCGTCTGGTTGTTCGCAGCTCTTCCCCAGTCATTTGAGTTGGCCAGAAGTTGTACGAAGTCATTGGATGGCGGAGCCAGTGAAACCATTGCTGTGTGTATCTCTCCCTGTCTTTCGGTGATGTTACTTTCAGGTCCTCGGGTTTCATAGTGTCTTCCACCCAGCGTTTGAGTGGGGGTGTGCACGGTTGTCTTCAAATAAGGGGGACCGTCTCCTTTGCTGCGTTGAGTAGTCTGGGATCACCGACCGTTTATATGTTGGTGTCGGCATGGTAGTGTGATGGAGGAGGAATGGGGCCGGCGATAGCTGTAGGGATTCATTTGTCACCTCCCATATCACCCTTCCGATCGACTCCCAGAATGATTTAATGAGGGCGCAGTCCCACCACACATGTGTGAATGTTCCTGTTGCCTTTCTGCAGCGCCAGCAGGAATCTCTGGCATGGAGGGCCGCAGGGGTGAGGTACCACAACGTGAAGACTTTGTATGAATTTTCTTGTAGTCTGGCTTACCCTGGTGTCTTTTGTATATGGGTTATGATCTTATCCCATTCAGCCTCCGTCAGTGTCTCCTCCAGATCTTCCTCCCTGTGAATGTGGGACTGAGTGGTGGGGTCACGGGTGTCAAGCTATATGTCTCTGGGTAACGGGTATTTAGAGCCTAATAGTCATGCGTGTAGTGCGTGGGGGTGGGTTACCATGGGGTTCTCGTTGGTGTTCCTATGGGGATGCTAGTCCTCTATATCCATTGGTACTGCACGATCGCAATCCCTTCCCCTTTCTTGTCAGGTTAAGGGGCCATTCTCTTTTCCCTAGTAGGGATGTAGGCATGAATGGAAGCCAGTTGGGGAGAGGTGATGACTGGTGTGGGGAATGCAGTGGTCACATGCATATATTCAGACTTAAGTTTGAGTGACACAGTGGCACATCATGGTCATGCTGGGGGGGTTGATATCCTGTCCTGGTTTAGTTCCCGTCCCTTCAGAATTACCCACTCTCCCACCAAGCTCCCCTCCCCGTCCCTCTCCCGAGTGTGCCCCCCTCTCCCACCTCCAGTTGTAAGCAAATATATATGTTCAGGTTACAGGTGTGCATTGAGAACACTCGAGTTGGGGACACCTGTCACAATCGTGCATTTAGTACAAGCAGCATAGCAGGGGCAACACAGAGACAATATCTGTTAAGCAAAAGGGGGCACCATACCTTGTTTCTTCCCCCTCCCCCCCTTGCTACACCTCCCCTTGCTACACCTCCCCCTGCCCACCCTCCTCAAATGGGGGTTGTTACCAATGCAGGTATTTCAGATACTCATTGATTCGCTTTCTCCCAAACTGTTAGAGGCAGAGTAATTATAGCCCACAGTTCGTGTGTTGAGTCAAACGTTCTCCAGACAAACACACAGCATACCAGTAAATCCACCAAGTAATCAGACGTATACCCAAACATCAGCCTGAACTAGATGAAGGGTACAACAGGAATGGTTTTATTAAGGCCAAGTGGCCACTTTTATGCAACTCCAGAGTACATTGTACACTCCCACAGAAACTCCCACAATACGCCCACAGAATTCCTGAGTCACAGTGACTCTGCATAAAATATAGAAATGACAGAATAATACATAAAAAAATTAGGAACCCCCATAAATGTTATATCCCCGGATAGCTTGGATCTGAGCTCCCAAGTTGGCCAAATAGCGGTCAGATCCCACTAACACAGCCGAATCGCCACTGGGGTAAAGTTTTGGCCGACCGCTCCACAACACCACTAGCCTCAGTGCCTCTCTCCACAACACCACTAGCCTCAGTGCCCCTCTCCATAACACCACTAGCCTCAGTGCCCCTCTCCATAACACCACTAGCCTCAGTGCCCCTCTCAACAACACTACTAGCCTCAGTGCCTCTCTCCACAACACCACTAGCCTCCGTGCCTCTCTCCACAACACCATTACAATCTGAAAGTGCAGAAAATGAATTATGTAGAGCAACAGACTGTGCAATATGCCTTTTATCCACAACTCTAAGTCTACCAGATCCTACAGTAATCCATCTGCCATTCCTAGTAGGTCTCTGCGGCAGTGGCTTTGCAGCAGTTCCAGTCTAAGTTTGTTCACCAGATAACTTACAAATCTCAGATTTCAAAAATACAATCTCCTGCTGCAAGATAGAGAACTGTCTACAGATTAGACAACAATAGATACTAACATCACTTTACGCAAGTTCTTAATATGCAATTTCATCTAGCATAATCACATTTTCAACTTTAAAAACCAAAATCTATCTCGCTGTGTACGACGAAGCAAACTCCCAGAACCCCATCCTAGAGACCCCCATGAGAGCAAAAAGTAATGACAGAACATGGGAGGGATACCTAGGAGACTGACCAATGCTGAAGCACCTAAGGACAGAACGGGCAGGGGAGGAGGTGGTAAGGCGGGGAAGGGGCGGGAAGCCAACAGGGGTAGGAACCACAACCAAAAGCAGGGAAAGGATGGGAAAATACCACTACAGATAAAAACAGGGGAAATAGCAAGATAATAGACACCACAGATACTGCAGCCATCTTGGGCTCTCTGAGACACTAGGCGGATCAAGAGACCACAGACACCCTCGGACCTCCACGAGCCCCCGACCCCGAGAGACATTGCAGAAGCAGGACCCAATATAACCTAAAGAATGGGGATGACTTAAGGGACGGGACACTACAGCCACAACAAAACTAAGCCCAAACAGCTAGACATAACCAGCAAAAGAGACCACACGCACAAGGGGACCCGCGCAACATATCCGAATGGACCGCCCCAGATAGTCACTCAGACCAGGAGATTTCACCCAAAGCTACACTCCAAATCACTGTTAATGTGGGACTCCGCCATACAGACTTCGTACCCATGCTAAACCCTCAAGACCGCCTTACTGAGCCTTAGTGTTCAACAAGCAACCAATCTCCAACGAGACGGACAACCCACGGAGACAGGTATACTTAGACCAACCCCCATCACTCAAACACACCACCACAACTCTGGTGGTATACGAATCAAACGGGAGGCCACGACCCCAACTTAAACCTGTGTAGACACAGACTACCGAGGGGAACGCTGCCTTGCTGCCCTAGTTTACACTAAGTGGCGGTTCGGCATTGCCATCCAACCCGGTTACACAGGTACCCTATCCTTACAGGGACTAATACCCCAGACACCCACAAAATAAACCAGGCGACAAAGCACAAACCCACAACAGAAACAATTCACCTGCACAACCTACGAGACCTCCAGGGAACCGGAGACGGGAGATAGGCAGACGCAAGGCGCAAATGCGGGAGCCCTGAGGTAACCCTCCCTAAAACCCTACCAAACCCTATAACACCTTCTAATATCCATCCCCACTCTTAACCCATACATTGCTCCCCATCCCTGTCCTGACAGAACAACACAACCAACCAACCAACCACACCAAATGGCATACACACCAGCACCATTCCATGTAATTACACAAAACTGCAGAGGCTTAAACGCACTCGAAAAAAGATCTCACCTCCTACAAGACTTAAAGCGACGCCGAGTATCTATAGCCCTCCTACAGGAAACGCACCTCAGAGATATCGACACTCACAGAATACAAAACAAACATTACGAAACCACCTACCATAGTAGCCACCAAACCACACGAAAAGCTGGAGTCTCATTTCTCCTAAGCACCAACCTACAATTCTCACACTCCGAAACGCTCAAAGACACAGATGGAAGATACCTATTTGTGAAGGAATGATCTCCCAGA